GATCGATTAAAAGTTCTCAATTTTAAAGGTTTTACTGATTTATGACACTTTTGTGTTCCTCGTTGGTGATCTGGCGACTCTGGTCAGGTCGGGACGGGTCGTCCCAAGGGAGGTGGGGTTAGTGGTGAAATGCGAAGTAAAGATGGCGGCCTTCACGCAGCAAGTTTCCAAAAAAGCAGTTTTCTCCATGCGTTTACTTCTTTACAAATGGATGCCGTTTGAAAATGGATAGACAAGTGCTTATTTGACTGTTTCTTTAAAAAGGAATGGATATACTGTCAGGTTAGTTGAAGATATTCCTAAAGGTGTTAAACAAAACTTGTTAAGCAGAGATTCGCGCGCGCTATGAAGATTAACAATTTGGCAAAAAATAGGATAAAATTTGCTCTCGACTGTATTATTTTTAGGTACAGCGTTTTAAAAAAGAAAAGGAGAAGGGCTTTCTTTCAACTTCAAAATTGTAATGACTAATTATTTTGACACTCGGTACAGTACTCTTACAAGATTTTCTTGAGATTTTGGAAGTGAAACTGCGTAAAATAAGCTTACATTTTTTAAGACAATACGTGTATCGATCGAGTTCCGCTTGTGACGTATCCATAAGCTTAAACATGGAATTTTTTTTCGTTGATAGATTTCTAACCTGCCTGAAACATTTTCAGGAAACTTACGCGTGTTGTTGTGTGTTACATACACAATAAATCTCGTGAAATATATTGCGTTCTCAACATTGTCACGACGTCATTAGCTGTATTGTCTGCATGTTAAGTTATTCAGAATAAACACACTTGAGCTTGCTTCCGTCATAGTTTTCCTAATCACTTAGAAAATTATGCCATCTGTTAAAGGTCTAGCAATAGGTAAGCTATAGGGGGAAGCCTAGAAAATATGGGGGGAAGTCTTAAGTGATTGACATGTAGTGATATCTTGTCGTTTCAATCTCACTCAATCTTTCTCTTTTTAAAATAGCAACACATCAGGCAAGCTCATGGGCTGTTTACATTTATACAGATTGTGGTTCAATTCTTATTTTCGTTTTTGTAATCCTCATTACAAACTACATCATACATAAACCCAAAAAGAAACCAAAAAAATGAACCATAGATTTGACACAATCAGTACTACATCCCTTGGAAAGTCCCTTACCAAAAGAGCCTAATATACACATTTATATTGCAGACACAGTATATTGAGATTTTTTTTGCAATAAGTATTTTTGTTGATCCGTGTTGATAATATTGTGTGTTAGTCTTCAAACCTTCAAGTTTCCATGGGCATCTTCATCTGAAAGCTCCCGTACAGGTTTGTTTTTAGAACACTTTTTAACACGTAGGGTGACAGTTTCTATTTCTACACATGTCTCTGGTACATGAAGCATTTTACAATCTCAAACGATAGAAAATTAGCTCTACTTTACTACTGAGGGTTCTAATATGCATCTGAAGTTTGGCTTCTCTCGCTTACATTATTCCAGTGTCCTGTCATAATTTCATTTTTTCTTGTAATTTTATCATTTATGATCTGATTTCAAAAGAGGAGAAGTCATTTGCTGTTTAAGACACCTCCCAGTTTTTTTTAGCTGAAAATTATTTATGTTACCAATAAGCGGATTTAGAAACTAGGAAACATGTATGTCCTGTTGTTTATTGTTCATGTGGTGCATTTTAACCCTTCTCGTTTTTGCCAAAGGAAAAGAAAAATAACAAAACATATTGGTAGACATTGGTGACAAAATTTGGTTTTCCTCTTTAGTGGATAATGGCTTAAATTTACCTTATCTTTTGATTATGTCTTGTCAATACTGTGTTTTAAAGCTACATTTTTACATCCATATGTTTGAACATGTACATATGAGACCACCATCTCTTGTGTCGTGGTGATCGTAAGATGTGGTTTAAAGTTCAACAGGCTGTGTATATCCAGTAAAAGCTAAGACAGACATGTATTCATGTGGATTTGAATAAGCAGGGCTGTTCTCTAGCGGTGCTCAGTGGCCCTTAGCACTTTTTTTTGCATTTTGGTGACATGAAAGTCTTAGTTTTCTTATAGAAATCATCTGCCTTCCACCATGAAATTCACAGAACTGAGCTCCCTTCAATTTTCTTTTTCTTAAGTCACAGCCTTGATAAGCCAAGAAAAGAAACTTGTATTGTTTTCTGTCCTCAGACTTATATTTACTGTCCTAAAATTAACACTAACAGAAAGAGCTTGTAACTGGAAGTGTCGTGTTATTTGACTAGTGAATGTTCTCTTAAAAAAGCATTTAAAACTACTTTGTGAGTTCATTTTGTGGCTTGTAGCTACATTTTTTAAGCTGGTTATGTGTCTTTTTGTTATATTTACATGTAATAGTAATATTGGAAGTCTGCAGATTCATTTCATAGAAGTGCACAAAAATTGACTTGGATGGCTTGCAAGAACAGCACCAATTTATACAAAAGATGAAAAGCCTAGTACTTTTAATATGCTCCATGACTGAATTGAACAAGCTCATGTGAGATGGTAAAGTCTCCCGTGATCGCATGACTACTGTATTGTCAACTTGTCGTTCGACTTGTATGAATCACCAGACTTCACTTAAAATGCTTGTAGATGATGTTCAATGCCGCCAAACCTCAAAAGAAATAAAGTGTGTGCATATGTTATCTTCGACATCTTTCGCTTTTGAGAAAAGAGTTCAATATCAAGGAAAAAGATGTCTCCAATTTGAGAAAAGTATGATGAAACGCATCAGAAGTTTGCATGAATTTTAGAATAAAGAGTTTATTTCCCAAGAATTGTTCTGAGTGTTTTTGCAAGAAAAGTGTGATTTAAAACATTTCAGTTTTTAAAAATATGTTGGTTGAGATCTTTGCATATTGTACATGTTTCAAAATATGTTTACTAGTCTCGTGCAAGTTGCTATAATTTCATTTACATCATGATTGCAGAAAAGTCATTTTGACATGTCATGCTATAGTCATCTATTAATGGACTTACAGTTTCTTGGCCCAAAAAAATTTCTATGATCTTGTCTTTCCTTTTTTGCTCTTGCTTTTTGTTGAAACAGGAAAAATCTGGCACTCTGAGATCAAACAATTTTGTACAAGTTATGGACCTGGTAATTGAAAAAATTGAGCTTAAAGTTTAAATTAAATTGACTTCTTTCACTTTGTGTAATTCATGTCCATTCTTAGAATGATGTAATCCTTCTGTTTAGAAATCATCATGTAATATAATTTGAATTAATTACTGACCATTTTCTGAACTGTCAAGTAAAAATGGCTGCTGTTCAATATTTTTCATTTCCTGTGACATAATGAAAACTTCCACCACTGATTTGAGGGAGTTACTAAATAAAAGTTGAGTTGTGAATTTTTGATGATTTAGTATCTACAGTGTATTTAGTTTTGTTTATTTTGTATGGCATTTCTGTGAAAATGGGATTTAACCTCAAACAGATTTTTAATGTAAACAGGTTTCTGAAACTGTTAACTTCCAAAACAGATTTAAAGCAATGTTTAAGGCAGTCTTTGATTTCTGATTGTATTGTCATACACTGTAGACAAAAGCAACATTTAACCAACATCTGTTTCAGGGCCATGAGAAATATTGAACTTTGTATGGTCTCATGAATGTAATATTTGTTCATTCAGTCCTCTCCTTCTGTTCACTCTTCAGTACTTTTTTTCCTGTGATAAATTTAAGTTGTATCAGTCAGAAGGGAAAAATTGGTATGATGTAAAATGACGTCAGGCTATATTTGATGTATATTTTATTGAGATGGTAGGTGCCTCTGAAATCGTCAGAAATGTTTGAAAGGTCATGAGTGAGAAACATAACCTGTGACACTGATATTGACAAAACATTGGCAGTTTTTAGAGGAGTTTTTGTGTAAACAAAATTTCAAGTTCTTTTTTTCCCCTCTCCAATGTTTTTTGTGATCCTTATTTTTTTTAGTCAACTTATTTAAAGCCATTTTTGTTTGAGATAACAGGTGATTGTGTCTTAGTCATCAAATTGAATGTTTTGATATTATATCCCACACATTAACAGGCAATTCACTTTCCATTCACTTGTGGTTTTCTTAATCATGTACGTAATTATTAGAGCAGTCTGGAAAATTCAATAAACTGCTAATATGATTTTAGTGAAATTGCTTGTAATTCAAATCAAATAAAAGGTGATTTAGTTGTGATTAATGATTGAGAAGATTACTGCTATGCCTGAAAAAAAAGTATATTAAATTGATATAAAATAATATTTTATAAAAATGCATTTTAAGGCTTTTTTCTGGCATTTTTATGAATGCATTCTTCTTCATTTTCTTATATACTGTAGAAAAAAGTTTTAAACTTAATTGGCTGATTATTAAGATGAATTATAGTACTTGACATTAGTTAAAAAATTTATAAATTTTTGCTCTAATGTAAGTTTTGCTTGACCTTATCACTGGTGTGAATTTCATGATTGTGCGGTGACGCAATATGTGTCTGAAGCAACTTTTAATAGGAAGTAATGACATCCTTTTCTTTTCTATTGTCTATTACTGACAGTGATTAAAAGTATTGCCTTTAGTCATTAAAATGCCATGTAATTGTGATAAAGCGTCCAGCCGCAGACACAAACTGCACATTGACAATGCTTAGCAGGGCATATCTTGCTTAAAACCAACTCTGTATTGTGTTTCAAGGGTAGCCTTAAAATAATTATATTGAAACTACATTTTTTTTTCTGGAGTCAGGAAATGTTTGATGAAATATCATGATGGTAGATGATCTTGAAAAGTTTTTAGAACCCGTAGCATCACGTAGTCGCATTGTTTTTTTGCATTTCTCTTGGGGCAGTATTCTGTAGGAGTCTGAATTGTGAGTGATCTTTGAACTAAAGCCAGACACTTATTGAGAAGCTGGTGAAATATAGCTTCATTATTCATATCGCTTCTAAGGTGAGCAGAGTATGCAAGTGCACACATTGTAGCAATAAATTCCTATGATGCCTACAGTACATACTGGTCTGTTTAAAGCCGTTATCAATATTCATCAGAGAAATTTATTTTACACGACTGGAGGCATAGATGTGGTAATCTTCTGCTAGATTTAGAAAAGACACGGAAAAAAAGCGCTGTATATTTTGTCCACGTGTTTTGCTTAAGCATGCACTTGAGCTTGAAACTCTTAATTGCCATAAGATGACATCGGTAGCATTCTTTTGTATGCAAGAATTTATTTTCTCATGGATATATTAGGGCAAACTGACAGGAGTGTACAGAATTATTTAATTTGCTGTTTTACAGCAGACTTTTTTCGACCCCTAGAGAGAAGGTACTGTACAGTCATTTGTTAATTATTTCAATTTTCTGGTCAAAAATTTATTGTTAACATTGTTAAGATTTTGGAATTGGCTTAGATTTTGCTGTACAAATTTTTCTGAAACGTAAACATAGACTAGTTGGTTATCTCTTCTAGAAAAGAGCAGCAGTTTCTTGTATAATAGATTATAGACGAAAAAGCTGTTAAAACTTTGTAGTGCAAAAAAAAAAACTTTAATTAATGTGATTGTAGTTTAAAATAATGTCATATTTTTTCACTTTTGTCTAGTCTATAATGAGCACGCCTTTAATTCAAAATCAAGAGAGTTATGGTGCTTTCATATTAACTTTTACATAGTTTCTCTAACGGAATAATGTATATAATTTTTTACCATACTCCATGCATGCAGTACTACTAGTAAACATGTTGAATTTGGCTATTTCCAAAATACTGGACATGAATGTTAAGGTAAAAGGTCTGTATAGTTGTTCTACCTTTAATTTTAGTTTGAGTATACTTTCTAGTTTGTTAAAAATAGGTAATTAAAAATTAAAAGAAAAAAAAAGACCCATCTCCACAATTAACCTTCATTTATGTATCGCTAAAATGCCAGAAGATGTAAAAATATCTTAGGCTGATGTTACTTACTGAATAGCCGTTATCTTGTTGTGTGTTTGTGTGTCATACTTGTTGACTGTACCTAAACAATCTTGAAATATCGTAGTTAAACATGTTCCTTGGTACAACATGTTATTGTCATCTGCATTTTAAAGCATTGTTGTGAAGCGTACGGGTTTAGATTGGTAGCCCAAATGAGTTTACTAGTAGATTTTTTTTTGTCTACACTGAGTTATTTTTCCATCGTCACAGGCCCAAATATATTGTAGGCTTATTATCTGTGATGAGATGTTCACCGGTGTTTATTCTTCTGTTTTAATTCTTTGTATGTTATCAATTTGTTAGGCCGAGAGTCAACCACACCAGATAGAATTTTAATATCAGCGATTGCTCAGTCAGCTCCTATATCTTCTTAAAAATGTCTAAAGGAGACTACAGCTTTGAAGTCCCACCATATGATGGAGTCCAGGATATGCCAACTCGGGAGGAATGTCGTTCCCAAGCAGAAGTTGATTATCCTTCGGATCTGAGCAATGTGTTTCAGCGTGGAAACGTTCGGAGGACCATCCATGAGAGGGAGAAATTTGAGGAGAGAGTGCGGAGGAAATCAGTGACTCAGAAAGACATAGAAGCCATCTATGATGGGTTAAAAGGCCAAGATGACAGAAATGTTGTTGGAGATGTAGACCCAATAGAAATTGATGTAACAGGTAAGTGTAAATCATGTCTTGAGAGAGAGGGGTATGGTTTTAGCACTTTAGCAAACGATTTTGTAAAACATTTAAGCATAATCGTGTTATATCATTTCTTTTCATGCTTAAACAATTTTAGAGGTTTGAGCAATTACGGATGAAAAATTGGGATCTGTACACATCTTACTGTAGACTTGAAAAAACTGCTTGGTGCAACATATCTTTTGTAAGATGCAGTGAAACCCTTCTTAAAATCATCAATCGATACCACAGGGTCGGAACATCTCAGGGGCACCCAAACGTCAATTTTCGGGAAAATATCTGTTCGGAAGACGATTTGAGATCTAGAATTTTCGGAACATTTGTTGTAAAAGTTCTTGCTTGCCTGCCTCTCCTAGCATTTTCGAACATCTAAAAAATGGTATAATTGCCCATTTTTAACGGATTTTTACCCTAAAAAGGTCACCTAGAATTTTCGGGAGCCTTTTTTCTGCCTGAAATTTTCGAAAGGGTAAGTTGTGATCCCTATGATTTTCGGATCACTAGACTTTCAGCTAGGAAATCAGAACAGATGAAAAATTTTTAGAGGATAAAAATATGCCTACACCTACCGTTTAAATACTAACATACTTTTAACAATGCTATGTTTAAGTAGTTTTGAACTATATTCCCGTTGGGTGCCCCTGACATCTACTCAGAAGAGACCATCTGCGGTCCGATTCTTATAAGCAACCTTGGTTGTTTGACTGTAATTGTTTTGATTGTTTATTTTAGGGGGACGGAGGACTCCTGTATCTTCACGGAAGGTATCAGGAATGCAGACTCTATTAAGGACCACAAATATAAATTCTACCATACAGAGATATGATCGCCAACCTCATGAGGTATATGCTTGTCCTTGAGTTCTTACTTAACCCATTTGCTCCTGGAACTTTTACCAAAAAAGGCCTTTTCAGTGAAGTTTACTTAAACCGTTTTCTGGACACCATCTGGCAAAAACGAACAAAAACTGCACGAACAGTGTTCATGGTCTTCTGTTCCTGAGGCTAAATATCAGCTACCCACAAGGTTTAGGCACGTGCAGAAAGCAAAATTTTGAGTTTGGGGGTTTAAAAGTGACACAGCAGTTTCGACTTTACATTTAGTTTTTGTTCCTTTCCTCTTGCAAAAAATCTTGAAGTTTCCTGTGTGTGCCTAACTGACGAAATATGTAGAAGCGTGCGATAGCTACTAAGTCGGAGAAGAGCATTTTAGGAATTGCGTTAAAATATGTGGCTGAGATGTGTAATGATGTCTACTGATGTCTGTTGAATTTTGCACGGCCCAACTTAGAAGTTTAAAAGCTATTTTAACATTGCAGGCATTTGTTGAGATGAATGAGTTGACCAAGAATGGAGAACAGATGGAGTGGAAGGAGACAGCTCGCTGGATCAAGTTTGAAGAAAATGTTGAGGATTCTAACCGTTGGGGAAAGCCTCATGTTGCTTCACTGACATTTCACAGTTTACTTGACCTGAAAAAGGGACTTGAAAAAGGTAGCAGAATGTACCTGTATTATGGTACTATAGTCAACTTCCTTTTAACGGGCACTCTGGAGAGACAACCCACGTAGAGTTTGTTGTTGTCGTTTTTTCTTGGACTCCTTATAAGTCCCTTTTGGCTAAAAACGTTTTTTGTTCTATCGAGCTCACTGAGAAGAACTCTACCGATCTAAGAGAGAAGACAAACTTCAAGTAGTCTGCTTATATGGCTATTTCCTGGTTTTAGAAGGTGACATACAGTTTGTTGTTCTTGTGTAGCGGTTGCCGTTTGGTCGATTGATTTGTCAACAATAAATGTATGTGCTGGAGGCTGGTACAACACCTTGTGATTATTCCATGAAGGTGGTGGTTGTAAACGGAGGTTTGGCTGTCATGGATGCTATTCCATAAAGCATTTTAGTCCCAGAGTTTATGATGGAGTCTGGGAACGTTTCTAACTTTTGAGTCTGTGGGTGAAATCCTATGGTGTGCCCATTAAAATTAAAGCTACTGAGCAGTACTTTCCTGTGGTACTTTTTATTATGCTGTACAAGGTGGTTTTAACTTTTGTGTCTGTGGATGAAATCCTGTGGTGTGACCATTCAAATGAAAGCTACAGAGCAGTACTTTCACGTTGTGCTTTTTCTTTTTCAGCATTTCCAAAATGAAGTTTGGAAAGTTTATCACTTTTCGTGGTGAAAGGGTGAACCTGTAAGGCCAGTCTGAGTATTTATGGATCACCCTATGTAACTCAATGAACTCTATTATGTTATCTTTCTAGGCACAGTGCTGCTGGACCTGGAGAAGTCCGACTTACCACACATAGCGAGAGCAGTTGTCGACAACATGGTTCTCACAGATCAACTTAAAGAAGAGGACAGCAATAAGGTTGTGACCGCTCTGCTTCTTCAACACAGGCATCAACACCAGCAGCATGGCATGTCTAGGCGTTTGTCTTCCAAGAAGAAGAGAAAGATTGGTCTTGGTACAGATAATATCGGATATAATCACAGTACAGAAGTATTCAAGAACGGAATTCAGAATGGAAGCTTGAGTCAAAATGGAATACCTGCAAAGGTTTCTCTACTTTACTTGCATTTAACAATTACATTAAAAAAAAAGAGGCAATAGTTAACAATACTAAAACTTTAAAAGGATAATTCTTTGAAAAAGCAAACCATCTCTAATATTTCAGGTGCTTGTCTTCGTATTCAAGATGTTAGTGAACTTATGCAAGAGGAAGGCGCTGGGGCCCGTTTCTCGAAAGGCCCCGGAAACTTTTCGATCCCGAAGGCAAATTTTAAAATCCAAACGTGTTGAATAGCCGCACAGTTCCTAGCCCATAAACTAGTCAATTTTGCTTCGTTAACTGACAGTTTTATTTTATTATTTTCAAAAGTATTGAAACTTTGATCTTGAATGTAAACGCGGCAAACATAAAGCAGCTTTCCGGGCCTGAAAAGTTACCGGGTGGGGCCTGTTTGTCGAAAGTCCCGGTAACTTTTCGGGCCCGAAAAGCTGTTTTATGTTTAAATTTACCTCCAGGCTCGAAAAGTTACCTGGCCTTTTGAGAAACGGGCCCCAGGAGGGAAGAAGACGGCAAAACCTGTGTGATCAACCGCGACAGTCATTATTTTTCAAAAAAAAAATCCGCCAGACTTCATCCTCCTTTAAACAAATCTTTTGTAAAAGACCAGAACACAGTAAGGTAAAGCCCTGTCACGTTTGTCACACACAAACTTTTTGCCATCCTCTTCTCACTTGACGGCTGGGATCATGTTTGCTCTAGGTAGTTTCGACCGATCTATCGGTCGATATAGCGGTCCATAGTCGGTCGAAACCCGGTCGACACTCGGCAGATAGTCGCTGTAAACAAGATCCGACGGCTGTACCGCTAGCGCGCCCACAAGAAATAATAAAAACTAGTCTATTCTCTCAGTAACGTATTGGCGCACCGTGGCCCTTGTATCCTGATCTGTATTGTATATTGGAAAAAGCGTAGCGATGCAGCCCTATTTGGAGGCATATAAATAACTTTAATTTAAATGAGCTCTCGTATTTGGCTTAATTAACGATGCAAAAGATTTACTACTGCACCATTTACTACTTATTACCAGGCATTATATCTACACCTGTAAACAAAGAGATACGCGCCCAAATGAACATACAAACAGTTCAACGTACTGTGGAAATAGAAAGGCAAATTGCAAAAGACCATAATTCTTTAGACACTTTTAAAAAGAAATGGTCTCGATTAAAAACCTCCCCTCTTTAAAACGAATGTACTATTCTGTGGAAGTGATCTGTAGGCGGCACTCTGTAGATTAAAAGATTTAATACTTTAACTGTCCTGTTTAAGTTGTCTGTCTGTCTGTTTGTCTGTTTGTTTGTTTGTTTGTTTGTTTTTTTGTTCCTTTTTGTAAACTGTAATTTTGCTACTTTTTTCTTTCTAGTTTTCTACAATTTTTGTAATTTTCCTTTGTATGTAAATATGAAATAAAGTGTTGTTGTACATAAAAAAAACTTTAATTTAAATGACAATTTCTTCTTTTGTTTTCAAAGGATCCACATGCGTTAGAAGCTGCCCTTGACGAACAAGAATCAGACGTTAAGAGCAGAATCCCCGAGGGAGCGGAGGCGACAACTGTTCTTGTTGGTACATTGGAGGAGCTGGATCGCTCAGTATTGGCTTTTGTTCGTCTCTCCAAGGGGTGTAACCTAGGCCAGGTCACGGAAGTGTCCATCCCTGTTCGTTTCTTGTTTGTTATGCTGGGCCCAAGCGAATATAAAGAATCATACTATCAGATTGGTCGCTCTATTGCTACGTTAATGTCAGACCAGGTAGGTTGATTGATAAATAGTGAACGCCTCATCCTCTATTAAGAAAGACATTGGGAAATAGTTCTTAATAAAAAAAATCAGTCAGTCAACCAGTCATTCAATAAATATGTCAATCAATTAATTAATCAATAAATCAATCAACCAAGTATTTAGTGGTAGCATATCAAAAAAGTGCTGCTTTGTCTATCTCTTCAATGGAGATGTATGTGCTTGTTAGTTTATAAAGGGTTTTAAGACAGAGATAATCCAACAAATAAATGAAATTCGAAAATAAGCGACTATTAAAATACTACTGTTTACCTTAGAGAGAAAAAAGGGCGATCCCGCACCTATTTGAAAGATTGTTTTTGATTAGCTGGGAAAACAATAGGGACAGACACATAACAATAACCCTATCCCTGAAAACAATGAAAGTGCAGATTATAGGGGACCAGTGAAATAAGAGGTTTAGAACGGTGCAGTTCCACTGGAGAAAAAGCCTGATTTCATGGTTGATAACAATCGTGGGGGAGGTACCGAGAGTCTACTTCTTACATCTTGGTATTTATCGTTGGCGGATCCAGGGGAGGGGCCCCGGGGGACCCTACCCCCTCCCCCCTTATTTTTAGACCAAACTGAGGCCCAAAGGGCGTAAAAAATTATTTTTCGAGACCTGTTCCCCCCTTATCTCAGGGTCTGGATGACCGGGCTCCCCCTTATCTCAGGGTCTGGATGACCGAGCTCCCCCTTATCTCAGGGTCTGGATGACCGGGTCCCCCCTTATCTCAGGGTCTGGATGACCGGGCTCCCCCCTTATCTGAGGGTCTGTATCCGCCACTGTTTATTCTTCTTTGACTGCTAAAATCGCGAGCTAAGCAAAACGTCAAGTACAAGAAAAAACAAAAGATCAAAACAGGAAAAAACCCATGTGAACAAAATCCAGACTAACCTTGACCCAATTAACGAAGTAACAGTGAAACTTGAAAGATGAGACAGATCTTAAAAATAACCTTCAAAATACTTCACAACACAATTCATGATTTGTCTTACTTTCCATTGCGTTCCAGACTTTTCATGATGTTGCATATGCCGCTGATTCTCGCGAGCAGCTGTTAGGAGCCATTGATGACTTTCTTGAGGACGTTGTGGTGTTGCCACCTGGTAACTGGGATCGTAACGTCTTGTTACCCATCCTTATCGCGCAAAGCAGAGCCATTGCGGTCAGGAGAAAGATGGTTAAAGCGGGTAAGGAAACTACTGTACGCGGTAGAGAAAGCCCATTCATACGACCTGTCTGTTTATGCCCTTTGCAGTTGACTGTGAAAAGAACTTTTGTGATTTTCTATTCTGCTCTTTTGCAATAAGCTATATAAATGAAGCCCTTGTTGTGTGACACGTATTACCTTTTGGCCGTTTAGAGTCTCCAGCCATATTTCAGAGTGTACTTGGCAATTTTGGCCAAAAAAATTAAAATGAAAACATGATTGTGAAAAATGTCTTTGGCTCCGTTTCGCAATTGCAATGTAAATTCTACGATCGTCTTTCTCCGACGTACGAAAATTAGGTTTTATGACAAATTTCTCCTATCCTAACAAGTCTTTTCCTTCCTCCAGCCTCATCCTCACACTCGGAAGGAGACACCGCCCTACAGCGAACAGGCACCTTTTTTGGAGGACTCTTCCAGGACATCAAGCGACGGGGGAAGTTTTACATGAGCGATTTCTATGATGGCTTTAACTTGCACAGTCTACTTGCCTCTCTTTTCCTTTACTTCGCCTTATTTGCCACAAATATTGCCTTTGGTGGTCTTCTTGAAAGCAAGACGGAGAAGTTTTTGGGGGTGACGGAAGTTATTATTTCTGCTAGTATTTGTAGCATTATTTTAGGGCTTTTTGCGGGACAACCGATGATGATTATTGGAGCCACGGGTCCTATGCTGGTCTTTGAGCAGAGCATTTATGATGTAAGTGTACAGCTTCTTAGTTGTATACCAGTATTATAGTAGAAACCCGGTAACTCAAACTCTGAGGGAAACAAAAAACAGGTCGAGTTAGCGGGGAATTCGAGTTATCGGGGTAAATTTCAGTGAAATTTGGATCAAGGGGAAGGAAATTTAGTTCGAGTTATCCGAGTTCAAGTTATCGAGGTTCTGCTGCACTCTAATCCAAGTGCAGTAACCCTCTCTCCTTTACCCTCCCCTCCCATCTACCGATCTCTCCTTAGTTTGTTAAGTTGATCGCTTTGCTTCGAACAAGTTGTCGACACAAACTTTCGCTGAAACACTGGCGCGAAACTTTTTAATCACGTAGTGTACCTAAGCAAAAGTAAAGAAATCGTGCATTCACCTTTGTGAAATAGAGCTTTATTTCTATTTTCCCCAGAAAGGGAAGATAAGTCTTTGCTAGCCCTGACAAATGGGTCATTTTTAGAATTTCTCATTGATGAGTTGTAGATAGTGAATCACCGAAACTAAAGCACTTTTCCGGCAAATCAAAATACTCGTAGAAATCTAAATAAACCAATCATAACTCGCAATGTATACATAGAGCTGGTGTGGCTGGCCCAGCTCGGGAAATCACACGCAAGCGCGTGACGGTGACGTCACACAATGACGCAAGCAATGTTTTAAAATACTCGTAGAAATCCAAATAAATCAAGCAGATCTCGAAGTGTATTCATGAAACTGGTTTGGCAAACCAAGCACGGAAAAAGCGCAGGCAAGCAGGTGACTGTTTGAAAGAAAATGGCGCTGGGCTGTTTAGCCAATCACAAAGATGAAACGTAAAATGCGAGACCAAACAATTTTTGAGTAAATTCCTAACGATACTGAATTCAAAACCGCTCTATTTTTTTTTTTTTTTTACCGCTTTTCAGTTTTGTAAGCAGTTTGATGTAGAGTTCCTGACATGGCGATGTTGGATTGGGTTCTGGGTTATGATAATTCTGTTTGGTGTCGTCGCCTTGGAAGGATGCTTCTTGATCAAGTACTTCACACGCTTTACAGAGGACATTTTCGAGCTTCTCATATCTGCAATCTTTATCTATGAGCCAATCGCACTGCTGTATAAGGTGAGTATTCTTTTCTTGGTGTACTTGGTGTATTGTAGATGTGTGTATCTTTGGTGGGGCAAGTCAGGGCTCGAAAAAAGGCCCGTCCGGTCGTCCGGGACAAGTAACTTTTAAATTCTCATGCCCAGAGGTCAAGGGTCTAAGCAAGTCATCTTCTAACTAAATCGTTAACTAAGAAGAACTTAACTTTTTCTACCTTTAGGATGGGCGCTTATTCGAGGTGGGCGCTAATTCGAGGTTGGACGCTTATTCGAATAAATACGGTAACTGATAAACTTGAGATCGACGGTGCGCTCCTTTTACCCCTCTCTCTCCATGAATGCTCCGTTTTAAGGGTATTTAAAGCTAGTCAAAGCTACATAGAAAGGAGAGAAGTTGAAACAAGGATGTGATGTCATCGGGGATCGAACTCGGGACCTCGCGCACCGAAGGCCGCGAACTAACCAACTGTGCCACCCTTGCTGTTGCTTCTTTTGGCTTGTCACTCAGTCCCCAACCTGAGAGGCTAGCATATGTGCGGTGTTCGCTTACGAGAGATTAGGGCCATTTTTACGAGGAAAAATAAGACGCGAACTGTACCATTTATACGAGCATGTCTTATCTAAGACGAAATCAGCACCTATAAATGGTTCGCGTGTTATTTCTGCTCTTGACTCGTTTTCATGTGAATGTTGCCCTTAGCAACGGCAATCCTACATGGCGCGCCAAAAATTAACGCATGCTTACTATGCGTTCGCGTCTTATGTAAGACGCGAAGGTTATTTATACGAAGTTTTTCTTGTCTTAGCTAAGACGTGTCTTCTCTAAAAACAGGTGTTAAGGGCTGTTCTAAAATAAGACGCGTCTTAGCTAAGTCGCGTCTTACTTTAGACGAAATGTGCCGTTTATGCGGAAAGTTCGCGTGTTATTTTTTCTAGTATAACTGGCCCTATTGTCGCACATTAAGGTCGTACTATAGATAGGAAATTGAAGTATTTTATTGTTTCTGTGGTTGCAGTTGTTCAAGAAGAATCCTTTGACCCGGCAAGGATCAGATAATGCTTCTGGCACCAATGAAGTGGTGCAAGGAGAACCCAACACAGCTTTGCTTTCCACTATACTAGTTATTGGAACTTTCTTTCTGGCCTACTACATGCACAAGTTTAGGACGAGCCACTTTTTCGGAAAGAGGGTTAGTACACCAACTGTTTTTTTTATTCGTATGGAGCTGTTGTTTGATTATTGTTGTCTTCTGTAGAAAAGTCAATTACTTTAGTCGTAATGACACTGTTAAATTAACCAAGCCTGTAAGCCCATACAGAACTATTGCTCAGTAGCTCTCATCTCTAGTCATTCGTAAGGATTTCATCAGAATCAACAGTTAGAACCGACTTGAACAGCTTGGCAAGCAGAACCACAAGAATGAACTGCTTAGTAGTTTTTATTTGAAGGGTAACACCACAGGATTTCATTCACAGACTCCAAAGTTAGAACCACCTTGTACAACATAATAAACAGTACCACAGGAAAGTACTGCTCAGTAGCTTTCATTTGAATGGTCAAACCATAGGATTTCATCCACAGACTCAAAACTTAAAACTACCATGTACAAGACAATAAACAGTACTACTGGAAGCTACTGCGCATGCCTAGTAGCTTTCATTTGGATACACGTCTTCGCACGATTTCTTCACAGCATCAAGGGAAATTGCTGCTGCAGTACTTTTGTGTAGACAGTGACACAGTCATAATTTTCCAACTTGCATTGACTCATTCTTACTGTTTTTCCAGGGCAGACGTATCGTCAGCGACTCCGCTGTTGTAATCGCCATGGTCAGCATGGCTGTTCTCGATTTTGTTCTGGGCGACAAAGTCATCACTCAGCATGTCTCCATCGACGACCCGCTGAAAAATGGCTTGCAGCCGACCTATCCCAATAGAGATTGGTTTATCAACCCTGGCGGCATGAAAAAGAGCATGTCGATGCCGTGGATCTTTGCAGCCATTATCCCTGCAGTCTTCGTTGGCATTTTGCTGTTCATGGAGACCGAAATGACCGGCGTTCTCTTGAGCAAGAAGGAGCATAAGCTTCACAAGGGGCCAGGTTACAATATGGACCTGGTCGTCGTGGGCGTGTTGGCGTTTGGTTGTTCATTGATGGGGTTGCCATGGATGTGCGCTGACACAGTGCGATCGGCTTCTCATGTGAATGCACTTTCCATCTGGAGTACTTCGCATGCGCCTGGTGAGAAACCGCGACTTCTGGAAGTCAAGGAGCAGAGGGTCACTAACATCATCATACATGTTCTCACAGGTATGTAAGGCCCGGGGGGGGGGTACTGCCGTATATGGGCTATATAGGCATGTGCCCGCTGTGAAGGGTATGGTTTTCAAGCAGTTTGCCTTGGGATATAGTATCTAAATCAGGGAGTTGGGTATCATTTTCCAGGAAACTGATCAATTGGTTGAAGATTTTAGTGTACACTAGGGAAACCGGGAATTGCCACCCAAAAATATCAAAAATCGGTTTTATTTTGGCTGGACTGTGCTACTGACCTCAGTAGTTCCTGGAAGTTCCAGGGTCCCAGCGGCACATCCCCCCGCAGATGTGAGGCCACCACCCAGAGCGTCCTAGCCTGAGAAAACAGCCAACATTTTGCAACCTCACCACTGGCTTCCCCGCGAAATGACGTCTGAGGACCGATTGCAGAAATTCCATACTGATGACGTATGAGTACCCAGATCTAGGTAGTGCTTCTAGTTGGTTGAAGGAAATTTGCTACGCGGCACGACCAATCAGAAGTACTATCCAGGTTTGGGTACTAATAGTGATACGTCATCAGAATGGACTTTCTGCGCTCTTTCCGAAAGAGTTTGTTACAGTATTGAAAGAAGACTAACTATCCATGCAAATGTACTGTTGAGAATTCGAGGGTTTTTTTTTACAAAACATTCGATGTGGAGTTCAATTTAAAAAAAATCGTTAAGTAAACTGGAAGGTAGAATTGTAAGAAGTAACTTAAAATTTACTCCGTCTAGCAGTCTCGACTTAGGGCTAAGAGTTTTGGTACAAGTGCAGTGTGCTTGTTTTGGCTTATGGTACGACTAGACTTTCGGAGATTCCATCGGAATCGATGCTTTCAATGGATCCGATAGACTCCGTCGGACGACTTTCCAACCCTCCTCAAAGTATTGTTTACACTTCCGGTTTCATCTTACGACTAGACTCCATTGAACTCCAGGTTTTGTCCACTGGAATCTAGTTGGGAGCCGATTGGATATGACTGCTGTTTTTATTGTATGTATCCGTCCTCCAGGGTTCCATGTTCATCTAATGCAATCATCGTATGAATTTGTGCACCGTAATTTTCACTATTTTCAATTCCCGTCTGTTTCAGGTCTGTCCATTTTTCTCGCACCTATTATTATACTCATTCCCATTCCGATATTTTTTGGGGTCCTACTGCATCTTGGTATATTGTCCCTCTCTGGACCGCAGATGGTGGAAAGGTTCGTTATGATGTTCATGCCACGCAAACATCATCCTGATGTCGGATACGTTAGAAAGGTAGGAATTTCCGGACCTTCCGGTTTCATCTTATGACTAGACTTCCGGTAACTCAAGTGGACTCGACTGTATTTCCGGTTTCATTTTTTTGCTCATGTCGGATACGCTAGAAAGGTACGAATTTCATTGGAATGATCACACCACGGGGTTTAGTGCACGGGGTCAACAGTTCTCTAAAATAAACGTTGTCGCTTTATAAGAATAATGAAAAATCATTTTGGTAGAAAGATTAGAAGAAGTGAAGCCAATGTAATAGGAAAGTTTAAAGTATCTGACGTGTGTTGTCTTCGGTTTGAGTTGGAGGAGCTACAATCTGCGACAAAATTGTTGAGACATTGTACTCATATAGGGTAACTTCAGAGAACAAAAGAATCCACACCCCTCCCCTAGCCTGCGTAGCAGGCGTCGAAAGGGGTAGGGGATAGGGAAAAAGGGAAAAAGGGAGGGGGTGCTTTTCTCCCTCCCCCTCTCCCTCCCCTTTTTGCGCCTGCCACGCAGGCTACCCCTCCCCCCTCTCCTCCATTCAAGGTTGAGCAGGGTGGGTATTTGTTGTCTTCTATAGGTAGCTCGAACAGCGGCACAACATTGCATCGAGGCGATGGGGGAAGGAAAAAGCTTTATTTTCCCCTTTTGAAGTCAGTAAAACGTCAGAAAGCCCCTTTAGGGCGAAGTGTCTCGACTTATTTTGTTGCCGATTGTGGTTGCTACATAGACTGAAGTAAAGTGAACTACGCTTTGATCCTGGAGATGGGGGTACTCCAGATCTTGAGCCTATTTCAGACCAAAAAATTTCATATTCTATACCCATATTCATTTGGAATTGAAATGAGAGATACGTTCATACACCCTATACCCGATTCTACAATTGTAGCCTGGGTTACAAAAGTGGGCAAAGTCTTAAGCCGTTTTCAGACCGAAACAGGCCAAAAACCGTACCCCTTAATCAGCCAGGGGGAGGGAGGGGGGGCGGCCTTTTGTGCTGTTTTTCAGCCGTGTATCGGCTGCCAGGAAGGAAACCCTGATTTTGTTCCTCACAGTGTTTTCTCTTCTGCAGGTTCCGACAAAAAAGATTCATATGTACACAATCATTCAAACACTCGCTTGGGCTTTCTTGTTTGGAATCAAGTTGTCGCCTCTTGCTCCATCTTTTCCATTTTTTATCATCTGTCTGATTCCGCTGCGAAAGCTGCTCGGAAAGTTTTATGAAGAGCATGAGCTCGAAGAGGTAAGTTTAGGATAGAAAGCGCTTGATGACTTTTTCCGCCTTTGTACCTCGTTCTGTCAGGGAAAACTAACTATAATTTTTATCCGGTAATTTTGGCAGGCATAGCATTAAAACCAGGTTTCAATCCATGTCCATCCTCGCCATCTGTTGGAACAGACGATAGGAAACAGTTTCAACGCCTAAATATAATCTTGAATTTCTAAACTGGATCGTTATTTTTGGAATTCAATTGGCGTGAAAATACGTTTTTATAAAGATAAGAGATAGTAATAGGGCTTACCGGTCGTTTCGATACAATTGGTTCAGTCAAGATGTAAATAGTTTCACGTACATGCCTTAAAGAACGAGAAATACTCAGCCCAAATGTTTTTCTTGTTGTGCAGTTTCACCCACTGCTTGAGTTCGTATTGAAGCGATTCGTCAACTGATTCGTGTCGATACGGTTTCCGTAATGGGTGTCTAAGAGCTTTTTAGACGTCTACGTCCTTAAATTTCGCTTAAATAACGTATTTTGATTGTTAAATTCTCTTTTTATCCAACAGCTCGATAATTCAGAGTCGGAAGGTGAAGACAGCGATTTTGAACTGTAATTCTCAAGTCTCCGCGGACTTTCCACAAAGAGTTGCATTTAGTGGGTTTTGTGCCTTTCGATGTCGGCGCCTGTGATACTGTGAAGAAGCGCCAATTTATCGTTGTTCGGGGCATCACACCGGCTCTGGTTGCAGAATATCCTTACTGTTCTCTAAGGGATACCAGAGAATAAGGGCAAATTTTATACGAAAGCTGTATGTATAGACATGGAGTGAAATTCATAGCTGAGATTGATATTTTTTTACATAATTATAATGTGACTTCTATGTTTCTTAGCACTTTTCGTTCTTCCGGGTTGATGTATTTTTTGCTGTATTTCTTAATGTTATCTTGTACTAGAAATAAGAGTTTATGGATAGAGCTTGATATGTAATTGCGTATTTTGTTTATTTCTTAAATATTTTATTTAAATATTTTGTTTACTACCTAAGGGTTACGTTTACGCAATAAAGAGGAGATTTTTTCGGATTCCTGATACATTTTAGTACATTTTGGTACCGGGTGCGTTTTGCTGTTTACACGCAGATGAGACGGTGGTGGAGTAAAACGACACAAAGACGGGTTGAAAATGCGTCAGTGATATACGCAAAGAAAATAAAAGCGCAAATATAATGGTACAATACCAACAGGGACATGGCTTCTTCGGTTCGTCCTCAGTAGGGACTTTAAGATCCAACGACGCGGACGGCAACAAGAACGTCAGAAAAAAACAATAGGTTTTGTAAACAAAACAACAACTTTTCACGTGCATCACGCTTTTTTGTACATTTCTTCGCCCGTTTTCGCACGACTACGACGTGAAAATGCCTAATTTCGCTTTTTATGGAGGACGTAAACAAGCGACGACGAAATTTTATTTCTCTTTCTGTGCTTGGATATGGTCCCAAAGAATTCAATTCCAGGAGGTTCGCCTACATTTGACAAAGTAACTGGGTAGGAATAATTGCGATTAAGACTGAAAGAACGCAAATTCACTTTTTAAGAGACGTTCTCATTGCCGTCGCGTCGTTGAATCTTAAAGTCCCTAGTTTAAGATACCACGACGGCGATGGCAACGAAAATGTCGCTTAAAAATTAAATTCGCGTTCTTTCAATCTCTATCGCGATTACTCTAACTCATTTACTTTCATTTTCAAATGCAAGCGAACTCTTTTTGAGCCGATTTCCTAAGAACCATAGCGGTGGCTTGTTTACGTCCTCTATAAAACTTGAAATTAGGCATCTTCCCGTCGCAGTCGTGCAGTGACGCCAAAGAAATGTAGAAAAAAGCGTGGTGCACGTGCAGAGTTGCGGTTTTGCCTATTCAACATATCGCTTTTTTGCCGTTCTCGTTTTCGTCGTTGACGTGGCATCTTAAAGTCACGTGACTCGACGGGTTTTGAAATTCAGGTTAGGGACATACGATCCCCCTCCTCCCTCCCCAAATTTTGCGTGAATCCGCCCGATTGGTCGTGTGTCGGGAGAGTTTGAAATCGGAATCTTAAGTGAGCACTTCTTATCTGAATGAATCTTCTCGAAGTTACTGATGTGTCTAAACGCTTGTCAATCTGAACATTTTAAATTTAATAAATCCGGAAAAAGTCCTCTCTAGTCTGAACGTACCCAAGGTCTGATCTGAATAGATTATACTCTTTAAACTTTAAGCCGAGGTTTACTCGTTCAAATATTTCAATAAAATAATTTTTGTTTTTTCTTATTTATGGGTAGTAAGAGTTGCCCCATGACTACTTCTTGGTGCAGTTAAATTTCCTACCCTCCATTTTTTGCTCATAAAAGAAAACACCTGACTCAATGAACATGAATGACTCAACTCAATAAAGTCTTTATTCCTTTTTTTTACTTTTCTCTTGACAAAAAGATATGTATGTATGAATGTACATTCCTTCTTGTTACTTTCGCTTTTATTTTCATATCAATAAACTGTTTCAAAAGAAATAAAAATTTGACCCTACACACTCTTGTAAATAATGGTAAAAAAGAAACAAGTTTTTAATAACAAGTTACAACACTTCAAAAATGCGTATGTACATGGCGGCAGAAGAGAACTCTGTGTACAAAAGATAACTAAGTCACGAAGGAAAATGCATGTTTATGAATGTTTAGAACAACAGCAGACATGTCATATATCTCTGTTTGTGGTTAACTGGACAGCTGAAGATGACTGATGTGCCCCTGTAAATAGACATAACAGAGTCCGTCAGCTATAGACTACGAGTAGTCCCCCATTTTTCCTCAGGGATAGTAGAGCGAGCGAAACGTGAGCGCGCGGGAAAATCACCCGACGCGAGAAAAGGTGACACGCAGCAGGGAGAGAGAAAAATGAGAAAAAAGAGAAAAATTCTCTCTTGCCTTTTCTTGCGTGGGGTGATTTTCACGCGCACTCGCATTTTGCTCCCTCTAGTATCTCTGAGGAAAAATGGGGGACTACTCGTAGTCTAGTCAGCCAAGTCTCTTGAACCCTTTTAGCAACAGAGAATAATCGGACAGAGAGGGAATCATAGGGCATTGGCCGAGATATGTGACTTACACCAAAGTTATTTTTAGAGGTTGCAGTCTCATTCCTGAGACGTCTGCACATTTTAATCAATTGTTTGAAACATCCTCAAATCCACGCACGACTGCCCGTGTCTCAAAGCAAACAATGCAGAATATTATAATGGAGACTGTAGAATTCTGTCTTGACAACATTGAACAAAAGTTTGCCGATCTCTCCGGAAACCAACTTGCAATTTATTTCAAGCATTTATTTGTTCTAAAATTAACTTTGGTGGGGGGACATCCCAAGTGCTAGACTGGGTGTTTCCTTGTCTGTCCCATTATTCTCTGTTGCTTTTAGTCAATTGCAGTTGAAATCTTGTAGTGTAAATGAAGCTACTAAGCAGCAGTGTACTTTCTTGTGGTACTGTTTTATTATGTTGTTACCTTGCAAGCAGTGGGAAGATCGAAGGGCCTCTGCTTGCAGGGTATTATGCTGTACAAGGTGGTTCTAACTTTTGAGTCTGTGGATGAAATCCTATGGTGTGATTACTCAAATGAAAGCTACTGAGCAGTACTTTCCTGTGGTACTGTTTGTTATGCTGTACAAGGTGGTTCTTTTGAGTCTGTGGATGAAATCCTATGGTGTGACCATCCAAATGAAAGCTACTGAGCAGTACTTTCCTCTGGTACTGTTTAATATGCTGTATAAGGTGGTCCTAACTCTTGAGTCTGTGGATAAAATTCTATGACGTGAAGGACTTAAGAGAATCCTCTTCCAGGGTGACCTTGTCCTTTCAAGAGGCATTAAAACATTAAGGGGAACCATCGTGTAAAATACTGGAAAAGGTTAATCCCTCACTGAGAGGGGCAGGGGGTCAGTAGGATAAAGGAATTCTTCTGTGAGTGTTACGATTCTCTGGAAGAGTCAAACCCTTTTATTACTGTGGACATCAAAGGGACACATCCTAGTGTAGACATTACAAAGGTGTCTGTATTAGATAGGTAGGCATGCAGGGTGTTCATTAGGCATTGGAGATCAGTGAATACTCCGTTCACTACACAGAATTCTCTGATAGCCTATGACTCTTTTATTCAGATGTGAGGTCTCTTTCAATATATTCTCCTGTAACGTTATACCTTTCTCCTGCTACAAGAATTCTTACTGAAAACCCTTGGGATGGTATCAGTGGTGTGAAGGTTGGTGTCTTTTGGAGTTAGAGAATTATCCTCAGTAAACACTTATAAGTATGGAGACATTGGATTGTACGTTAATGTGTTTTACTTACTGGTTCTCCTGTCAAACAGCGGGGACAGGTAGGCAGTGATGAACGATTAGCCATCAACAACGCTCGTTCGCTTACTGTTGAGGACGGTGGGTGATACGGATGAACATTTGCTGAATCATATGCTAGCTCCATTCCTTGAACCTCATTTACTTGATTTGCATGTTCATGTACTACATTACAGTTTATGTCTATGTGAACATTTAAAGTAGGAGGACTTGGATATTGACTATGTTCTGCTAGGGACTGTCTGGAATGTAACGATCTGTTTTCTGTTTCCTGATTGAGCATATTTTCTGCCCGCCACGAAGAGTTTTCTAGACATCGTCGCTTCTAAAAAACAAATTGACAGTGTTAAAATCAATGTAATCTTTCTATTCACTAAAACCTTATTAAAGCTTAAATTAACTTGTATTATCATAAGACATTTCAACCTATTTCTCGTGCGTGGGGGAAACTGAAGAACTACGGAGTACACAGTAGAACCCTGATTTGGAATTACTTTCCAAACAAACTATTTACAACCCAGATCAACAAGGAACGAACAAAGAAAGAACGAAAAGTACGTTAAAACCATTGTTAAAACACGTGCAGAAGAAAAGTAAATTAAATCAAACCCACATTCGTGCGGTGATCAGTACGAGATTCTAGAACAGCCTGTCGCTTTCTCGTCAAGTTACAAGGCTTTACCACGTCCATACAATATTCGATTTCCATGTTAGGTGAGTTTAACAGAAAAAAATCACAAGGATTTAAATTCTTTGGCGACAGATCTGTTTACAAACCGTAAAAAAAAAACCAACTCTCAGTACCCATCGTGCATTTCTGTTGAAAATTTTGTCATCTTTCATTGTTGCCAATATGAAGTAAATACGATTCACTTGAATCCAGGTCACCTCGGTTTTGTGAGCAAAATGGCGGGTTTGTGGTAAACAGTGTGGTTACTGAATTAACATGTGTTATAGTTCAATTTAAAGCCATCTAGTTCAGCTGAAATGTAAAGCGAATTTCGGTGTTTCTTAGAGGATGTCTTCCAGCCTTTTGTTCAATTCAGTTATACCTTGTGGTTGACTTTATTATACCAAACTTGGTCGGACGGCGGAATCGAAAGCGCTTCCGGGTTCTTTACCAACTGGAAATTGACAACAGAATTGTAACATTCAGAGATGTCGAATACACGAAAACGTAAACATGGTGGCTTGACTCAAGATGGAGAAACAAGAATCAAAGTTGAGAGGAGTGAGTATCGTTAATATAACCGCGCAACATGCGATACAACCCGCATGGTGTTTGGTCTTTAACAGCTGTACAGATGTACTTGAACTCACGTCTGATTTATGATTATGTAGGCCTTATAACGGTTTTGGAAGTCGTCTTGTTGGGTAGGCAACCACGTGAGAAAGCACAGTGTTCGTATGAGAATCTAATGTCGAATAACTTCCGTAAAAGGGCTGTTCTGTAGAAAGTAGGAACTGTAAACTAAAGCTTCACAGCAAAGGATTCTACTAACAATTGTTTGGGGGGCCGCGGTTGTTCTTAAATTTCTCCAGTGAATTGCTTTAGATTTTCCATATAGGTGGTTTTCATGCAATCTCGGGAGACACAAATAACAATGGTGAAATGAACAAATGCTAGTGGACAAACGAAACGAGCTAGTAAGCAGTCTTTTGTTTACCGTCCACCAGCATAGCAGTGATGACGTAACGTGAAAACCACCTATATTTGTCTGAAAGTTTTTTCCCGGGAAATTTTGGTCGGCAGGAAGAAAAATTTTTACAGAACTATATATAGAAAATTTTAAAAAGTGGCTAAAGCTCAGGTAATGCCCTCATATTTTTTCAGTAATAGAATTCTTAGGAGTGAAGCTTTAGGTTACAATTCATTTTTTTCAGAACAGCGATTTTACAGAAATTTTTCGACAAAAGATTCTGACACACTCATTTCTCATGTGGTTCCCTACTCGTCAAGGTGGCTTCCAAAACCACGATAAGGTCAACACATGTACCTTTTATTAAGTTTAATTACAAGGATTGTACTGAAAGAAAGTTTGGTGGAGGGAATTCAGGGAAAAAATTTCTTTTCAGCACTATATGTTGATTGCTCATTCTCTACTGTATTCCTTGTATTCCTTCAAAACAAACAAGGGCTTTGAGGAAATTATATCTTTTGTTACTTTTCGGGGATTGCTCTTTAGATGAAAACAAGTAAGTGAGCGAGCAAAATGCCAAGTGTAATACGGAGAAAAATGTTGTATATTTGACAACAAATAACAAATAAGGTGAACTTCACATACCCTCATGCTATTATTACTTAGGTCTCTCAAGCAGCGATTCTGATGAGGAACTGTCATCTCCTTCATATGCCAGTTTTCTTCATGGTGACCGCAAACCAGTGTACAGTGATGTGGTTTGGAAACAAATGGTATGTGAGAAATGATATAATTAACTTATCACGAGCAATTGGAAAAGGAAAAAAACCGGAGTCGCCGACAGGAATTGAACCTATGACCTTCCATACACTGGTCGGATGCTCTAAGCACCGAGCTACAAAGGACTTGTGGTGAGCTAGGCTATGTACACTGTACTGGTCTGGGCTCAAACCTTTTACTCTGTGTTCTTTCCTTAGAGAAGCAACATTCTCTCACCATGGCTCTAGTCACCCACACCCTGATTGGTCAAACATTGGATAGCGCTATCCACGGGATAAATTACTATCCAGTGGATAGAGATTTATCCAGAGGATAATGTTATCCACCCGTTGAACAACTCATGAGCCCTGGCCCTGGTTGTTCAAACGTTGGATAGCACTATCCAACAGAAAAATCAATATCCAGCAGATAAGTATCCAATAGTAATTGTGCTATCCACTGGATAGATTTTTATCTGGTGGATAGCACTATCCAACGTTTGAACAACTGGTGTATAAAATTAATGTGTAACAGCAATGTGATGTTAGGGTATCACCATGATGGACTAGCACACTTTTTAAGGGAGAGAAGCAATACTTGTAGGTGCTTTGTGCTGCAGGAATTGAGTTAAGCTCAGCCCTTGTGGGCTTCACAGCTTGTATTTGTTTCCCCCCTTTAAGAGTTTTTTGAGTACCTCTACTGCTGGGGGGGGGGGGCTACATAAAAATGTAATTTTCATGAGTATGTCTAATTTTTGACCAGGAAAAAATGGGTTACAAGGCAGGAGAAAGTCTGGGCAAGACTGGCTTGGGAAATAAACAGTTTTCTGTTACCAAAAATCAAGGAAATGACAGTGAAGATGAAGTGCTTAATAATGCATCGCAACCAGAGTCTGTGTACAGTGACTTTGCTCAGAGACAAATGGTAAGGACTTCATCTGTTGCTGTACCTACTACTAAAAAAGACAAAATAGTTATTTAGTTTCTAAAGACTAATCATCAATGATTGTTGGAAAATATTCAACACAATATGCCTCACTTTGGCCAAGATTAAATGCTGGATGTTTAAGCTTTTATATTAAAGTATGACGTATTAGTAACCTATTTCCTTTTATTCTGAAAACATGTCAAAGTGACCTGTGAGGTTTGAGAAAAGGTCAATATTATGTTACGAAGTAAAAGATACAGTAAGCAAAATCCAGGAAATAAGTAATTTTTAAAACTTAAAAATTCATGAACATTTCTAACATAATTTCACTCATTCTGATCAATGATGATAATGATAGCATTATTAATTTATTATATTGTTTCATATTCACTTTATTCAACATTTTTTGTAATATTACCATTTTATTGTGCTTTAGGAAAGCATGGGTTTTCAGCAAGGAGGGGGCTTAGGACGATTTGGTCAAGGAAGAGCTGACATCATAGAGGCATCTCAACAGCGGGGGAGGCGTGGTCTTGGCTTCCGAGTTGAAGGCTTTGATGATAAAGATTTTACTTGGGAAGAAGAAGAAGAGGTAATTCCTTGCTCATAATGTTGAAAAGACAAAAGACAAATGTCAACATAGTTTTTGTACCAGTTACACGATGCCTGGAACTTAAGCAAGTCAGGTTTTAGAAAAACACTTATTTCATTGTTTTGAGGTGGGATGTTGAATGCAGGTTTCTGTGTGACATTTTTATTGTCATATGCAGTGTTAATACCAGAGGTAAATATATTGAAATACATATGAAGCATTTTTGCATTGCATTTTAATTAACTATGTTGACCACATGAAAGTCTTGATGATGATCAAACTGTGCATTTCACTATCATAAAAGGCCTATGTCATTGCAGAGTACCCAATTTGATTTAGACCATGAACAATACAATACTTTCAAAACACTAAGTGAAACCAAAAGACAAGAATCCTATTGAACTTATTGGTTCAGTTTCACAGCATGGAGATTTTCCACTTAGTGTGTTAAGGTGATTGAAAATGGAAATCGTCTTGCAACTTGAGGACTGCAACTAAATACTGACATAGAAAATTGAAAAAACACAAAAGAATCAATGTCTTTCTGTACGCCTTCCCCAGTTCCTGTTAGACTGTGCTGTACACAAGTTATGTATATGTTACATGCTAATTGTTGTCAATGTACACTGGAGAATGAAAGAGATTTATCGTCATTTACCATTTGACGTGGTAGTATAATTCAGTTGACAAGCATGCATGAATTTTTTTTGTTTCTTCGAATTTTTCAGGTTGTGATAGTAGAGCCTAAAGTTTGCATCCCTTCCTGTCCCAGACCCCCTCCAACCAAAGAAGAGATGGAAGACTGGATCAGAATTGGCAAGGTGATCTCTTTGGTGCAAACTTGTTCCCAGGGCCTCTGTTCCAAGAACCTGGAGATGGGGGTACCGTTTGTTGTACACTCAAATTTCAACGGAAATGTCAGATTTAATTTTGCATATTTTATATGTAGTGGTTCAATAATTTTATCCTTGGTTTGAATTTTATTTGCTTTTGTTTCAAACTCATTATCATAATTATATTTCCATACCCAAAAACAAAGGAAAAGAAAATTTAAGCCAAGGATAAAATTGAACCACAACATGTACAGCTGCACATGTGAACAAAGAAATGTGGCTAAATGTAATTTGGGCAAAGTTAAATTGCAAGCCAATGCAGCCAGCGGTCTCCTCCTCAAGCGTACGTGATCTGTGAGGTGACCTCAGGGGCGTTTGCTTATTCTTGTGACTTACGTTGCATGATTAAGGTATGTATATTACTATACATAAAATTGTTCTGTTCTAAAGTAGTTCCACCTTTTTAGAAAAAGTTAACAATTGATGATGAAGCACAATTCTGTAGTGAAGAAGTTCTGGCAGAGGTTCTAAAAAGCAAGGTATGTATATGTATTTAGTAGCATAAGCTGGTTGTATCAGATAATTAAGTTACCAAATTCATCTTACCTTACTGAATTTTAAAGGAGTATGTGTTAGTGATAGTAACTATCACTAACTATTGGTTGCTTTTATCAGGGTTGGATTTGTTCAACATTACGATTATCACAGTTTCAAAATGTCTGAAGAGATCATCAGTTCAAGCTTTTATCTACTTTGCCAGTGACTGTGTCGGATTTTAAAGTAGGGGGCAGAGTGGTTAGAGTGCTGGACTTGTAGCCCCCAAGTTCAAGTCCTGCCCGACCTCTAGCTGGATTTGTTTACTGTAGTTCGAACTCCAGCCAGTTGGGATTCTTAACCTTGTTATGTTTGTTTTGAATTATTTGTTTTAGACACTAGCATTAGTGTTATAAATACTGCTGAGGGTAAACAAAGGATATTATTATCATCATCATCATCATCATCATCATCATTGTTGTTATTATTATTATTATTATTATTATTATTATTATAATTATTATTATTATTATTATTATTATTATTATTATTATTATGATTGTTATTAGATAGTAGCATCTGCTCCACATTAAAAGATCCCTGTCTGGAAATAGGTGCAGTTTAAATAAACAGACGAATATAGCTGAGTCTGGGACATGGGAATGATAGTGGAGCACTTGTTAAGCTTCTTGTATAAAGTGTAAAATTGTTTCTCTTTCCACAATTAGACTGTTTTTGATGCCCTTTCTGGTGATGAATTCCTGAAGGCAAGAACAAGAGCTAATCCTTATGAGTTTATAAGAGGAGCAATTTTTCAGAACAGGTGACTGATCAGTATAAATTTAAAACTGTGAAAGGTTTGAACCCAAATTTAAAGTTCGCATTGAAGTAAAAAGTAGGCAAAACTGTTTTGTAATTATATGCTGTGGTTAATTTTTTATCTAGGTAATTTTTATTTTTCTTTCATTTCAACTTCATTTAGCATACATTACCATACCCAAAAACAAAAGAAAAACAAAAATTACCTGAGATAAAAAAATTAACTACATATACATTAAAGTATGGTTGAATCTAGACATCAATGGCTGGTATACTGACTGTTTTGGTGACAAATAAGTCCTGACACCTGTGTACTGTATAGATTAAGTGATGAGTGATCACAAATGAGTAGTTTTGGTTGTTTTCATATACACAGTTTACAGATTAATGACTCAGGGCTGTCATTAAGTGCCAGGGGCTGGGGATTTCCCCTGGCTGCTACCATAAATGTGGCCCCTGGCTACTTTCATATAATAGAAGAAAAATAGAACCAAAAGAAATCCCTAGCTGTTTGATTCCCTGCCTACTTGTTATATTTACCCAGCAACTTGAAATCTTAATGACAGCCCTGAACAACTATATTTTGTAAGTTAGAGATGTTTGAACTTGAATGTTACTAACTCTCTGTTGTTTAAATTTTTTCTTCTATTAAGAGGTGTAGTAGTTTTAACTTAATTTATATGACCCATGTTTTAGTATGGACACCCTTTTAATAAAGACACTGCCCATGGTCCCCTCAAAGTTAAACTCTAAATACAGGGGCGGATCCGGGATCTTTCTTGGGAGGGAGTGCACCTACCATTTTAACTACCATTTTTACGGCTTTTAAAGTAAATTCTTCAACCTGGTCTCATGTTGTACTTCAACGTCAATAAATCACAAACCTTTTTGTATTAGAAAGCTGCAGGTGATCCACAGGGGGGAGGGTGCACACCCCCTACACCTTCACGCAGGATCCGCCCCTGAAATATTATTGCCTAGGTCATAAAAGGTTCTTTGGTTTGGTTTTAATCAATAGGGCAGCCATGAAGATGGCCAACATGGATTCTGCTTTTGACTTCATGTTTACTAGCCCCAAAGATGACAAAGGAGTGAGTTTTATTTTAAATTTAGTTTTTGATACATCAATTGGTGCAGAAGTGGATGGGAGGGGGGGGGGCTGTGCAGTCACTGTCTACAGTGGCAGTAGACCCTAACTTGAGGAGGGTTGTCAAATACTGTCAACTAGACTCCAGTCATATCCCTTTGCTCTCCACTGGAAAACCGGAAGTCTAGTGGTGAAAAGTCCTACCAAGTGAAGGTCATCGATTGGACACAAATAGATTCCAATGGAAAGTACATTTTCTTTTCGTGAGAGACTTAGAGAAATTCCGCTCATGTTGTTTGAGGGGGTAGAAAGCCGTTCCAATCATATATATATGGAGTCCATTGGATCCAGAAAATATCCATACTCACTCCTTGGAGACTCATTGGAAATTCCAAGGGGGAGGCCCCAGGAGGCAGGGGTGGGGGGAGGTCTCTTTGACCAACATTTTTAATGTACAGTTTGTATGAGTCTAAAATGAATATTTCTAGCGGGGAGGTGGTGTGGTCAAACTAATAAACTGTCCCTGGGGAATAAGGATACTCTGGAACAAGACACTGTGAAAAGTGAGGCTTAAAAATGCTAATATCAGAATTTCAATTCTCACTTCTTGTTTCTACACATTTCCCACAGAAGTAAAAATGTAGTGGAGAGAAGTTGTTAAATATTTAAATAAATGAAATTCATCTTGCGTGATCCTGTCCTCAATTCTCGTGACCATTATGTTTTAATTTAATGCTGATGACTTTAAAGGCTTCAAAGGTTAACGTTACCTTGCAATAACTCCACTAGAAAAAAAAAACGCTACTAGAGAAGTTTCATTTAAATAATCACATCATAAAATACTTAAATGTTAACACTACGTGGCCGTTAGCATCTCCCAATGACTTACCTAAGGTATGAAAGAGTTAAAAGACTACTGTTTGCTTGATTGTAGAGAGACTTGATTGGACCAAATGACCTGTTGTACTTTGCTGATCTATGTGCGGGTCCTGGTGGCTTCTCGGAATATGTGCTGTGGCGTAAGGGTTGGCAAGCCAAAGGATTTGGCTTCACATTAAGAGGTACATAAGTAAAAATAATGGCCTGTTACTGCAGACGTTAAGTTTGTAACCATTAATTATAATTAATATTTTGGCCAGCTATGTTCTTCTCTTCTGCTAAAATAATAGAAAAGATGAGGAAATGTTTTGCTCAGTAAAACACATGGTGCAGATGATGATGATGATGATGATAGGGACTTGAAGATTCAACAACGCGACAGCAACGAGAATGTCTAAAAAACAATAGGTTTAATAAGCAGAAAAACAACTTTGCACGTGCATACGCTTTTTTGTACATTACTTTGCCGTTTTTGCACAACCATGATGTGAAAATGCTTAATCTCGTGTTTTATGCAGAACGTAAACAAGCAACGTCGAAAGTTTATTTCGCTTTCTGAACTTGAATAATTTATGGTCCCTTGGAATTCAAATTCAGGAGGGTTCGTGTACATTCGACAAAGTAAGTAAGCAGGAATAATCGCAATAAAGACTGAAAGAACGCAAATTATTTTTTTAAGCGACGTTCTTGTTGCTGTCGCGTCGTCCCTAATAATTGATGATGACAGTGGTGCCAATCTGATGATGATGGTGATCAGATGATGATGATGGTGACAATGATGATGGTGATACTAAAAAATTTTTTTCGTCTACTAATCCTCTGATATTTGTGAGACTATTACTTTGGGAACCGTGACATTAAAAGGGGAAGGATCAATTTAGGTCCGTTTCTGGGATACTGCCCACCTACCCCTCCCCTAAGCTAACATTAACACTCACTTCTCGCTTAGGGCAAAATGATGGCCTAGGGGAGGGGTAGGTGGGCAGTTTCTCCAGAAACATAAATTGATCCAGGGGGAATACCATCGATCAACGTATTGACTTAAAAATATGTGTTTTTTGCGGGGAGGTGGGGGGAGGGGGAGCATCCACTAACAGGCAGTGAGAAAATTTGCAGAAAATAACTTGCCTCAAATTCAAATTAGCGTACTGTAAAGAAATCATTTCCAAGGTCTTGGCTAGATTCCTGCATTTTGTCTAAAGGTTGCTGCCTACTATAGTGATGACAATGATATGTAATTGTAACTTTTTTTTCTGAAGGTGACAATGATTTTAAGCTGGAAGAGTTCTTAGCTGGAACACCAGAAACCTTTGAACCACATTATGGTGAGAATAACATTTTATATAGATCTTATCTGCTGTGAACTCCTCTCATCGTTTGATCCCTAGAAAATCGTACATCTCGTTTGTAGAAAAATATTGAAGGGAAACGTTTAAGGGCAGAAAATGTTTCACTCGCAGACTTCTATGCTCATGTTAAATCTCTAGCTGGATAAAACTCTTAGCAATATTCATTCAACCACTGCGCCCTGGAGGTTTTGCTAGAACGTAGTTTGAAGTCAGGTGAGCCATTTCCTGGTCACCACATTGCACAAAGGGCAATATTGTAACTTAGAACTTTCTAAGATCGGGCATGTACAGAAGACAAAAATTGACAGTGCCACTGCAAGCTTGACTTTTATATTTTTCTCTCTTTCTTCCCTGTTTAAGGTACCCTGCTATACCCTGCTAGCAGCGGTTTCTTTTCGGCGTGGTTTCGCGTTCGCGTAGTTAGCTTGTTTTTCTCTCGGAGACGTAAAAAAGCCAACCACATGAATGTCAGCGGCACGAACGACTTCATACATGCTATAAACCACCGTAGAAAGAACCCTTTGTTCTCAGGATACGTTTAAGGCCGTTTTGCCACTTGACTTTCTTCTTCTTGTTGTTTTTTGTTTGTTTGTTTTGTTTTGTTTCGGTTTTCTGTGTTTTTGCTAAGCTTTTCCTGCTGGAAAAGATTTTTCTTAAAAATGCTTATAATGTTCACAATGTTATGAAGGATATTTAGGTAGGTATTGGGCGAATTTTTTTTTCGAATTTTTCGGCGGTTAAAATGTGATTGAGTCATTGAAGTAATCTAAGCGACTGGGCTTTTCTTTCCTAAAGCAGCTTTTGTTTGTTAATTACGGTTTTACTGTGCAAAATAACCTGTAGGTCATTAACTGGTGTTTTCCTTTGCCAAGGTGTACACGATGATGGAGATATCTACAATGAAGACAACCTGGTAGAATTTAGAAGACATGTGCTCGAGTTAACGGATGATAAAGGTGTTCATTTTGTCATGGCTGACGGGGTAAGTTTTGAACGCTTCAGTCATTGTTAAGCTCTTTTTCTTCCTTGAGTTGTTTTAGGGCGATCACCAAAAGTTAGAGCAATAACTCATCAGCTGGACCGGTCATTTTGAAAACGTAACAGCTTTTTTTCGAACGTTTTCGGCTTTTCGGCTGGCTGCACAGTTCAGCTAATAGCGGAATTTCTCTTTATGACTGGATTTGTCCGGCCTTTTGGTTCTAATTAATGCTAATCACCCTTAAAGGCACGGGAAAACGATCCACAAAAACGTGCAACCTGTTTTGCGACATTGCTGTAAAACGAGTGAAACAGCGATGTTGCGCGTTTTAGCACCCACGAATCAAACTGTCTTGCAACAAATCAGGATGTTGCAGGTTGCGAAAAGTTGTTGCAGAAAGTAGAGAGTAGCTCTACTTTTTGCAACAAAATTTGTACATGTTGGGCGTCCTACAGGCCCAAGGCAAACTTAGGTTTGCAGCAAGTGACGTAAATCCCGTGCATCGCGTGACTCCCGCGTAATTTTATCCAATCAGAAGACAGTATTCCCGCAACTTGCAACAACCTGATTTGTTGCAAGACAGGCTGCAACGTGGGTGGTAAAGCGCGCGACATCTCCATTCAACTCGTTTTGCCACAATGTTGCTAAACAAGTTACACGTTTTGGTGCCCTAATGGCCGTAGCTTCATATAAAAACTTTCTTTGTTTGTTCCAATAAAGTTGCATAGCTTATGACCACGTGAGTGAAAACGCTTTATTATTACAACATTTATCAAAGTGAGAAGAGTTCACTTGATGAATTGTTGTTCTTTTCCCAAGGAATGTCACTGAGCCTTTCGAAATAAATTTTGTTTATTTAGGGATTCTCAGTCGAGGGACAGGAAAATATCCAGGAAATCCTCAGTAAACAGCTCTATCTCTGCCAATTTCTTTGTGCAGTTTCCATTCTTAGAACAGGTAAGAAGTTCATTTTTTATACGTTTGATTCATTTGATATACATGTGACCTCCTTGCCATTTATCACAAGGAAGTTTAAAGGGAACCTCCACTCTTACTACAGAATAAGTTTAAATCGAATAAAATTATGTTGATAAACAAATTTGTTCGAAATTTGTCTTAAAAAAAGTGTTTATATCAGGAAAAGTGAATTTTAAAATCGCTTATTTTCACTTTCAAATTTCGCGGGCGCTGCCATCTTGAATAATTGTGACGTGTTACGGTTGCTCTATTGTTCTGACACAAAGAACTTTTGTTTAATAACAATAGGGCAACCATTACACGTCACAATTATTCAAGATGGCGACGCCCGCAAAATTTGAAAACAAAAATAGGCGAATCTAAAAGTTATTTCTTTCGGATACAAACGCTTTCTTTAAAAATATTTTAGATTGACTTGACTGTAAGAGTTATTTCCTGTGATTTAAAGTTATCTTTTTGTTGAAGTGGAGGTTCCCTTTAAGGCTATGTTCAGACACATTCAAAAATGCGTGATGCACGTGCAAAGTTGTTGTTTGGCTAATGTAAACCTATCACATGACATCACGGCGGCCATATTGGTGTCCCAAAACAGTGAAACGGTGGCCATGTTGGTATCCCAAAACAATGAAACGGTGGCCATATTGGTGTCCCAAAACAGTGAAACGGTGGCCATATTGGTGTCCCAAAACAATGAAACGGTGGCCATATTGGTGTCCCAAAACAATGAAACGGCGGCCATGTTGGTGTCCCAAACCAGTCCGCGGGGAGTTCAACTCTTTTCTCATGCAAATAATTTCTTTTGTTTCAATTAATTTGCATAGATGCTGGCCACGTGAGTGAAAACACTCTGTTGGGCTAAATTAAACGTAGTTTAGCCAGTGTTTAACAAAACCGCGTTCTAAGTCATTTCCAATTTGCCCAACGATTTTATCTAAACATCATTTATTGTAAACAGTTTTATGAAAGCATTTAGAAAAGACTAGAAAAGCATTTATGTTCTTCAAACAACCCACCAAAGAAGAGATCTGGAGTTTCAAAGAATCATTAAACCGAGGCTTAAGTTATACTTTGTTTAAATATTTGGCCCATTGCTTTTTGAACGTTCCTGTTCCCGTTGCCATTGCCATCGTCGGATCTTGAGGTCCTTAATCTCCGCCAGGAGAGTGTACAAAGTCAGTACCCAACTAAATCAGCCGTCTCTCCCGTTCTGTGCCGCTGACTTTAGCCCAAGCTATTTAACCGTGCTACAAAACAGTGACGTTATTTTCTTTTTTCTTTTGCTTGTATTTCAGGTGGCCATTTCGTGTGCAAACTGTTTGATCTTTTCACTTCATTTAGTGTTGGTCTCGTGTACCTCATGTATCGTATTTTTGATGAGGTATACATTTTCAAACCTGTCACCAGCAGGCCGGCTAACTCAGAGAGGTAGGCTTTTACTATTTTATATGGTAACTTGTAGGGACAAAGCACATCCCAGAATCCAAAAACACTTCCTAGTATCCAAAACACGCCCCAGAGTCCAAAACAGGTCCCAGGTTTTGATTTCTGGGGACGTGGTTTTGGATTCTAGGATGTAGTTAAATTAGATTCTGGAAAGTGGTTTGTCCTTTCGAACCACCCTAATTCAGTTCCAGAATTATCCATTTGAGGCTAGTTAGAGAAACCGGGCTGGCTCTCTTTGTCAAAAGTGGCCTGCACCAATTTTCTCCCAATAATATCAGTACATAATTAAGAGAAAATTGACTGATGCTTTAAGGAAATGTATGGAGATCAGTATGTAGAATTTGTATGTGGATATTGGGATTAAATGGGTTCAACGCAAGAAAAAGTTGTGATCCCAATGAGTGGCGAGATAAAAGTTACATCGGTAAAGCGAACTAGCTCGGCTCATGTAGTCACCTATTAGCAGGTCTAAGGCGTGTTTTATTTATTCCAAGTTTACAAAGGCTGTATACCGTGAAATTCTGGCTGTGTTCCTAGGTTACAGGGGATCATCATACGTTCTGGGAAACTACCCACCTACCCCTCCCCTAAGCCAACGTTAACACTTACTTCTCACTTAGGACAAAATGTTGGCTTAGGGGAGGGGTAGGTGGGCAGTTTCCCAGCAACGTGTAATGATCCGGCTAATCTGTAGGCTCTCCCCCGTCCATCATACCCCTAATGACGGCGACGACAACGAGGACGTCGATGAAGCAAAAGGTTTAATAAGCGAAACAACATCCCGCACGTGCAGCACACGTTTTGGTACATTTCTTTGCCTTCACTGCACTTCGACGTAAAATTTCACAAAGCCACGTTTTCTTAAAGGGGCTGTGTCACGGCAGTCCAGTTCATTTTGTTTAATTTTGCCAATTACTCGCCCTCAATTGCTATGGAACTTGAAGTAAGCAAAGAAATTACATGTAAATGACAAAATCAGAGATCCGAGACAGACAAATATGTCTCCTGAGCATTATTTTTGAAGTTGCAAGTAGCAGGGATCAACTTTGAAAAACTGTTAGGCTGAACAGTTTTCAAAAACCCTAATTTCAATCCGTTTCAATCTTCTTCAGTTTTGCCTATCCGTGGCATCTGTTGCTTCTGTTATGTTATTTTAACCTTCCTTTAAAGTTTTAAGCGGTTATTTTATGCTTCTCTTAATTGAACGGGCATTTTTTTAATTTCCTAATTTGGCCGTGAATTTCGTGACACAGCTCCTTTAAGAACGCAAACGCAAGACTACAAGTTGGGCTTTCTCATAATGACATGAATTTCACAGTAATATTAATTCACGCTTTAAAACACGAAGCTTCATTTCAACTTAGCAATGTGCGAGCATTACCGCCCCTTTTCGGTGAATGATGTTTATGTTATCACGACTCATAGTTTCTTCGCACACCTTTAGGTACGTGGTGTGCAAAGGCCTTCGTCCCAACATTCAAGATGTACTTGAGCACATGTTCAATACGAATGTAAGAATCAACAAAATGAAAAACCAAGACATTGATGACGTAATGGAGGTTGGTAGAAGCTTAAATTTACTGCTGCACACATTTAATTCCACAACGTGTAGCCCTTTGGTCAACGGGGAATTTATGGAGATGTTTTCGCGTGGACGTTAAATCTGGCCATTCAAATGAAAGTTACTGAGCAGTTCTTTCCTGTGGTGCTGTTTATTATGCTGTACAAGGTGGCTCTAACTTTTGAGTCTGTGGATGAAATCCTATGGTGTGACCATTCAAATGAAAGTTACTGAGCAGTACTTTTCTTTGGTACTGTTTATTATGCTGCCCAAAATGGTTCTAACGTTTGAGTTTGGGGATGAAATGTCTGACCATTCAAATGAAACCTTTCTTTTGCAAAGACCAGATGGGGATCAGTTATTTAGTTCGTTAGTCCAAGCTAATTAAAACTATTTTGCTGTTTACAATCCTTTTTACCTACTTTAGGGCACATTGTACCCAGACTCGTGAAAATTCGTCATTTCGATAGACCAACTAAAAGTGTCGTTTTAAATGATGTGTTGTCTTTTTTCTAGATCGTTCCCTTGCATATTCTTCTGGAAGATGAAGAATTTTCATCGTATATGGTTGATTCGAATGATAGGTATTGTGCATGTACTGCATTTTATGAATTAGCTAAAACAGGTTCATTTGTTAGCATAGATTCATCGCCCTAAGAATAACAGTAAAGCATAGAATAACATCGTGAAAGTGTTGATAACCTTTTCATTCCAAAAAACTGCTTTTCTTGCGAAAGTTTTACCAGCTAAATGGAGAACTGTTTTTATCTTTTGAATCAATTACCAAATATTGTGCCTTTGGCGTAAAATATATATTCGTATAAAAAGGATGAACGCGTTATTTTAATCATGCTCCTAAGATCCTCAGTTCTGTATTTTCGAACCCCCCATAATGCACTCTGTTTTCTCCCCCACCCTAATTTTGCATAATCTATTGTTTTCAAATGCTCCTGGGGGGACTGCCTATTTCCAAGAGCATTTGAAAACAATAACTCATGCTAAATGTGGGTAGGCAAACAGAGTGTATTACGGTGGATTATTCGTAAATAGTCAATGAACTTATTGTGTGATCTGTTTATGAAAGTGGAAAAGTTAGAAGAGAAATTATGTTTTAGCTCTTGGTCTGATCTCTTTGAAATTCTGAAAATCTAATCTGCTATAGGATAGGGAAGGTGCAAGCAAATTCCCTCAAGAAACTGAGAGCCTACGTCCAAGACACGTAAGTTAAAATGTTGTGGAACTATTGCTTGAATCTGTGCATTTTAGCCAAACCAAGGGCTGCTGTAGCTTGTTATGCAAGTGTTCTGTCACGCGCTCTTTCCCCACGTGGGTAAGGAACACGTGACGAAGCTCTAAGAACTTCTTCCAGGGAGGCTAGGGCTGCTGCATCATACACAAACGTTCTATCGGCTCGTCACGCAACGGGAAAGAATCCGTTAAGTTGTATTTCAAGTGGCACTAAATCTTTATTAATTTTATTTCCAGGGCCCTCATTGATATCAGCATTTTATGCTGAAGAGATAACCCTGGCTAAATAACATTTATTATTTATTTATTACTTATGACACGCAAATTCAAATATGTATAATTATGATCAAATGCGCGTCGATTAGATCATTACTTTACTTTTCCAGCACGTTAATGGGTCATTATGATCAAGGGGAAGTGAAGAAAAGATGTTTGGAGACTTGGAAGGTCAGTTTTTTTTTATCCTGTATAGTTATACAAACGCTAATGTTAGCAAAAGTACTGTTGTAAACAAAAACATATAAATAAAATTCTCCCAACTAATTTTTTAAGGAATTGTATGGAGATCATTTTGGAGAAATTGTACGTGGATAATGGGGCTTAGAGGTTACACCCCACCATGATATTTCCAAGAATCCCTAGTTCTCAAGTGGGTTAATAAAATAAAATGCTGGTGGCAAAAAGTTATCTCTTTAATTTAATGTCTGTTAAACTCATCGCTAATGATGAGCTTGGGAGCAGGTGCCTTAAAGGTTAGTAGGGGGGCCAAAAGCAATAAGCAGAGAGGAGGTATCCATGGCAACCCTGGAAGCGGGAACCACCCCAAGAGCAGCCACTAACCGGCACCGTCACACTGAATAAAGTCATTGGAGATACTTACCTAAGAGAATACTTACCTGAGAAAATACTTACCAAACCACCAGGCAGGGAGAGAGGAGAGGGAGCAAGAATCCGCAATGATTCGCAACAAGGCAAACATTGATCCGCTACGATCAGCAAGAATCCGCAATGATTCGCAAGAAAGCTAAAAATGATCCGCTACGATCAGCAAGCAAAGCTACAATGCAAAGCAACACTAGCAAAAGGGCTCACAAGGAGCCCTGCAATTCCCCGCGGGCCGCCCCGTAGGTCACATACTGAAGTGGGAGAAGACCGCTGGCCAACTCGCTCGAGTTTAACTTTGCCTAAATGATATTTAGCCACATCTAAATTGAAAAGAAACTGGAACATCTGATTTCAATTTTATGTTAGTCCAGTAATCACCTACACACTCGTTATTTGAGGTAGAACGTAATGTACGGTTGTTACTCTCTAAATTACAACTCTTGACACAAGACCAACATAACTTTCTATTTTCTTCATATTAACCTACATGACGTGTCCTTTAGATCCCTGAAAAGGCTCGTGCAGCTCCTAAAAACCCTGATCCAGATGTGAAATTTGATGAGCTGTGGAAGGTAGGTTAAGTGATTGTCACATTTTATTGGCATGAGCATCAATTCCCATTGCTTAGTGGTTTCATGTGTAATGGTCACACCATAGAATTTCCTCTACGGTCATAAAAGTTAGAACCACCTTGTCCAGCATAATAAAAAGTACCACAGGAAAGTACTGCTCATTAGCATTAATTTGAATGGTCACACCAATGGATTTCATCCACAGGCTCCGCAAAAGTTAGAACAACCTTTGCGGCATAATAAACAGTACCACAGGAAAGTGCTGCTCAGTAGCTTTCATTTGAATGGTAACACCATAGGATTTCATCCACAGACTCAAAAGTTGGAACCACCTTGTACAGCATAATAAACAGTACCACAGGAAAGTACTGCTCAGTAGCTTTCATTTGAATGGTAACACCATAGGATTTCATCCACAGACTCAAAAGTTGGAACCACCTTGTACAGCATAATAAACAGTACCACAGGAAAGACCTGCTCAGTAGCTTTCAATTGAATGGTAACACCATAGGATTTCATCCACAGACGATTTTGTTTGTTACTCAAAATTTTCCCGTGAGCTTTCTGGAATAGCTGAACAGCAGGTTAAAAGGATTGCAAAGTTTAATGTAGCGCTGTTCTTCTTTTCTTTTCAGGGAGTTGATGATGACCATTGTTTCGATTCTGAACCTACGACGCTGACTTCTAAGAACATCCAGAATCTTAAATGTTTGTACAACTACAAATGTTTTGTGTCTGGAGGAGAAAGGTGGTTCTTTATGGGCCTTGGGGTAAGTGTCTGTACATTGAAGGTCACTGGTTACTGTAGATTACTGGTTAAGGTTTGCATAAAGGTGATACCTATATGCCACGGAAAAGCAAGCAACTCAGAATTTAGGGACCTCATATAAGACACTATTATTTGTAACACGTTTGACAAAATTTCGTGCGTTTACCTGAGGATTAGGGCTAGGTGACACTTCGTTATGTCCATCATAAAGAGCATGAATCTCATTAGCTTGCAATCCTGGACATATCTGTACATGGCCGTGGTGGCCTGGTTACGGGTTCTCCCTACCGGGAGTAAGTCGGCCAGAAGTATCGTGAAGGAAGTGAGATTAACTGCTGACAAATTTGTTTCAGCGCAGTAATATCTACAAGTGGGATGGTAAACCAAACTATCGCAGTTCAACAAGGTGGCACAAGCTAGAGAATTTCCACTTGGAACTCCCACGTGATACATTGATAGAAGTCGAAATAGTCCAAGAACTCAGGGGGGAGGTGAGTGTACAATAAGGACAAGGTGACGTGCGAACAAGCTCTCTGGTGCTCGGGGGAGGGTTCCTGGGGCAGTTTGCTTTCACGGTCAGGATAAGGTTTATATTCCAGGGAATAGGTGACGCGATCGTTCTTATTTGCTTGTACGTTTTGTTGCTCCAAAGTAGCTTACTTGATATCCTTAGGAAATGTGATCCGGGGGGGTACTTCCTAGTAATGGACTAATTTGGACGTGCTGATTGATGAGGCCACGTTCACGACCGGATTGACTGTACTGGGGTTACGTTTTCAATAGAGTTACGAGAATGGGAGTTTGTTGGTAAGAAGATTCTGGTAAGTGGGGATTTTATCATTTAAGAAAATACGTCAATTCATTTAAGAACGACCCAGTTAAAAGGTTTTATGAGGAAGATGCACAGGCTGCGAGTACAGCCGTTTCTCCTCAACCCGGGTGGGAAAAGTTTGTGACAAGATGTTTGGTGTTCCGTGTTATATCAGCTTCAGAGGCCTTACAAGAGAGTTTTACTCTTTGAAGATGATACAAACCGTAAAGCAACAGTGTGCAAAAAAATTGATGTTAATTTTTCTTTCTGCTCGTTTTTCTCAACAGGGGAAGGGCCAGAGAAGGTCAGCTGCGGTTCATATTGTGGATGCCGTAATACTTGGAGGCAAAGACGTGCGAAACTCGCACTACAGTGAGAGGTAATTCATCTTCTCTCCCTCAGGTGCCAGCCAAAGTGAAAAAAATTGTACCTTGAAAACAAAAAAAGTAAAGCCAAAGAGGTTTTATTTAAATGGTCACAGCGCAGGATTTTGTCCACAGACTCATAAGTAAGAATCACCTAACAAGACTCTATCATTTACTTTGGTAGTAACAGCGTTAACAGTGCTTAACAAGCAGTGATCATTGGTTGATGCACTTTTGACGTTCGCGTGATTTTGTGCTTATCTTAGAGCAGAACACTTGCGCTGGTCTTTTTTCTATTCTCCTTTTAAGAAACGAGACGTCAACTTTCGCAAAGACTTCTGCGAATGTTACTGGCTACAGGAAAAAAATTGCCAATGCCTTATCGGCGGGTCCCCAGTAACGATTCCAAAAACAACAAGTAGAATGCCGTACTTGTCCTGCCTAATTTGTTATCCGGTTATCTTGTAGAATGGCAAAGGCGGGTTTGCTTGTGAAGGCAGTCAACAAACCTACTTGCCAAGGAATGGTACCACTAAGGTAAAGAGACACACTCATCAGGGATTTGTTGCCTCCTGATTACCTCCCTCCTCCCCCCCCACCCCTGCATTTGTCCGTAACTCAAACGGAAGCGGAAGTAGAAGAACAAACCAAGCGTCTTCCCGGGATCGAGTTTTGTTTGGTGTATTCTTCCAGTCCTGTTTGCGTCTTCGTCTATCTATAGTTGTCACTGGATTGCAAGCGATGGGCTTAACAAGCAACTTTACAGCTTCAAAATGACAAGTCTATTTAAAAACCCTTTTTCGTGCTTTTACAATAAGTTGTCTACGCTAGAACAAACAAACTCCTGTTACCATGGTTACCACTCGCCACTCTACAAACGAAAAGGAAACTGGGAAAAGTTAACTTCCGCAAAGACTTCTGGGAATGTTACTAGGGAGGAAAAAAATTGGCCAATAGCTGACCGGCGTGGCCCTAGTAACAATCCCAGAATCAATTGCGAGACACATTTCGGCCCCGGTCCCCCTCTTGTCTCTAAGTGGCCAAAGCTTAATTTTCCCTAGATCAGCTCACAGCTTCGTCCTTCTTTAAGGCTCATACACGTCCTCAGTGAAAACCCTTTTGTATGATGCACTCATTCAGTCTCTTCGATTCTATTCATTCATTATTTTAAATAATATGAAAAAATGTTTCATTTTAGGCTCAAACATATATTTCGTGTGGACAGTACTTCACTTAAAGAAATTTTCACCAGGTTAGTTTCTTTTTTGTTACTTCATCGGTTAGATTAATTTGAGTTAACTGTTGACAACGACATTTACTTAAGTTCTACTTGGGAAAATTGCCATGGTCCAGTAGAATCACTTCAGTTCCTCTAGCAATTTCAAGACGGGTCCTTATCTTATTGGTAGCAACCGTATCTTTGAGCAGGATTTCTACAGAGTCTTTCAAGAACGTCCATAAGGTTCAACTGTAGCTCGGTTATAAACCTTTTCACTCCCGAAGATGACCGAAGTCACACTTCAGCGAAGTTTTCAAATTTTATTTTGTAAAGTGCGGAAAACCAAATAGTACGGCGTGAACTAACTGCTCAGTAACTTTTATTTGAATGGTCACACGATAAGATTTCATCCACAGACTCAAAAGACAGCATGATAAATAGTACCACAGGAAAGTACTGCTCAGTAGCTTTCATTTGAATGGTCACACCGTAGGATTTCATCCACAGACTCAAAAGTTAGAACCACCTTGTACAGCATGATAAACAGTACCACAGGAAAGTACTGCCCAGTAGCTTTCATTTGAATGGTCACACCGTAGGATTTCATCCACAGACTCAAAAGTTAGAACCACCTTGTACAGCATGATAAACAGTACCACAGGAAAGTACTGCTCAGTAGCTTTGAATGGTCACACAATAGAATTTCATCCACAGACTAAAAAGTTAGAACCACTTTATGCGACTCTTCAGTTTATTCACCCTGGAAGTGGAAGAGTTAACAGAGCTCAACAAGCAATGTTTTTGTGGTCGACAAAAATTTGGACGTTCGGTTGATTTTGTGTTTACTGATATTATAGCAGAATTGACATGAAAGTTGTGAAAGGAAAAAGTAGGGAGCCCAGAGAGTGCTTTATGTTGGAGGATGGGAGGCATCTTCTTCCCAAAGGGATATTTTTCATTAAACGAATTCAAGGTAAATTTATTGAAATTTGCATTAACCCTTCAAGTCCCAATGGTGACCAACATCAATTTTCTCCTAACGATATCCATACCTTGTCAAGAGATTATGTTATGAGAATTAATGAAATGATCATAAACCCTTTCACTGCCAAATGTACCCAAAGGCAAATGTCGACCAAGTTTGCAAATTTCCTTTTGTAAAAACCAAATAGCACCATGTAAAAGTTCAGGCAGAGAGCTTTCATTTGAGTGGTCACATCATAGGATTTCGTCCACACACTCAGAAGTTAGAGCCATCTTACAAAACTCTATCAAACTCTGGCAAAGAGAAAATGCTTTGATCTTTTATCAAATCCTCTCAACTAATTCTTAAAGGAAATGTATGTCGATCAGTTTGGAGAATTTGTATGTGGATATTGGGGCATAAAGGGTTAACTTAAGCAATCTCGTTCCCAGAGGCTGCGATCCTTTCGGTCAGAAGGGTAACGAAGGCTCTGGGAACGAGACTGCCTCTTTAGTTCCTCACGAAAGTATGAAAATTAAACGTTAGAAACGCGCATCAAAAAAATATATTTAGAGCAGGTGGAAATTCTTTGTATGTATTTTTACAAGTACTGAATTGATTTCTTGATGTCTTTCTGTGTCGCAGAAGAAACGCGTAGTCGCGCAAATCAAAATATTATGGTCTATTAGTTATATGCGTGCGTGTGTGAATCCAATTTGGGGTTTCAAGTTCCATTTCTAATTTCCTTTGGAACTATGCCTAAACTTTCAAATTATCGAAAGAAAGGGTCAAGGTACTTTTTGAAGTTTTAGCCTTTCGTACTACCCTAAAGCCTCACACAAAAGCGTGAATGTCGCTTTGCAGAAACACTGTTGCCGAGAAACGGAAAATGTTATCCTTGTTTCTCTCTTGGACATTGTGTTTTTGCACCAAATGTTTGCCTGGTTGCGTGCCAAGGAAACAATGTTGGCTGAAATTCAAGATGTTTGTCGATATCAAACAATTGACGTCAATGGTTTTTAGAGTGCGTAACCCTAATTAGTAAGAGGGAAAACTACGTTGTGTAAATTATATGAGGTGTCCGAAGGGGGTACGGTCCATGGGATCTAATGATAACCGATATAGACAGAATTATAGTTACGGCAGAAGGCTCGGTTGCTCAGCTGTTTGACCGAGCTGGAAAAAATGACGGAAGGTTTCACACTTAATGCGAAAGAAAAATAGCCGAAATACTGCCTTGAAATCTAGCGAAAATGGCAAAAATACCACTCAAAGGATGACAACTGCTGTTTGAAGAAAATTTGTGAGGGGAAAAATCCCTTCATAACCTGAAACTGCCGAGGAACACGGGCAAACGCTTTGAAGACAGGAGAGGTAAGCATTTCTTGTTGAAGTTGAAAATATTTGAATAAATATAATAAAACAATCATTAGACTCGGCCCGTTATGATATGAGGAATTATGCAGGTCGATGAGGGTGTTAAGGGCTTCTTGGTCTGAATTATTCTTTATATCATACGACAGCCAAGTCCAATAATTGCTAATTAAAACGTTCGATTTTCTTGCTCTGTAGAGCCTTGGACTTACGCACACAGTCGTTCAGCCAAACGTTTGTATTTCTTCAACAAAGACACAAATGAGTCGGTGTTTGAAAGCCCACGAGACTCTGCGGCCTCATTCAAGTAGGTGGTCTTTTCAGCTTGTTTATAATTTTGAGCAGACGCGTACAGTTACCATATTTGGAGAGCATGGTATATTGCTCATAAACCATGATGGCTAAGCCAATCAGAGCTCTAGAATTACATTATCCAATTTATCAGTTTTATGAACCGGCCCTAAGGGGAATTGTTGTTCTAGTATTTTCCAATTCAGTTCGATAGAATTGAAAAAGGTACTTTTGTGGATACGTACTAGTAAGACCTTTGTTTATTGAAAGTGTATGGATTTTATTTCGTCGAGTGCATTTTTAAGATTGTGCTGCAAATTCAGTAAGAAAACCATTTTCTACCTGCCAGTTAACACCGACAAGCCAAGCCGCTTTCTTGGTGCTCGTTTGTTACAGCTGCTTCATTTGTCGCTAAAATGTCGCCTTCCGAAACTGTAACGAAACGGGACGCCATATTGATTCCTGTTTCAAAACAATGAATAACCAAGGATGTTTCGAATTACAGGAGCCTATCAGAACGCTGGAAAATCGCGCTCCGCTTATTTGGCAAATACTAAATCTGTCTATTTTTCCTGGTTGATGTTTTATTTTGTCGAGAAAATCGCAGCTTGAAACGTAGCCATGTTTCATCAGATTTAAAGGGGCTGTGTCACGGCAGTCCAGTTCGATTGTTTAATTTTGCCAATTGCTAGCCCTCAATCGCTATGGAACTTAAAGTAAGCTAGGAAATTACAAGGAAATGACAAAATCCGAGATATGTCTCCTGAGCATTATTTTTGAAGTTGCAAACAGCAGAGATCAACTTTAAAAAACTGTTAGGCTGAACAGTTTTCAAAAACCCTAATTTCAGTCCGTTTCAATCTTCTTCAGTTTTGCCCATCCGTGGCATCTGTTGTATCTGTTGTGTTGCTTTAACCTTCCTTTAATTTTACGTTTCTCTTAATTTAACGGGCATTTTGTAATTACCTAATTTGGCTGAATTTCGTGGCACAGCTCATTTAAAGGCACGTACTAACTAAAAGTTAGCATCCTTTGTATTCGCTCTCTGTTTTATCAATGAATTTTTAAAGTTTTTAATGTTCTGTCTCGCTCTCAAAACAGGTCATCGCTTGGAACTCGCTACTTTTGGCCGTGGGAGGCTGATGAGTCGGAGAAAGGTGAAGAAAACCGAGTGGATCGGGAAAGACTTATAGAGTTTTTTACTACGGCGCAGAACAATTTTCTAAGTGGTCCACCTAGAAAGTGAGTTGCTGTCTGGCTTAGAACTATTTTACCAACAGTTTTATACGGTCTTCAGTTGTACTTTGATCTGCATCGCTGCGCCTTCCTCGCGCCATTACAGCCAGCTGCGTAGTACTTTTCACACGGGGGGACACCCGCGAAATGTATTGGTTCGAGTTATTCTGATTGGTTGACTGGGTTGTTGCGTTAGCCGCGATTGGCTAGCAAAGGCAGACACCAGCATGTTTTAATGGGTTACCCACAGTTATTTTTCTTCAAGCTCTGATTGGCTCACTGGACTGTCTACCTCTGCCGTGACTGGCCAGCGAAGGCGAACTCTGGTACCTGTTTTCCCGCGTTTTGCCACGGCTGCATGCAAGATGTTTCAAGTCCAGATTGGATCGTGGGATTATCATTCTCTTCTGTGATTGGCCAGTAAGCCAGCATGCTTCAGATCAAAATTCAATGACAATCGTATAACTCATTTTGTAAAATACTACCATTAAGAGAAAGAACTGCTCTGTTCAAAAAAGAAAGGCTCTGTACAGCAAAAAGGAAAGAAAGAAAAGAAAACAGGAACGTATACAAGCTCATGCAACATTTCATAAGTGAAAATAAGAAAGCTTCGACTGAAATTACGCCATCAAATCTTTGCGGCGCTATAATCGTACATTGTTGAACTATAGAAACAATTTGCAATTGCGAAATGCAAGAAATTTGCTGAAAATAGAGGTATTGGACAATCTTGAAATGTTTCCAGATCAGTATTTAATAGCGACTTAATAATAGAGCAACAGTTTACTAAGTCGTAGTTGTTCTAAAGAGCAAATAAACACCCATCTTCGTTTACTTCCTTTTTTCAGAATTATAAAAAGAATTACTGTTACATGAAGATGAGGAAAGAGGGGGATTTTCTCGAGGCAAACCAACAAACGTAAAAATCCATTTTAAAAAACGAGTGCGCGGGAAAAGATATGAAGATGGATCGTTGCTTCGTTTCCCCTTCTTACCATTCCCCGCGCGGTTTCTTTTCTCTTCTTCCCAGTCCCCTTGTGACACAATAGAAAGGAGAAGTGTGACTTCACCTTACCATTGAAGCAAAGTTTCTGGATCTCAACTATCTCTCTTGACAGAGACGGCCATTTGCGTTGTCGAACGATGGAGGAAAAATAAGTAACACCATTTTGATCCCGAGTCCAATCATAAATAAGAAAGTCATACATCAGTCAATTTTTTCTGCCATTTTGTTTGTTGAGATCCAGGCGACGACAGCTCAGTACTTGTGTATAATATTTACACTGTATATATAGTAACGTAGGAATATATTTAACTAATAAGAGAAAAAAAAAGAAAAGAATGGCTTTAATGTAGAAGTGTACGGTGGCCAGAGGAGCATAGCTTTCGAGCTAACCACCGCTGTATTATGACTAGAAATACTTAGTATGTGCGCTAGGTGCCATGGAAAATATGGACAATGATGTGAAACAGTCAGTTATATGTAGTTAACTTTGAAAGCAGCAGAACTGTTATTTAAAATGTGATTTTACTCTGTTTTAAACTTCATCACTGTTATTGTCAATGTCGCGAATTTTCCTAGCGTTGAATATCAAAATTGAGATTCCCTTTTACTGTCCCTATACTTTTTCAATAGAAGTTGTGGGGAGAATTTGTTGAAATATCAATTATATTCTTCTTCCCTGATCATGTGCTCAATTCTCATGACCACTCTATTTTCTAAAGCATTGATATTATAAGGAGAAGTCTCATGCTGATCACTCTTAGGGCTGAAAGGGTTAAGGACTGTATCCAAGTTTATAAAAAGAAAAAGAAAAGATCTTTGTCTTATGTTTACGTAATGTAATGCACGTTCAGAGTTGTTGTTTTATTCATTAGACCTGTTCCTCTTTTGACTTTCTCGTTTGTTTTGACGACGTCGTTGCCTCAGCTCCCCGCCAAAAAACTTTAATAAAGAGAGGGTGTTTGTATGGGTCACGTGCGACCTCACGCGTCAGACACATCCATGCAAACACTGTCTCTTAGAAATCTCTGTTTTTCTTCGTAATTTGGTGAAATCTCGTCGCCACATCTTGATAACCTTAACCTCACGCACGAAAGAAACGGGTTGGATGTGATGATGACGGTGGAACAATTCAACTTTATTCCTAGCAAGTCCCAAGCTCCTTTTTCAAAGTTCCGAGAGTGAGTTAAGGCCTCACTCTAAAAACCACTGCGGAAGCCCGCACCGAAAACATAAGAAAGAGCGCAGTTATCGTTTGAGATCACCATCAAGCTCGTTTTTGTGGAAGAGATCTGTATCTAAGCGTCAAGAACTTTTAGGATCTGTCTTGCACTCTATAACTACTAAACGTCTTCTTATCATCAGAAATGGATCAATTTTCAAAGCTTTTGGCTTAAGGAAATGTCACATAATGTTCGTGCAGGGACGAAAAGAAATTTTCTTAAAAGTGTGCTGTACGTGCAAAGTCTTTTTTCTTTTGTATCAAAAAGTGTGATGCACTATTGTATTTTGGACGTTCTCGTTGCGATCACTGTCGTCGTTGCTAAAGCGTTTCATTGGCGGGGGGAGGGGTTGGGTACGCGTTAAAATCTTCGTGGTACATTCGGTGTGACCCTCTCCCTTCGCAAGATTTCTCATACAAAGCGAAGCTGGGAAAGAGGGATAGCCGAAAAAAGAGAAGAAATGATTAGCTTTCTCAAGCGCAATAGTTTCACTAATAACACCAATCGCACCACCCAACCACCCCTCCCCCTCCCGGCCTGTATGACAGCCAGTCTGAAGTCTGTTGGGCACGTTTGATTTACTCAACAAAGTTTATCAGGGGAGGCTCCGCCCCGAAGTCCAACCCCTTACCCTTTTATATTCAATTTGTGACGGAAAAGGTACCCCGTTCTTATATTGACAAACGGTACCCTCTTCACATACCTAGTTAGTAAACATACCTAATAAACCATTGTTACTTTAGAACTTTTCATCGCTTTTAACTGCGTTAAATGCACTGTCTTAAAAAATATGAATAAATCACGAAAATAGAACGTTTTCTCGACTTTTTCACAGTCATGAAACGCATTCCTTAGCCCTGTTGGGCCTTTTTCAGACCGAACTGACAGATTCTCCGCTCCTTTCATATACTTCGACTAGTGAAATCCCTACCCTTTCATATACCTGACACGCCTGAAAAAAAATACCCCTTCTGGACGGAGCCTTCCCGTATGGGCCATTTATAGGGATTACCCCCGGGTAAGTAACACAGGTCACTGACCAAAGACTTTTAAATCATTTACCTTACACTGAAGCTAAATTAGGAAGGCAGAAGGATTTTAAAACTGTTTATTTTTATGGTAATAATGTTAACAACTGTTAAGATTTATTCACGCAACAATTTGATGGTTTTTTCATGCCACCGCCTTTGACCCGGCCTGGGATTCATGCCAAGCAAAAAGCTTGCACATTAATTTAACATGGTCAGTTCAGCAAACAATGTCCATTAATAGTGACAAATCAAATACAGATCATCGTGCCAACGATAATTTACTCCGGGTATTCAGTAACACACGTCTCTGATTGTGTTTATGTTATAAAAAGCAAAGATTTGTTAAGATTTGTTTCCGCGACTGCTAGATTCCATTTCGAAGCTCTTTTTAATGCTGGTTTTAAGGAGAGCGATATCATAAAGCAAGTATTAGGCCTTGAGTTATTAAGTGCCAAACGTTTACAATGAGGTTGGTGTGGTAACTTCAACAGAGGTGTCCTGGTTTTGTTGATGCCGACCGATAAGCTTGTCCTGTCTGAGACTGTCCAGCGCAGTGACAAATTAAGCCTTGTTCACTTAGCAATCTCAGCTTTCTTTTAGGAATAATAATCGAGAAAAACTGTTCCATTTACAAGACTCATGATGAAAGTGTCTCTCAATCAGGAAACCGACAGCCAGCTAAATCTAGCCTTCAGTTTGAAACATTTTTCCGCCTCCTCGAAAGGAGACTATTTTGAGCTTGTTTTGAAAAAAAAATCATTAACCCATTAGGACATTTTTTTTTTTCTTTTATGACTAAACGTGATCATGAAACGTGACTTTTAGAAGTCAGGCTTTAAATACGTCTCTCGTATGGTTATCCGAGTTCTTTTTTGCCCTCCGCTCCAGAGAGACTGAGTTGACCATGAATTTCACAGGCAAGGTGATGGTTGTGGGCGTTCTTCTGAGTTTCTGTTTCTTGAAAGGTATGTTACAGAGTAACTATTCATGTTATCCCTTCACGAAAACGACTGTGTTTATTTATTAATGGAGTTTTATAAAACTGTCGAAAAGACTTAATTGCCTATTTTCGAGTCAAAAGCACCTACTAGATATTTGCTTGGGAATTTCTCCGCTTCACTTGGTGCAACGTTTCAAATTTTACCATTTTTTTCACACGTTACTCTTCTAGCTTTTTATACGAATCTTAGGCACAACACTAAAGCATAGTAAAATAGAACAAACAAATTACGGAATATATTTAAACTCCATCGGTATGGAACTCCATTGACGTAGATTTTCAATCTCCTTCCGCGTACGGTTGAATTGTCCTTGTAATATAGAAAATGAAACACTTTTGTGTTTATCAATTACTACTGGTTTACTCTACGTCGCTTCCATTGTATACAAATTCTGTTTTGCAATAATTGCGAACGAGCAGACTCAAGAAAGGTGAGGCACAGCCTAATCAAGCGGCGTGCGCGAAAGTTTCAGGAAGTTCCAAGTTCTCGAATCGATGTAACATATAAGATACTGTAAGGTAACTTTTATGACGTAATGCAGAACAGCGAATGCATTGTTTTCGAGCGAACACGTGATACAGAACAGAGAATCCACTAGCCGTGTGCGTGTTTGTGAGTCCCGTGCTCATCCCGTCTTCAGCCAATCGTCGGGTGGATTCGTTTGCATCAAACGCGTATAGCTGTCGCATTTGTCCGCTGGGATTTTTTATTGCCTGCCGCTAAGAAAAAAATTACCCTGCAAGCAGAGGCCCTTCGATCTTCTTAGATAAGTCTTCCGGACTTATCTAGGAAGATCGAAGGACCTCGGCTCTCAGGGTAAGAAAAAATATAACGCCGCCGAATTTATTGTGTCTTTGAAGCAAAGTAATTCGGAAGGCTTCATCGGCGCATCATAAATCTTTTTTTCCTGAAAAGTAGACTGCCTAAAACGAGTGCAAAAATCTGTGCCTGAATCTGTACGTTGAATATTCGCGGACTTTAATATGATTTTTCGAAGATTCTAGAGTGATTTTATGCATGGTTCAATTTTACTTGTAACCATGCCCCCCCCCGGCAGACCCCCGGGGGATTTTCATTTTTTTTCTTTTTTGGAGGTCTATTCCCCATCCCCGGGCACGCAGAAAGAGGCAATTCCCCACCCCCGAGCTCCTGATCGACATCACATATGTTTTTTGCTACATCTACAAAGGCAAAACGACACGTTTACACAACTTTTATGAATGTTTTCCTGAGTTTATTGAGAGAAGGATAATGGATGTCATAATGTAGCTAAAACATGAACAATAAATTTGAAAACGAAAACGAAGAAGAAAAACTCTTTACGAAAGCGCCTCCTTGGTAGAACTTCATAAGAACACTGGACCGAATCTTTGTTTCTCCACATATATCAAAAGCCTTTTCATTTAAGTTATCATTATTTAAAGCTAAGCTGAAGAAATATTTCTGTCCTTCCTTTCCAGAAAATAAAATCCATTTAAGAACGCATCATACGCACATTCACTTCAAATTTTAAAACATCCCTTTAAATACAAACTTTAATTTTGATAAGTTACTCCAACCAACCACTCTCCGACAAACTCCTGCGTCTTTCCTTAAAAATATGTAATCTTGAGGTCCGCAGCCAAGGTGTAAACCGCGCGAGAAATAACACGTACTTAGCAAAATCAAAGAGAAGATATTTTTTATTTGCCCCACACCCCTGCACCCGGGACAGGACGGCTTTAAACAATTCCCCACCCCCGGGGCAAGTTAAATCGCTCTAAGTTCGCTTATAAGACCACTAAATTTTACGCAAAATGACCTGTGCACAACTTCGGACAAAAACACAAATTTCAATATCGAAAAATATGCTGTGTAAAAGTCGGGATTTCAAATTCTTTATGCAGTAGAACAGTTTAGTTCACTATTCTCAAGGTAATTTTCGCTTATGTAATCGAATTGAGTTCAAACTATTTTTCGTAAATGACGGTAATTCATGACATTTCTAAACAAATTGAACAGAGCGCATGTATACTGTGGAGCGATTTAACTTGACCTTGAAACAGTTAATAACAGCTAGTATAAAATAGCTACAAATAAACAAAAGAAGACAATGGAATTAGTGCATGATAGTACGTAGTATTTTACTACCTATTTCACGACTTTAATTATTATAAGTAGTATCACTCCAGGTAAAACCTTTGCTCGTTGGCACTTAGCGTTAGCTATAACTAGTTAATTAGTGTTACAAAGTGTTGATTATATTGGTCCACTGGTAGTCTCTGTTTATTACCATTTTTCTATGCGTGTGTGTCTATTTCTGTTTGGGTGCCCGACCTGAACAAGCAGCCGGCTTAGCGCTTGGCCTTTTTATTGTAAGGACATTTCGGGTAGGCAGAAGTTCCCAGAATTCTGTGATTTATCAATTAAATCATTGTAAAGGGGTAAAGAAAAGTTAAGTTGTTGCTGTTGTTGAAATCTGGTTTTCAAAACCAATTTTGTGTTCAAAACCAATTTTGTGTCAAACCCATGCGCTATATGTGAGCGCTTATTAAAAGTTAACACGACTGGCAATATTGCGTAACTAAATGATTCACAGGGTTTCGATAGGGTTCATGTGGGAGTAGCTTTATTTCGAAGAAAATTCGCCTTATCGGAGCTTATTGTGAAGAAACTAAAGTGAAATTCACTTACTTTATTGCTGTATGTTGAGTTCGTTTTGAAGCGATTTGGGCTAGTTTTGCGGACCTGTCTTCACCTTCATTGAAAAGACTAAATGTTTGGACGCGCCGATCAGTCTCAAAATCCGCCCAGCAAAACGACACTGGAGCGCAAAACACAGGATAGGCAGTTGTATGCCATTTCATTTCTTCACATTGAGTTCCGATAGGGTGAAATAAAACCGTTATCAATGGTTTCGTTACCCAATATTGCCATGGTAAGCCTCACTACGAGGTAGTAACCTTCCGGAAAATTCTAACTAACATTAAGGTCTCGGTAAATGAAAATTTTAGTACATTGCTCGATTTTGTTTTTTATGGATTTTTGGCATGAGTGGGTCCTAAATTTTAATTTGGCAGAAAAAGAAAATCAGAAAGTGCTTTTTAACCCTTCTAAAATGAGCCTTTTCTGAGCTAACCAGCCAAGCGTGGACTTCGCGCTAAATCTTTAGAGCTGATTTTCTCTCACTCTATTTTAGACGCAAAAATCAAAATTCTCCGACCTCCAGTCGGGACAGGTTTTAAGCTATCGCTTTGAAACTTTCAGATATGATGGATAATGATATAGACTCAAAAAGAGTGTGAGGAATTTTCCGATTTCCCTTTGTAACTCATTTTATGTCAGTTTCTTTGCGTAAATCGCGCTCGAGATTCGACTTTTTAGTTTGAAATGCAATAATTCCGCTAACACGAGACATCTGCAAATTTCCTCACACCCTTTTTTAGGTCTTTTATCTGTCAATCAGATGCAATAAAAAGGAAGTGAATATTTAACAACGCGAAAGGGCTGGAGCTTCAGCAGTAAACTCGATACCTCTGAGTTCGAGAACAAAAAACTTAAGCACCTTTTGAAATTCGATGAAATAAAATCTTTTATAAGGTAATTTAGTCTTTTAGCTTTAATTTGATATGTAACTTGCCTTTGTAGCGAAAATACTCGCGCGACTAGAATTTTTTTCTGTGGGCACCTCGTTTTCCTTTACCGAGACCTTAAAAACGAAACGTTGGTATAGATTTGTCTTTACCAGCCTTTGGAATCCAGGTTAGGCCACACAGAAGTCGGTTAAGAATGGCTAAATATGACACTGGTTCGAATTCGCCTCTGATGAATATTCGGATCTTTAAAAGTTAGTCATGATTTCGTGTACCTCAGCACCATTACAGTGCCGGGTTAATTTCCTAAATTGAAGTTAAAACTATTCAGTTCTGCTCGGCACTTGGACATTTTCCTTACGCCAAATCAGATTTGAAACATATCTCAGATTTCAGAATCTGTTATTTTTTGCATTATTTCAAGAGGTTACTACAAAAATTACAATACTTTACAGAACTAGGAAAAATTAAACAACAAATTACATAAATCATCAAAGGTGAAATGTGTGCAGTGACCAATGCCTTAACGGAGCTTTGGCTTTCGAGTTGGTCACTATCACGTGTAACTAACTGCTGTAGACATTTACATAAAACTACAAGTAACATATAACGGAGAAAAGAAAATTGAAGGTGCATTAAGTCTTACTTACAATTTTATATAAATACAATAGAAATGATTATTGATAATGATGACAGAGAAATCAAATTACTCATTGGGTATTTAAAAGGTACAGGTTGTATTGCTCATAGAAGTTATTATAAGGGAGTTGTTTGTAATTTAGAGGGAATGTTTTCTAATATTTTGAATCCAAGAAAAGCAAAAGCGACAGCTCTATAATTATTGCTTATCCTTGGCCGATGAAAATTAAGCTTGGATAGGTCTGAATACAAATCTGGTGTTGCAACTATGAACCTCAGAGGCTAGATATCTTGATTTAATAAAGAACTTTTAAGGGGACTAGGATACAGCTGTTTTACAGGGGTTTTAGGTCAATTTAGTCTGTGGCTTAACTCATATATACTTAGTACGTTTACCTACTCACAAAATAATCCTGCAGAGTTACGAAGAAGATGTCGTAAAACTCAAAGACTAGTATTATTAAACGCAGCGTTGTTGAAATTCATCTACGTGATTATCCTACGTAAAACGAGCTTAGTGATCCGATTAAAAATCGTTTTTACTGTGAAAAAAATTACTTAATCGATGATTTAATTATTTGTCGGGAGGAAAAATCTCTCCTCTAGAATTTTCATTTTTACCTTCTCAAAAGGGCCTCGCTCCACCAGCCGTTCAACAAGTTATGCGATAGTTAATGACTACGTACTCAGAATCAACAATTTACCCGAATACGGAGCGAATTATCTGTCAATCCCCAGAGGCAACTCAACAGAGTTTCGAACGGAAGACTTTTCAAGTGCCCTATTAAAGGCTGTAAGATCCCTGTTGATTCTCTTAACGTACGTGTGAATGAGAGCGCCACAATTTCAGCGTATTATATATAGACACACGCCTTCGCTTCCAGAGTTCCTGATTTCCAACCAGAGCCGTAGAAAACTGGAGACATCTCTCCAAAGGAGTCAATGTAGCGAACTAGATAATATTCGTTGATCCATCCAAAGTCCTTATCACTTGGCGAATTACAATGGTACTTCCTTAATAGTAGTGCTCTCTTTAGTAAATTTCTCTTGATACCGGGTAAAGAATATCGTTTTTGGTACAAAACAAGGCAAGTAGCTAGCATCCTCGTATCCGCGAATTTTAGACAGCTTCCGAATTCAAATTCTAAACCAAAAGCTACCTCTCTTCCGTTACTAAGGAATGTTTTCGTTTAAGAACGATTGTGTGGTATTGACTTTCCAACTCTAATCTTTCCAACTCTAACATGCTACATAGCACGTACTCCAAAAAGGTTATTGTATAATGTTACGTAACGTAATTACTTATACGCGTGACTTGGCATAATTTTGACCTTATGCGCACGTGGTCTTAGTCCAATTATTCATCTGATTCATACTTCAAAACGAGAAATAAAACAAAAAAAAAATTATTATTCATTGCTAAACTTACATTTCAATATATCGAAATTGGTCTATTCTTGACTTCTTTCGAGCTATTTTGTCTTTTTTTTTTTTAATCTGACCTTTAAAACGCAGAGAAACATAAGAAAACTTGTGTTATGGTTAGGGTTAGTCTTTACCAGTAATACTAAGCATTGTATTACAATTATTGTCTATTTGATTAAATCATATCACTACTTTTTCACTTAGCGGAAAAATACACCCAATGGGGATGATGACGGTTGATTGATGGGAAAATCTACGCAATACGTACAGGAGCCGATTACAATTATTGTCTATTTGATTAAATCATATCACTGCTTTTTTCACTTAGCGGAAAAATACTCAGTGGGGATAATGAAGGTTGATTGATGGGACAATCTACACAAAATCTACACAATACGTACTAACTGAGTTCTTAAATTCGCATTTAAGACTGATTTCTGTTCAGTGTACTCGACTACATTACTGCTAGGGACGAAAAGATTACAGTTCAACAGCACTACATGAAAGCATTGGGGATGATGGTAGTTATATTTGGTTCCTTGGTGAGAAATGAATGTAAAAAAAAACAAGGAAAAAATGTTTTTTTCAAAAAAACAAAGCTGAATACAAGGCTGGCAATACGGCAAAGGGCTGATTTATTTGGAGCCAGTATTGTTGGATAATAAAAATAATTAAGATTTATTAGCCTTTACCAGTAATACTAAGCTGATACTATTAAGCAGCCTCTGATTAGCAAGCTCGAACCAGCGTATCCTGTGCTATTCATCTCCAGGAACACTGATGGCTTCCTGTCATCTCCTCTTGGGTAGCCTGTGTAGCAGGCGCTTATTGAAAGTAATTGCCTAAGAAAGAACAGGGCGTGCGACGGAGATACGCGATGGGAGACCTGGCGTGTCTGGGCCGTCGCGCACCCCTTTCCATTTCGTATCTTATTTCCAAGCGCCTGACACCGCTTCCTGTTTGGAGAAACTAGGGTCACACGCACCCATCTCCCGCGCCTTATCCCTTTGAATAAACAGCCTCAACAATGCGTAGATTTAATTTTACCACCAAGTCATGGTTCTCATCTAAAGTGTCTCCTGTATATGGACCATCCACCTTTTAGATCTCTATTATTTATCAGCCGAAGGATTGATTACAACATTAGCAACGATATTGTGATATTGTGGTCATTGCCCTCCCCCCCCCCGGGGGAGAGGGGGTGAGAGTGGCTACTCAACGTCAGTACAACCATAACGGAAGTGATAATATCTCACAAGAAGACTATTGAAAAACGGTTCAACATTTGTTATTAATCATATTTTACAATCCAGATCACTTTCTTAGGATCACTTGTAAACTCAGAGTAAGAAATCCCGGGTCAATTTAGGTTTCTTGGAAACTGCCTACCTACCCCTCCCCTAAGCCACTATTTTGCCCTAAGAGAGAAGTAAGTGATAATGTTGGCCTAGGGGAGGGGTAGGTGGGCAGTTTCCCAGAAACGTAACTGATCCGAAATCCCAATAAAGGAGTTAGCCAAACAAAAGTAGTCTTAATCTGAGAAATAATAGAAGATTTCACGTTCACGGACACGTTTAAGTTCACGATTTCACGATTTCACTATTTGCATAACAGACAGACTAGAAAAAATATACTTTTTTTCCTTTTTTACAGCAATTGTATGATGGCGATTTGATTAGGTGATTTTATGGATGTACATTTTGGCGTAGTGTAATTATTTGTATTCATTTGCAAAGTTTTACCCAATTCAGCTCTGGAGTTGTAATTTAAAAGCTTGAATAAACTATCTTTTTCTTTCGTCTTTCTCTCTCAAAACTGGGTCATTTTCAGCCTCAAACACTCCCGGCGGTTTTAGAATCTGCTCATACTGCATATTCGGATTCAGAAGACAACTTCTCTTTTTTTCATTTTTATTTCATAGCTGGCTTATCTACCGGAGGCGAAGACTTGCGGCGTCGCTTGGAGCAGGTTGAGAATCGCAAAAGTTGTAAGTGAGATGTTTTTTAACCTGCTGGGTGTTGTTTAGTGGGTCTGCTCAGGGATACCCATTTTTCAGTCATTCGGAAGATTGACGATTTTTTAGTTAGAGTGGAACCCCGCTCTACAGACACACGTATTTTACGGAAAGTTTCGTTTGTCCCGACGAAAATTTCATATACTTTCTTTAAAATTAACCCGCTTAAAACGGGCACCGCCGGATTAATACGGAGAACGGACACTTTTTTGTGTTAGTCCGAATCACAAACTCCTAAAGATCGCCATCCCCGCTTAACGGTCACTCGTTCTTTGTGCACTGTCTATGACTGAATTTCTTACCACTAAACTTGACGGAAACGGCGGGTGAACTCGCCACAAAAGTTTTTATTTTTAGTTCAAATGGCGTCAGTAAAAAGTTATGAACACCCGGATAACGCGAACACCATGGCATGTTCCCTTTAATTAGTGTCCATATTCACCCCGTGGGGTTCCACTGTAATCCAGCCAGACCAACCAAATGTTGGCAGAGATACTCTCTCTTATACCGAGGTTCTCGCTGGGTATTCCAATGAAAATAGCAATAATGATAATAATAATAATAAAATAGTGAGCGCAAAGTGCAAACCCTTGATAATCAAACAATGCATTGAATGATCTTGCTCCTTTCTGCTTAGTCCTGGAAACTTGTAATAACTGTCATGGGGGATGTCTATTAGAAAGGGGGCGCTTATTAGAGACCGGCCTCTAATACAAACTTAACATCGTAGCAGGGCGTTTATTAAACAAGAGGCGTTTTTGTTAAAAATGGGCGTCAATTTTGATTGTGTATTTGTATCCTGGGGGGGGGGGGACTCCGCATATGAAAGGGGTGGGGATGCTCGTCGGAAATTTTGAATTAAACCCCTAAAGGAGATCAATCTCGGCGTGGCCCAACCTTTTTTTGACCCCTAAAAGCGATCATTTTAAACTTTGATTACATGAATCGAGTAAATAAAACGAATTGAAAATATATAATTTTTAATATTTCTTCGAGTGCAACCCTAAAGGAGGCTTTTACGGCTAAAAAATAATGGTGTTTTACCCAGAACACCCTAAGCGAGACCAAAATCCGAAATTCACACCCCTAAGCGCGACGACGAGCATACCCACCCCTTTCATATGCGGAGTCCCTCCTGCTCTTGGTTATAATTCAACGCTACTGATATACGAACTGCAAGCTTGAAATGTTTTAAATGAATTTCTCGCTTTCTTTTCAGATAAAGAAATTACTTGTGATGTAGCTAAATGTGGCAGCCGAAAGGTACTGATGTACATGCCCTCTGTCATCTGGCAGCATTTACGTTAATAAACTCTCTGATAGCCTATTCCCTGGTTTAATCAGTTGGTTAGAACAGCTTTATGTTAAAATGAAGGTCATAAACCCCGTACACAAACTATTACTTAAACCGATCTTATGCAAGAGACGAAAGGGAATTAAAGAACCAATCAAGACAGTCAAAGTGTTTAACTGAGAAACAAAACGGTTGGTCGCTTACGGGAGATGGTCGCTCACGAGAAGTGGTCGCTTTGAGAGAGTCGCGGGAGAGAGTTCACTGTAGTTGGGAGGGGCGCGAAGTAACGAAAGTAAGGAAAAATGCCAATCATCATTTTTGTTTTGGTTGGATTTTATCACAACAGGAGTCAAGAAATAACTCAAATGTACCGGCCAGGATAACGTGCATTCCTCATAGCATCACTGAGGAGCGTCACTTGATTTCTGATTTTTACGTGAAACCGATAGAAACCATTCAGAGCTGTCAGGAAGTGACGTCTGGCTGTCAGCGGTTTCCGCGCATGTACACCTATTACCCTCACACTACGTTCAACAGGACCATTGATGTTGGTGTTTGCGCCGGAAGCTGCGGAAACCAACTGTCTTGCAGGCCAGTTTGGACGAATCAGAAGGCAATTGCTACTCCCAATGGTGAGTGACCTTGATCAGTTAATTGACCACGATAAGGTAATTGCATTAACTCGCACACTTCCCCAAGCTCGTTGCTAGGGGTTCCACCTACCCCTGCCCTACTGAAGCTAACATTAACGCTTACTTCTCACTTAGGACAAAATGATGGCTTAGGGGAGGGGGAGGTGGGCAGTTTCCCAGAAACCTAAATTTATCCAGCACTTCTTTAGCTAGGGACTTACAGATTCAGTTAATTAAATAAGGTGGTGAAAAACTAAAAATTGTGGTTCTTGGAGAAAAAACGTTATTTTTAAGAAAATTCTTCGGGGGTGAACTTAGATTTCATGAAATTTATTTTATCACAAAAGGCTTTTTTGTTCAATTATCCATTCGGGTAAGAACTGGTGGAGGCGGTAGTGAAGAGGATGGGGGGAGGGGGTGGGGGGTTGAAACTCTCAAATTCAATAGCCCATGCAATGTTTCAACATGATTTGGGGTGTTAGAAAATGCAGGATCTAGGAGTGCAGAAAATATTCCGGATCAGAGAACTCAGCCCATCCTTATCGTAAACTAACATGAGAAAATGTGGGGAAAGATAGTTCGAGAGAATAAAGAGTAACGTAATGTAACGCGAGTTACGATAACCTGGGTACCGTAACATAAGGCACCGTAATGTAAAATACTGTAAAAAACGTAACGTAACGAAGGCTAACGTAAAGTAAGCTGCCGTATAACGGAAGGTACCATAACGTAAGCTACCATAACTTAAATTAACGTAAGGTGAAATAACGCTTTCGTAGTTAAGTCATGTAAAACTAAGTCACTTAACGTAACGTAACATAAAACGAGGGTTTAAAGAAGGAGGGATAACGTTTCACAAGGATAACTTGACGTAAGGTAAAGCAAAGAAAGTAACGTAGCGTGCAGCACGGTAAGTTAACAAAGGGTAAAGTAAAATAAAATAAAATGAAGAAAGGTGGAGAGCTAGTGTATTCACTGATATGGTGTGCTCTCTGAGTATTCTTAACCAGTTTGATTTTAGTAGTTTGCATTTGCAGTAAGAATATACTTTTATATTTTGCGGTGTAAATAAAAAAAGAAGAAAAAGGGTAGTTCAAAAGTACAGTAACGTTACGTGACAAAACGTAAGGATAGGCAAAGTAAAGTGAAGTAATCTACCGTGAAGTAAGATACAGTAGTAAAACAGCGCTACCTAAGGTAAAATAAGTTAACTTAGGATATAGTAACGTATAAGGTTAGGTAACGTAACCAAACGTAACGTAACTTAACTTAACGAAAGATAATGTAACGTGAGGTTACACGAGTAATGTAAGGCAGGATCACTGAGTAATGTCACTCAGTAATGTTGACTTAAGGTAACTCTAGATGGATAAAGAAGCACCAGTTAAAGTAAGGTGATTAAGCGTAACTTAATGTGAACAAATTAAGGTACGCAACAGAAGGAAAGGGAGGATGTGTTAGAAAAAGCACTAGATGGAAGGTAACTTTAAAAGTTGACTCAACGTAACGAAACTCAACGCACGTAACGAAACTAACGTGAGGTAAGGTCAGGTAAAGTCGCATAAAGGAGGGTAACGTATCGTAACCCAACAAATCGAAACAGTTCAACGTGAACGTGACCTGGGGCAAGGCAACTAAGGGAACGTAAGGTTGTAACTGTTTTTTTTTTTTCCTGCAGGCGAAAGGCTTATTCCAGTAATTAAGAGTTGCTCGTGTGTGAAACCGTCCTGCTACCGAGTGGCAAAATACGAGGCGTTTGCTGAACTGTACACTGACGATCAAGGAAAAAATGCCACTAGAACTAAGGTGTGTTGCTAGTTATACCAATACTTGACTTTTTATTACAGTGGAATCACAGTGGTAGATCCAGACCTTCAGATAAGGGGTGGGGGCGGTCATCCAGCCCTGAGATAAGGGGGGATGAGCGGTATCAAAAAATTTTTTCAGCCCTTTGTGCCTCAGTTTGGTCTAAAAATAAATGGGCGGGGACCAGGCCCCCCCGGGCCCCCCGTGCCACTTCCCTGGATTCGCCACTGAACAGTCTGTTTGGGGGATACCCCCGAGACCAAGGCAAGTGTGCCCTGGATGGAGGTTGGGCTGGGGTTTGTTAACAATTAACAAAAAAGCAATATTTATATACATATTTCATTCTGCCTCGGAAACTGCTGCAGCAGAAGCATAGGGTTATATGCTTCTGGCAGCAGTCATATAATGTATAAAAAAAATCATGATAAACTTATCTCTTCAATATCGTTTTTCGAATTTCCACAAGTGCAGTATACCGAAAGTCCAGTTTGTGGAAAGCTTACATCCTTGTGATTAGCTTACATGTTATAAGGCCTCTTTGTGGCCAGTCATATTTTTCGTGTCCCCTGATTGAATGGAGGTTAAACTTGAGTTTCAGACCCAGAAAAAGTGCCCTTTTTGGCTGAATAGAGTTGTCGCTTCAATAGAGGTAACAGCTACAAATATTATGTGAACTTTTTTCCGGGACCAAATTTAGTGTCCCCTGAATGGAGGTGTCCCTTGAACAGAGGTGTCCCAAAGGTCCAAAAAATGCAAAAAACTGAATGAGGTGAATACTCGGTGCTTTATAATAGCAATTTTTCTCGGTTGTTCAGGTTTCGATCTTTTAACGTACAGTTCGGTAAAAAAAAAAACAAGGGCAAAATTGGCGAGACAAAAAGACAAACAAAGGACTTTGGGTAAGCGATATTTGTTGAAGAAATGGTCTTCGTGATTTTGCCAAGAAATCGCATATTTTTCTCCTTTACAAATCCGTATATTTTCGCTATTACGCCATGTTATCGCGACACTCAAATTACATGACATTAAAATGTTTAATAGACTCATACAGATTGGGCTACCTGTGCCCCAATGCCTATCGCCAACCTTCGTCCGACGAGAGCACGAGTTGTCGTCACGTCTCGTCGGACAAAGGCTGACAATACTCGTAAGATGAAAGAGACTAAACTATTACTAACTTCATTTCAGTTGATCGACATGGGTCATTGTGAAAGTGAGCGCATGTGTCCATTTTCGTAAGTACAAATTCATTTCTTCCTGTGCTCTTCGTAGGTGGTATAGCCTGCAAACATGCCCTACCCAGGCTATTATGTCTTTCGGGGCGATGGTTTTTACGGTTGACGGTTACTATTTTGAGAGCTTCTAGCCTGCGAGCGAGCTATCTTGATGTCGAATTCACCATTTTCACATAGACCATAATGCACATTGTTTACCCCCCCCAGCCCCCATAACTTTGCATAACCACTGTCTTCGATTTCTCTAGCCGTTTTTTGGATGTCACGCACACGGGGGAGCGTGTGCGTGACATCCAAAAAACGGCTGCGAGGGAGACTACGATTTCTCTTGAGACGACTGAAATATCCAGGAGAAATGGTGAATGGCGGACGAAGCAAGCCGCGAGAGCACGCGAGAACACGCGAGAGTGTTTCTTTTAGCGTACCCCTCGCGGGTTACTTCTCGCGACATCTTCCCGATGGAATGCTTGCTAGCGGGCTTCACGGCTTCTTTCCGTGGTTAAAAGAATTCTTTACAGGCTAAAAATTAACTTTCGTTTCTTTAGAGCGAATTTAAGGTCCTAAGTTGCTTTTAATGGGACCATGGGGTGTAGCCACTCCCAGAGGTTTCAGAACGACATCTTACTAAGTAATTCTCATGTCATGTGCTGTTTCGCCAATTTATACTTTGCCGCATTCGGAAAAATAGGAAAGAAGCGAAGTTTTGTTGCAGACAGTGCTCTGTTCATGCGCAGTTTTACCTCTGTCTTCAGGCTACGGTGGTGACCCCGTGTAAGTTTTCTATAGAAGTTAAACAACAGGACATGAATGCCGATTGCCTGACTAACAGAAAGCTGACTAATTACGATATTTTTGCCCAAAGAATGCTTATTATTTGTATGGTTTATTTTCTCCTGTAGGAAAAGAGGTCTGCCTACATCGTGCGGTTTCCAGCTTAAGTATATTTCTATTCTTTCAGCTGCAGGAAGCTACACCACTGTTGCTCCTATAAAGCGTTGCACTTGCGGAGATTAAAGCGAGTTTTTCAGTTGAGTTATAGAATAGTTGCTACTAAAGAGGCATTGTCGTACTGGGATTAAACAGTAGGAAAAAAGAACGTATCTGAAACTCTAGACTGCATGCGTAGTAGCTGCTAATTTTTATAAAAAAGCGACAACACAGGCTAATGTTATATGAGACATCAGTTTGTATAAACATTATTGTTTTTTATTCAAATTTGTAACGATTGAGACAAAGGAATCTTTTGTTTAAGGAAACCAATGCGCCTCTGGTTGGCGCATTAACAATAGGTGACGTCTCGATTTTATTTTTCGCATTTTATGAAAACACTGCCTAGCAAAAAAAAAGGACGTTCCTTAGATGTGCAACTGAAGAATAATTCATGTGTGATTTAGTATGATTTTAAATAAAATCGCTTCTTTCTGTTGTTAGTTGTTGTTAAGTTGTTCCGGCCGGCTTTATTTAAACGCAAAAAACCCACACAGATCCGCCCAACAGTGCACGTGCTGTTATTGACCCCCTAGATGTCACATGACATTTAAAATAGAATTGTTTCCCGCTAATCTCTCTGCAGGGGACTGTGTAAGTAACGTTACGAGGGTTGTGACGGCGTAAGAGGGTAACCTCGCGCCGGAACCGAGTTGCAATCAGAAGCGCGGAGCGTTTCGATCTAGTGAAAATCAAATCAAAGTTTGCTCTTCTTCTTGTGATCCAGTCACCAACAGTCTAGCAGAAAATACTGTCAAAGTCACAAGCAGGAGCTATTAACACCTAAATAGTCCTCATCTCTTTCAGCTTACGGCTTAAGTTCGCCACTTTAGAAAGGAGAAGGGGACTTTTAGCCCAAATGTGTCCCGCAATGGTCACTGTGATTGTTACTAGGGAAACGCTGGTCCGCTATTGGCCAGTTTTTCCCCTGTCACCAGTAGTAGGAGCTGTCCCGGAAGTCTTTGCAAACATTATCTCGACCAAGTTTCCTTGTCGAGCCAAAAGTGGTGAATGGCAATTTCTCGTTTTTTTAACCCATTCGCTCCTGGAGATTTTGCCGAAAAACGCGTTTTGAAGCTAGTCGAGTGGTTTTCTGGTCACTGTCGTGCTATAAAGAGCTAAAACTTACCACAAAGCGGTTTACAGGTCGTACACTTGGCGGCCTTCTGATCCAGATGCAAAATATCAGCTTGCGAAGTTCGGGCATGCGCAGAAAGCAAAATTTCGACTTTTACTTTTCGCTTTCTCTCCTCCCTTGTTTTTTCGCCTTTCTTGCCTCATTTTTTTTTTCTCTTGCTGGGCATTTAGTAGGCTTCATTTTGGTGGGAAGAGTTTTTAGGAAAGCTTTTAGGATCTTAGGATTAGGTGAAAGCAAAGGTAGGTGGGTAATGGAACAAGATTTTCATGGAGATTTTCAGGTCCTTGTCACGTGGTTTTTTGCTTCTTTCTCCGGTGTCCTTGACTGAATTGTGCTCATTCTGGTATGGTTTGAAAGATCTCTTCACTCTGCACAAGTTAGCGAAGAAAGTTGTCCTTGACCGTTAAAACTGATGACGTCACAAAGGGTAGAAAGGACCTGGATCCGCACGGGCGGTTACGGGCGGTTCAGGGGCGAATGGGTTAAAGTGATTAACATGCTAAGAACACGTCTGCGCCAGGAGGCCAGTCCACCAAAATGTCTGCACAACTGATGGGCTAGACAGCTAAATTTGATGGATTTTTTCTCTTTGATGTGAAAAAATAGATATAATTAAATAAAATACATTTAAAAAGAGCATTTTAAGTTTTGAATGAAACCCCGTCTATTGTAGACTCTTGGCGAACCACGCCTAAATTCGCGTGCGCGTGAACTCGCAAACTCGCGCGAGACACAAGACCCTCCTTACCCCCTCCCTGGTCCTTGGCTAGAACAAGGCATCCTGGGATAGCAGTTTTATGAAAGGAAAATGGCGGCAAGTGGCACAGTGGATGTGGCCGAAAGCGGGTGAGTTTTATTCTTTTTTAAGACTAAATTGCTCGTTTATAGTTCTTATACCATTTTTTAACCAAAGGAAATCGCTTTTTGTTTCGCTAGAAGAAGAATTCGATTCCATTAGAGTGCAAATAATAGGCTAAAATAGCGAAAGTGCACACATGTACGGTCGACTACGGCTCAATTTTGAAGTTTTCATTCTTTCGTTCTTGAAGCTTAACTGTCAGCTGTAATCCGTTTTCACATGATTAAGCAAAGGTGTAAGAATACTGTGTGGAATTGATGACATGTTTATGCTATGCACAGCAGTTACAATCCTTTTTTCACCTGTAAATATTGTCATATCCACTGCACCTCATAGAATTAAGCTGCTCTTTCTGTAATATTCACTTGAAGATGGGGATGAAACTTATGTTGTCGTTTTCTGCAACCTGTATAATGATACTCGTCTAGATTTTTATAATGGAATAAATGCAAAATATCTCTTCTTCACGGAATTCAACCTTGACTCAAAAATAGTGTATTTCCTTTGCGATAGTATTGATCCTTTCGTATGCAGACTCATTTCTGCTTATATTTTTCAAATGATGGAAACAAGACGTGAAACTTCTTTTAAAACAAAATCATGTACCCATGTAGCCACCCTGTAGTAAATTGTTTACATTAGTTAAGTATCAAATATCACAGCAATGAAAAAACCTTTCAGCTATTTCTGTGTCAAATATGTGAGATTTCCACCCTGTCATGAGCGGGATTTCCGGAAACCTCCCAGCGACTTCTGAAGATTTCCGACAACTTTTCGAAGACTTCCGAACATTGCTGAAAATGTCCGCAGATGTTCTGAAGACGTTAGAGCACTTTCGAAGCTACTTGAAAGATACTTTGATTTAGTTAGAGCGCAAAAAAGGAAACAAAGTCATCATTTAATGCCTTTTAGGATTGAATTTTCATTATTTATCGTGTGTTAAACAACAAGTTGTCCGGATTTGTGAGTCAGGCGTGAGAAAATAATTAAGTACATTCGTAAAATAAAATGGAAAGGAAAAAAAAGTTTTTCGGGGAAAACAAAAATTACTGTCCTAGAGTACTGTTGCGTGGTTTGGCATAACGCCCTTCCTGGCTACCTGTCTAGTGAAATAGAGTGGGTCCAAATGCGAGCTTTAAGGATAATATACCCTCGATCCTCATACCAGGAAGCTTTACAATGTGCTAAAATCGCTAGACTTGAAGACAGGCGCAATGAACTCTGTATGAGGGCTTTTGATAAAATTATCAAAGGTGGACCCTTGTCAAAACATCTAACCCCGTTAAGGTCTATTGCCCATGACTACTCCCTTAGAAACTCTAACTCTTGGACGTCTTTAAAATGTAAAACCGAGCATTTTAGGCGAAGCTTTTTCCCTAGTACTGTCCTAATGGCAAATGCAACATCCTTCAAAAATTAACTGTTAAATAATTAAATTTTAAAAATTAAATAGGTAGTATAACTCTTTTTAGTAGCTATGATTGAAATTTATGTAACTCTTGTACGTTTTACTATTTTAAATTATTTTGTAAACCCGGTCCCAATTAGGTTTTTGTAATTTTCCGAACCTTGTAAACACATTGTAATTCATTTTTAATGGGAGAACATGTCGATTAAACATCTTTATTATTATTATTATTAAGTAAGACAATAGAGCACAATTTATTACACAGGAAAATGGGTAAATTAAGAACACATGCTTTACAAGCATATTAAGATATAGATTCAGCCAGAGCTAAAAGCGAAGCCCTGGTTAATATACTTATGAACAAAAAAATAAAATCATGCAGGATGCAAAGAAAGTCAGTTTTACAACCTGCCATTTGGGCAAGCTGTAGCTAGCATGTAGTAGCCCACAAGTCATTTCAACTAGCCCCAAAACCCTTTTGATTAGCAGGATTGATTACAATCCTTCTGTAATTTGAATTTCCCCCCAAAAACAGCACCTGCCCGTCAGGCAAGTTAAGAACAAAAATCACTAGGCCGATAGCAAAATCCACTAGCCCTGGGCTATCGGACACGACATTCTTTGCACACTGAATCATGTACTGCTAAAAGGCAACAGAAATGAGAACAGCAACAAAATCAATAGATGTAATTAGCAAAAAAAAAAAAATTGCACATGCAGCACTCTTACATTTCTTTGCCGTTGTTTTGCATGAGTAAAGCGTGTAACCTCCTAGTTACACGTATTTATTTTATGGAGGAATTGGCGTATGTGCTCAGCAAAAATTTTGTTGCTAGTGTTTCTGTTCACTTGTAATTTTTTCAATGCCACTCATTTTCACCTTGCTTGCTGCTCCTTGCTGGCGGCTAGCATTCCTCATTTTCTCACTGCCGCTATGAAATTTTCACCAACAAAATTTTTCTCCTTTGTTTCAAAGCACTTGCTCTAGCTCTTTCTCTGTTATCCACGTGAGTGTAGACATAAAAAGAAATTCAGTTGTTGTAAAATGGTGAGCGGTTCAATATATTTGTCTTGGTCCTTTAGCGTCTTTGTGAGAATCTCATGTAGTCATTTTTTTGAAATTGCCGTATTTAAGCTGTTTTAAGTGTGTTGGTATTGTAATTCCATGCTTTGGTTCCAAAGTTTGATATTGGTGTGGTGATATTGATCATGTCTGCTGATACAAGTGTAGAGTGCAGCAAATATTAGAAAAATATACAGATTTTATGTGGCAAGAAGGCTGAGTTTGCTCAACCTTTTTTGAGTCTGGCGGCAAATGATGCAGTTTCTCTTAAGTAGAATAAACCTTCCGCTGTCAAGTGACAATAATTCCTTGGGATGCAGTGCTAAAGGGCTCATGGAGAGGGTTTATAAATTTTTTGAAATTTACCTCATGCGGGGATTGTGTCTGGATTGCTGAGCGAGAAGTGAACTCCTTTTTTGCTATACTTCTATCTGTTTGCTTATTGTCTACCATTGTTCAGCAAAAAATCTGTGGCAAAGCAAACTTAGCCAGGCAGCTATTACAGCTATTAATTTTAAGTGGTTAAAAATGCTTTTGGCGATGAATTTAACACTAGAAGTATTTTAAAGAAAAAATGGAGGCAATTTGGACCTCAAGAGAAAATTTTTTTTGCGTCCTTCTTGCTTTGTAGTTGATTTTTATGGGCTCTATCGGGTGTAGTGTATGTTTTCCAAATGCACTGAGTGCGTTTTGTTCGGCTTTGTATCATCATGACCCTGCTTGTTTTTTGAAATACAGTAATAGCCCGCGTATAAGAACCTGAATTTTTCAATTTAGCCTAAATAGGTTCTTATATAAATGGTACTTAAAGCAAAGTTAGGCTACCGAGGTTCTTAAAATAGGTTCTTATATTTTCATATGAATTTCATCTGAATATACTATATATATTATAAAAATCATCTCATAATACAGTATAAATCATTTATTTGTACCATAGAGCAATGCCTGTCCGCAGTTCAATGCAGGTACAGCATATGTCCTTAACAAAACATAACAAAGAAAGTTTCTACCTATACACTTTTACAGCAACCCCACTGATAAGAACCTAACTTAAAATTTTAGCCTAAATAGGTTCTTATGTGGAGGGGGCTTAAAATGAAAATTTTAGCCTAACAGGTTCTTAAAACCCAGGTTCTTATACGCGGGCTATTACTGTACCGTAAAATTCCGAAAATAAGCCCCTCCAAATATAAGCCCCCCAAACTTGTAACACAAAAAACCCTGTGATAAATCGCCTCTCCAAACACAAGCCCCCGGGGGCTTGTACTTGGAGATTGCCCTCAAATTCAAAATAAAACAAAGCAAAATTTGTACAGTAACACATAAATTTTTGCATTTCCCAAAGATCTTTTACATAAATTTTCTTCCTAGTATAAGCTAGCCCAATGGATTATTTCCCTCCCACTATATTTCTAGCTGATTTAGAAATGCAAACAAGCCTCTCCAAAAATAAGCCTTTGAAAGACATATGCCTCTGGGCTTCTTCTTTGAATTTTACAGCACATCTTTGAATTTTGCTTATGAGGCTTAATGATTATGAATTTTCTTGGCAAGTAAGGAGCCCCAGGTTTGAATCCTGGAGAAACTGTTTTTGTTTTGTATGTTGTTTTCTTTTTCTTTCCTCTCTTGGCTTCTTTTCTTTTTACCTGCTACTGACCCTTGAGCTTTGAGAGGTTCTGTGATTCTCATATTTGTAGTATTTTTAGTATCTAGTTATTTCACTGAAACATTGTACGTTGTGAGTAAAAGGGTAAATTGTTTCCATTTATTGTTTTCAGTGGTGAAGTGATCCTTGATCTACAGAAGTTCCAAATTCAACCCATGGATACTCTTAACACTGAACACTTGCAGTTACTGATACTGACAGCTAATCCCACTACTAGTGGTGAAACAATAGGGAGGACTTCTTCTGACTCATTTCCTGAGTCTTCTCAAGCTGAAGCCCCGTCGCTGGTTACTGAAACAGCAGTGATTGCAGAAGAAGCAGGGTTGTTTGTGCAGGTTGAAAGTACAACTCCTACTTTACAGGTTGAAAGTACAACTACTACTTTGTTGGCAAGCAGCCATGACGTTGCTCCGTCCAAAGCTGCAGCGGATGGTGGGGAAAAGGACTTTATTTGCACGCAGTGTAATAAGTCCTTTGCGGGTCCATCAAGTTTAAGCCGGCACATAAAAACACACAGCAATGAGAAGCCATTCAAATGTATCCCATGCAACAAAGTCTTTTCCAGGTTGTCGAGTTTGAAGAGGCATCAAGGCTCCCATGCAGAAGAAAGACCATTCAAATGTACCGTTTGTGGCTGGACGTTTCTGCAGAACTCAGATCTGAAAATCCATGAAAGAACACACACTGGGGAGAAGCCATTCTCATGTGACAGATGTGAGCAGTCATTTGGATGCAAAAAGCGTCTTAAGGCGCACTACCGAAAACACACAGGGGAAAAGCCCTACAAGTGTCCCCAGTGTGGGAAGTGTTTCTCCATGAGAAAAAATGTCATCCAACACATCCGAATTCATACTGGTGAGAGGCCATTCACTTGTGAAGTATGCAAGAAGGATTATCGTCATCAGCACACACTCAAGAAGCATATGCAGCTTCATACTGTCAGATTCCCCTCCGCATCAGCTAGGTTAGTGGTTCAGGGTGTGTCAAAACCTCTGTTCGATTGTCTGGGGCAGGTAGAAATTTAGTTTGGACATGTAAACCTTTGACATGACTTTTCCATGGGACAAGCACATTTTTAATTAGAAAAAATACTGAAACATTTGAAAATTGACTTCAAATTATTAGTAGAATTAAAAGTTTACCTTAGTCATAAAAGGAATCCTCATACAAAATGACAAAAATAAGGGTAAATATTCCTTTTAACCTTGCCATACCAGGGCCATTTCATTTGTTTGTATGAGCTCCACTTGGCTTAGGAACCGGACAAAACTCTTTGGACAAGAACTCTTGGATCTTGGACAACCAAATTCAATATAGTGCTTCTCCGAGGGACAAGTGGATAGGAAAATTTTTCTCTTACTCTGTGGTTAGGTGATGATCATTGGTTGTATGTACAGGAAGTGAGAAGTTGATTTGTCAAAAATTGAAATGTTACAATGTTCAAGGAATTTTGTGCATGTAGATTTCTTTATTTACAGGTGGAATAATGATATACTATGCTACTCTGTGAGCAGCATGTAAAGAAAGCAGTTTTGGGGCTGGTGGATTTTGCTATTAGGCTCGTAAATTCAGTTCTTAACTTGCCCAATGAACAAGTGAAGTTTTTGGGAAATTCAAATAATAATTATTATGTAATTATTACATAAGAACTGTACATGTAATCAATGCTCATCAACATATTTTTCAAGCTAGTTTACATAACTGTTCGGCTAGTACATGCAAGTTACAGTTTGCCTGAATGGCAAGCTTTTAAACTAACTTTCTTTGATCCGACATGTTGTGAGCCAGATCCACTGTATGAACCAGGAAACTGCAAAACAATGATTAGAAAACAATTTTCCATTTTCTATACTATTATATCGTATAAATATGGCATGAATGTTCAAAACTCAAGTGGAGCCAGAATGGCCCGGCAGGTGGTATCACTGCAAAGTTTCAAATTTAATGTTTTGATGTCATTACTTTTTTTCCATAAAGTATAGACAATCGAAAATAATTCATTACTGAGGGGTTTTAATAAGCACCGACGACTGACGAAACGCGTCGGCTACATTGCTCAGAGAAGTCGGCTACTTTTTCCTCCTAAGAAGAAGCAACTAGTTTGAATAATGTCATGGACAAAAATATAATTTGTTCATGCGGAAATGTATGTAACTCAAGCATAATTATCATTTGTTCATTGCGTTCAGGAGTTAATTCTGTGGCTAATAGATCAAAATTTGACTAAAACCCAAATGTTCTTGAATGGAACACTCGCTCTTTTATACTCAGTTTAGTCCCCTAAACGCTGGAAATCGCTTATTAGCACTTTGCAATTTCAAAATTCTCTGGGGGAGCATGCTCCCAGACACCCCTTGAAAACATGGACTGTTGATACAGTCGGTTACTCTATTGAAATCTGCTTGGCTACTTCAATTTTTATTGAAGCACCCACTCTCAAGGTCCAAAAATTTGATGAGTGCCCAGCATGCCTAATTGAATAATATGGTATCCTACTGATGAATAGTTGTAATTTTATCTGGTCTTTCATTATTATTATTTTTTTGTTCTTAGTGATGGAGATGGTAATGACCAAGCAGCAGTCTGGCCTCGTAAAAGAAAGAAACCTAACACCACAAAGGCTGCAACTACAAGCAGGTAGATTTCTGTCTGACTTTTACACCAACAATCTCCATTGTAAACGTGTAAAAACTAACGAAATAATGTTGAGCCATTATCGAGGACTTGTAATAAATGCAAGATGAAAAGAGTTTTCAATTATTACTTTCACTTAAACTCTTTTCTAACCAACAATTATCAATTTTCAATTCCTTGATATTGGTTGCGGAAATGTCGGGACATAATCTTGTTAGTTTTTATATGATTGTGTTTCCCCAAATCTTTATTAATAAGAATTTCTAATGCTCCCCTTTTAAATTAATTATGCCAAAAATACTGTTTGAAGATACATGTATCTGATCCATTTTCTGGTTGCCGTGTGGCCAAAAGGAATCAAAACTAGCCATAATTTTGTGTACATGTGTACAAGTCCAGCACTATTCTGGCACAAGCGGAAATTTATTAGAGCGTTAGGACTTATTAAATGAAGTCCAATAATGATACATTGCAAGTATTGTTTTTTTTTTTAACTGGTTATGAATTATTTCAAGTGATTTTGTTTAAGTGAATGCTTTGAACTTTTCATTGTAATAGGAAGAAAGCAGGTAAAACGCCTGGAAGCAAAAGTGGTAAGCAACAGAAAGACAGCAAAGAGAGTAATTCAGAAGCCTCCAACAGGTGCGTAATTTGAAATACATCTGCATGTACATGTAGGCATCATACTATGCTTAATGGTAGTTGTGCAATGTTTTCAAGTGGTATATCATGAAATATTCCATGGGTGACTTGTTTTTTCTCAGTATACAATGTACACATGAGCCTTTACATGTAGGTCCTTTAGGCATGTGTGTATATGTTGTGGTTCAATTTTATCCTTTGGTTAAATTCTTTTTCCCTTTGTTTTGGGGTATGGTAATGCATGATAATCAGTTGAAAACAAAGGCAAATAAAAATTACAGCAAGGATAAAACAAACCATTTTCGATATATTAGAATTCATACTTGCTCCGAGACTGAGGGGAATAAAACAAAAGAAATGTATTATTCATTGCTGAGCCTCAAGATGATTTCTTTTGTTTTATCCCCAAGCCTTGCAGCCAAGTATGAATTTTAATGTATGGGAATTGATGTATTGAACCACAACATATACAAAGAAAATTCAAGTCTTGGGTGCTTTCTGTAGAGTTCGGCATTTCATACCAGTTAGTACGCAGCTCTTAAAAATCTCCAGTTTTATTGGTTCTCCGTAATACGCTTTTACATTGTTTTAGGGATAGAGTCATTGTTATATTTCTATGTCTATTGTTTTCACAGCCAGTACTGTGAGGCCTTGTAAAGTGCTGCGTGGCACACCTTTCATACATGTACATGGTCTTTCATGTAATATATCAAGCATGAGATGCAGTGTTTCATCACCAGATGAAACACCGAGAAGAAAGTTGAACTTCAAGGTGTTTCATCTGGTGATGAAACACTGTGTCGAATGCTTGATATTACCTCTCAAACAAAATGATTTAGAGGGAGAAATTAAGGATGCAAAAATGAGCAGTTTTCATCTGATTTCCAAACACTCATTAAACATTAATTTCCTTTGTATTTTCCTTATGAATTATGAATGAGTTTTAGAAGTACTGTTCTTTATGTCCATTGTTAACATCCTTGAATAAAGTATTGTAAGTTATTGACATGGTTGATACAGAAAGCACTTCCATTTGCCACATTCTAAATGAGTTGAAAAGTGGGTACAATATGCGACCCCAAAGCTTCTTGGAGTGGTTAAGAGGGACAGCAGAAAGGTTAGCAGACATGGCGTGTCACAAGTGCTGTCTTCCAAGCTGCGAAAAAAACATATTTATTTGATTAACCACTCAGGGCGCTCAATAAATTTTTCGACCTTGAGAGTGAGTGCTTATTCGAGGCTGGGCACTTATTACATTTTCACCATTTCAGCAAGTGTAGTATGTTTTTTTTGCAACAAAGCAATATATGGTAGTAACAAAACACAAAGATGTAACAAAGCAAGGTTTCTGTAAAATACTCAGCGGAAAACTTTGTCTTTGGAGAGTCTCTTATTAGTTCTTATTCAATTTTTTGGGGGGGGAGGGAAGGGGCGCTTATTTGAATTTGAGTGAGAGGGGGAGTGGGGGGGGGAGGGGGTGGGCACTTATTCGTGGCTGGGTGCGTATTAACTTTTTCTGCCTGTAGGATGAGCGCTTATTCGAGGTGGACGCTAATTCAAGGTTGGGCACTTATTCGAATAAATACGGTTGTTGGGGAAATGCAACTAATCTTCACAATTATTTCAGAATTCCTACAAACCCTGATGCACCAGGTATTTCTTCTTCAGTCAGAATAACCTGGCCAGCGTCTTTAACATTCTCTTACTGATGTCTGCCATGCTTTTGCTGTCCCTCCAAACAATCCCAAGAACCTTTGTGGTCATAAGTCATACCAGTTCACTGCTGGTTTAGAATATGGCCAGTCATTGTTCTACAAAGGCCCAGTTGCACTCACAGATTTTCTGTGATTTTTTTTTTAGCAAAACAGCAGAGACTGATGATTCAGTTGACACAGCTGAGAAAAAAGAAGAAACTAAGACAGCAGGAACAAACACAGGAGATGTTTCCAGGTGAATGTCTTATAAAGGAACAGTGCTCATAAAACCATCTCATGCATTGTGCTTAATTATACGAAATGTGTACATGTTTAAATACCAGGCCAGCTTCCACGCGTAATTAATGATAATTATCTTAACATGTGAAAAGATCACCGTCGCTGTGGTACATGATGAGTCGCGCCTTCGGAAGCAAAAAGCATATTAAAGTTAAATGGTTTCCGTTTGGTTTTTTATGCATGTTAATTTAATAAATAACATATTACATGGCCACTTGGGGATTCGTAATTTCTCTTCTCCTGTTTTTCAACACTCAAACTTTCGTTACTGTGGGGGGTATGTAATTTCCTGTATATCCCTGTTTTTGAATGGTGAGATTGTCATGTCTTCTAGGTACATGTAAGTCCTTTGGCTAGAATGGCTCTGCTGCCCTTAATGAATATTATGTTAATCGTTTCAGTAATGGTCAAAGTGACACTTTGGCTACCGTAAACGAAGACCATTTATTGCTGTTGACCTTAGCAAGCAACCCAGAAAGAAGTCACAGCGGTGAAACTGAGACACTGCCTGATAAAAGTACCCTGTCTACACCACACGCTCCACCCACCACAGCAGTGACTGCGGTAGGTCTTACACCAGGTGCAGCTCCCTTGGGTGATAGTCAAGATTCATCGGAAGGGAATGCTGCGGCTGAGAATCCTTTTAAATGTCCTCATTGCGATAAATGTTTCTCTGGGCCATCAGGTCTAAACCGCCATGTTAAAATCCACGATCAGGATAAGCCGTTTAAGTGTGTGCCGTGCGATAAAGTGTTCTCCAGGCTGTCGAGTTTGAAGAGGCACCAAGGCTCTCACGCAGAGGAAAGACCTTTCAAGTGTACAGTCTGTGGCAGTAGCTTTCTGCAGAACTCAGATCTGAAGATTCATGAAAGAACACACACCGGGGAAAAACCATTTCCGTGTGATCGCTGTGAACAAACGTTTGGAAGCAAAAAGCGACTAAAGGCCCATTACAGAAAGCACACAGGCGAGAAGCCGTATAAATGTCCGCAGTGCGAGAAAAGTTTCTCCATGAGGAAGAATGTTATTCAACATATCCGGACCCACACCGGCGAGAAGCCATTCACGTGCTGGGTGTGCAAGAAGAAATATCGCCATCAACACTCGCTTAAAAAGCACATCCGTCTTCATGCGGACAAGAGCAAGAACTTGGATGAGTGCATCAGCAAGATCAAGGGAAACCAGTCGAAGTCTGGTGAAACTGCTGGCGAAATGGAAGTTGAGGAACAGAGCACGCAAACAGATATGGAGGTAGTGGAGGTGGATGAGGAGAAGGATGAACGGGGACGCGAAGAAGTTGTCGCAGTGGAACTGGATAATGGGACTGAGAGAGTGGAAGTGGAAATTGGAGAAGTGGAGAAACAGGCCGAACCAACGAAGGAGAAAGAGACTGTGAACAAAGTCAAAGAGCGAGAAGCCGCTGAGGAAACGGAAGTAGAAGTGGAGAAAATCAATAACGTTGAACATTCTGAACCGATGGAAAAAGGAATGAGTGGACAAGCGGATCAAACGGAAGAAAAGGTACCGGAAGTAGACGATGCTAAAGATGCTGATCGAACGGAAGTAGAAGTAACGGAAGTGAGTAGCGTTTCACAGTCTGAACCGATGGAAGAGGCAATGACTAGACAGGCTGAGCAAACGGCCGAAATTGCACCGGAAGTAGACAAGACTATAGACGCTGAAGAAACGGAAGTAGAGGTTGCGGAAGTGGACAGGAGTAAACAGGCCGTGCAAACTGAAATGAATAACCAAGCTGAAAAAACCGGGGGGGTTGAAAACATAGACCAGGAAAAAACAGAAGGTAGTGAAGAAGTCAAGACTACCGAGGGAGAAAAACAGCGTGGTCAAACGGTGACGGGTAAATGTGATGAAAAAGTGGAGAGAGGTGCAGATGAAGAACAAAAAGGACCAGACGAGTGAGTGAACAAAATGAGAAAAAGAAGTGTTGACCGGAAGTGGAAAGTACATGACAAACGGAACAAATTGTAATAACTGTACATAGTGTAGAAATGAAAGCGTTAGTACATACCGTCCCAGTGGACGTGCCCAGGAACAGGGAAGCCCCGCGGAGGAGGGGGGAGAGGGTACTTCCTTATAAGAGGCTAATGGGGATGTGCTGCTGGGTGGGGTCGCATTTTCACGACTGGATTGACTATAACAGGGTCGCATTTTCAATAGAGTTACTAAAATGGGGTCGCACATTTTCTGATTTTTTGGGTAAGAAAGAGCATAATATTTACGGTTAGCAAACGTACCAGAATGTTTGTACTGTAGGTGAAAAGGAAAATTTGTTTTTTATTCAATTTAAAAAATGGGTCAATTCATTTAAGGATGACCTATTTAAAGGATTGATAAGGTAGATACATAAATAGAAAGTGACTAAATTGGGATCACGAAAATTACATACATGTATTTGCCCAAAAGTGACTAAGGGCCTCTTTACATGGAGTGGGGGACCCCGGCCTAGTGGGGTTGGTTTCTTTTGTTTTCACGCTCTGGGGACACAAAACAAAAGAAACCTACCCCACTAAACCGGGGTCCCCCACTCAATGTAAAGAGGGTCTAAAATGGGTTCTCTAATTGGCCACAGAATAGACTATAATGGGGTAGGGGCTCTAAGAGGCCAGCGGCACATACCTGGCATAAATTAACCCAAGTACTCCCCCCCCCCCCGGGGAGTGAAGCCCATTGAAATTTATAAGCGGGTAAGAAAATAGTTCATAGAAAGAGAGCAGAGAAAAAATGGTTAACCAAAATTTGACTAAACCTTTTAAGACAAAGACAGAGAACGCGTTACTGTTTCCATTATGGTCTTTAAAAGGGTTTGCAAGAGATTATCTGTAAACAAAGCTACTTTATCTTGGAGTCTTTCATAGGATAGTACCTTTTTAATATCATTTGGCGTCACCGAGCAATCAGCGTTCTTTCGTCTTCTGTTCATAAGTGAGACGAATAGATCCCCCAAAAAGAGATTTGCAAACATTTTCTCTACCAAAATGACGCTAAAAGTGAGGCTAGCAATGAAATTAGGCCTATATTATTCATTCTATTTAGTGGCTAAGACAACTGGTTTCACCAATACTAATCTAGGGGATAGTGATTTATCCACTACACAGCGCTATCCAGTTTTTGAACAACTGGGGCCAGATGGGTGCGCGGCCTTCTGTTATTAATACTGTAAATGTTTTGTGTAAAAATTTGTCCCTAAGTATGTACGAGTAAAATCGTTTATCAATAAGTTAAAGGAGCTGTGTCACAAAATTTAGCCAAAGTGGGAACTGGTCACTGGGTTAGTTATGGAGCTTAAGCAACTACGACGACGACGTCAACGAAAACGGCAAAAAAAGCAATAGGTTTAGATTAGCAAAACAACAACTTTGCACGTGCATCACGCCCTTTTGTTTGTTTGTTTGTTTCTTTCTTCCTTTTTGTACACTACGACGTGAAAATGCGATAAAGCGCCATAAAGTTTGAAGCAGCGGGACTTCACTTTTTAAGTGCCTTCGCCTTCGTGGAATGCGTCTGGGAAGGGGGGGGGGGGTTGGGTGGGGTGTTAAGACGCATGAGGAAGGAAGGAAGGAAACTCTTGCAATAGAGCTATTGTTTTTTTTTAAAGTTCATTGTTGTTGTTGCTTGGGAGACATGAGGGTTTGTCGTAAAACTGTAAATTTGTCATTTACAGTAAATTTGTTTGCTGGCGTCAGGTTTCTTAGGGAATAAGGCGGTTACTAGGCCATCTCTTATTTCCCAAAACCCTCACTTTCAAAACGAGGCTAAATGCAAAACCATTCTTGTGATAAGGAGTTTCATTTGAATTGGCCCTTTGCAGCCGTTCAGTCACGTAGGACAAAAACGGAAGAAACGCAGAGGGGTGAGATAACAAAGTGCTTATCATTTAGCCCGTTATGACCCAAGAGTGATCAATATCAACTTTCTCCTTACTATATCAATACATCACCTAGGGGAAAGGTTGGGAGAATCTGTGAGAATCAATATAATGATCACCAAAGGGAAAATGCTTTGATCTATTATTAAATTCTCTTCACTAATTTTTTAAATGAAATGTCTTTAGGTTAGTCTAGAATTTGTATGTGGATATTTGGGCTTAGGGTTAAAATGATAATTAAGGGCCTGTTCACATGGAGGTGGGGGACCCCATGTAGGTGAGGAAACCCGTTGAGGTTGGGTAACCCGCCTGTCTCATATGGTCACCCTAGCTATCATGTAAACACGATTAAATTAATATGAGAGATTGTGTGGACAGGTGGGTTACCCCACCTAAGCGGGTTATTTCATTTGGGGTCCCCCACCTCTATGTAAACAGGCCCTTACTCTGTTTTTGTTGTTCCGGTGCGTTTCTTACGTCTCATCGTGACGTTTTTGTACCGCGTGACTGACCAACTTCAAAGGGTCTATTGGCATACTTTAAAAACAGACTAGATGGCTGTGGCACAGCCCCCCTCGGGTTGGACATTAGAGACGTAGCTTTTAAAAATACAGCGCTGTACGGTCGAACCTTCCATGAGCGTGGTACTTGTGATCGCAGATCGGATTTGGTACTTTGGAGAGCGGGACACACACCAGAGTCCATTGTTTTTCATCTGCTTTGGTATTCATGTTCCGTTCTTTATCTATTGTCATGCACCGATATCTATTGTTATCTATGCTTTGTTACTTATTATTTAAGATTCTGGTAGTATGAAACACAACCCTTAGGGCCTGTTTACATGGAGTGGGGGACCCCGGTCTAGTAGGGTTGGTTTCTTTTGTTTTCACGCTCTGGTGGACACAAAACAAAAGAAACCTACCCCACTAGACCGGGGTCCCCCACTCCATGTAAACAGAGTCTAAGAAGGGGCTGGTCACTTACTGTGTGACCGATGGTCACACATGGAGGTTCCACTGTAATTATTAATAGGGCGCGATCATTTTATAGTACCTAAGACCTACTTTTTAATGTTCGGTTTTATCATGTACTTACATTTATCAGGCAGAGTGTAGCAATAAGGTCTAAAATCAAGGCCACTGCGTGATTGTTAATATTATTAAACCTTGAAACTGAATATTTTGTTTTAAGCCGAGGTTTTCGTAATTGAGACAGGTAGGCGTGGAGGCACAGTACTATTATTTTATGTGACGTTTACTTCGATTTTAGTCGCGATTTCTGGGCGATTTTACTCCGATTTTTGACGTTACCGCCCAAAAGGTCACAAGGTATTTAAGTCCGTGACTTCTCCGATGTTTTCGGAGGAATTGCACGAAGTGAGACCGGAAACACCTTGTAATTTCCCGAGATCACCTCCAGTTCTTTGGGCTAGATTACAACTGCTAACAATAAATTATTTTTTATGTGACTCGTGGGCTTTGAACCGGCGATTAGATCCGATCTCATTTCGACCTCTCAGTTGCTGAGGTGGCAGCTTGGCCAATTATTCTACGGCGACGTCCATATATTTCCATGGGAAAATAGGTTTAAAACCGACAACTTAAAAAACCGTGTGATTGTTATTTACAATCAGTTACCTTTATATATCCTCTTAAAAGTCCAAATTTATGGGGAAAGAGAAAATTTATTGCTCACGCTGAACAGGCTCCTGCGCTGGCTAAATCGCTTATCCGGAAATCACCCACATCCATACAGTCAGAAAATCGGCGGAAGAGGAAAGAGGAATTTATTTATTTATTATTTTATTTATTTATTATTTTCCCACAATAAAGATTACACAAGCATTACATTATACAAAGATGTGGCGAGGGGACCTCAGAAAACCACAAGGCTTGTACGAGGAGGCCCCCTCGTTACAATAATATTAAGCAATAGAACTATAACAACACACAACAACGGACAGTACAAGACGCATTATCGATATAGTAGAAAATCAAAAACTTTCGTTTTAAACGATTGCAATGTAAAAATCGAAGTGACTGAGTTTGGTAAAGAATTCCAAATTTTAGGGCCTTGGAACAAAATAGAAAATTGTTTGGTGTTAGTTCGGCAGGCATGAGAACGGAAATGCGAGGAACTTCTAGTATTATAATTATGAATATTGCTACTAGTAACAAAAAGGTTCGAAAAAAGCGGTGGCAGTAATTGATGATAATATGAAAACATAAATTGTGCAATATAGAATGAATTAATGTTGTATATGTCCAAAATCTTTAAACGGAAAAATAATGGTTCAGAGTGCGCGCGAAAATCTGCATTTGTAATAATTCGTACTGCTCGCTTTTGTAGAAGAAAAATTCTATTAAGGTTTGTTACATAAGTGGAGGACCAAACTGTGGTACAATATGTTAAATAAGGATAAATTAAGGTATAATAAAGAGACTTTTTTGTTGTTTCAGAAAGAAAGAAACGAGACCTAAACATGACGCCAATAGATTTTGAAATTTTCTTACATATATAAGTAATATGCGGCTTCCACGTTAGATGCTCGTCGATAAAAACCCTAAAAATTTAACTACCTTTACTTGTTTTAATAAAACCTCATCGTACAAGACAGGATTTATTGGGAAGCCGACTGGTTTTGCCTTGCTGCAAAAATGATATAATTAGTTTTCGTTATGTTAACAGAGAGCTTATTTGCTTTCATAAAAAGATCAATTTGAGATAAATCATTATTTACGGCAGAAATAGCACAATTTAAATCGGGATTAGAATAAAACACACTAGTATCATCTGCAAAAAGCATAGTTTCAGCAAGACGAGTAGCACAAGGGAGGTCATTGATATACAAAACAAACAATAATGGTCCTAATATAGAACCTTGAGGGACTCCACAGCTCAGAGTCAGCCTAATAGAACAAGTCTCTTTGTACTGGACAAACTGCACGCGATTTGACAAATAGCTTTTCAACCAGCTAAGTGCTAGCCCATGAATCCCATAATGCTCAAGCTTAGACAAGAGTATTTGATGGTCTAAAGTATCAAATGCTTTTGATAAGTCTAAGAATATGCCAACTGTATATTCGCTTCTGTCAATAGCAGTTGCAATTTTATTAATAAGATGAATTAAAGACAGCGCTGTAGAATATTTTTTACGAAATCCAAATTGGCAACAGTATAAGATATCTAAACGATCTAAAAAATTTGTAATACGAATAATAATGGGGTGTTCCTTAGTCCGTTCTTAGTTCTCAAAAAACTTTTGGTTATGCCATTATTCCACCCAGAAAAGGGCACTATTTTATTATTCCAACTCAAAATGAGAGATGGAAGAAACAGGCATTTCTGGAACATGTCCTCTTGCCTTCGTCTATCTACTGAAGTCCTAAGACCTCTAGGGTGTTCATTCTCGCACCGTTTCCAGCTTTTTATCGACGGACCTCAATATCGACCCCCATTTTGTAATTGCAGAGGGCCCTTTTTCAAGAAAAGGGGCCCAGGTCTCTGAACTTTTTCGTACCACTTGGTTCGAAATCATATTTTTTCGTCTTTAAACGACGAATTTCGACCCAGTTTGCCACACAACCTTACAATAGGTGGTTTTCATGCAATCTCGGGAGACAAAAATAACAATGGTGAAATGAACAAATGCTGGTGGACAAACAAAGCGAGCTAATGAGCGATCTTTTGTTGACCGTCCACCAGCATGGCGGCGATGACGTAACGTGAAAACCACCTATAGCCAATGACAGAAGCCATAGCGCCCCCAAAACATTCCCATGGTGCAATTCGACACAACATCGACCCAGTCTTGCGCTGTACATAAGGGGGAGGCCAATTAATTGGATGTAAGCGATGTGTCGAGAATTTACTGCGCGATTGTATTACTAAGGGCGTAGCTACCTGTACGCACGTGCGTAACTGAAACGTCCGCCAGGTAAAAACAAAATACCAAATAAATAAAATAAGAAAGTAAATGAGAAAAAAGCTTTAAAACAAAATAGTCGCACTTTGCCCTAATCCATTTAACTCTGCTTGTTTCTGGGAAATGTTATTTTCTAAAAGAACGGACTGTATTTTCCACAACCGATTGTCAGTTTGCAGGAAAGAGACGTGAGTTACTTATGTACTAAATCTTGAATGGTGCAGTATATTTAGGGCCTGTTTACATAAAGGTGGGGGACCCCAGGTAGGTGAGGTAACATGTGGCGGGTTACCCCACCTAACATATAAACGTGATCACATTAAAATGAGAGATTATATGGACAGGCGGGTTCCTGCCTAAGCGGGTTACTTCACCTACCTGGGGTCCCCCACCTCCATGTAAACAGGCCCTTAGAGTATAGGCAACGCCCCTGATTACATTTTGAATAACATAACATTAACTCAATCCTTAAGTACGAATTTGATAAGTCAAATGTAATATTTCCAATTTATTTCAACATTTTTTAAGTCTACAAAAACATGTCTTATGTATTATCTTGTTCAGAAATGGGAGGGGAAATCGGTCAAAAAATCACTCCCTTGAAATCTTGGTTCACAATTTTTGTATGTAAATGTAATAAACAGTATCGTTGAAACTACTGGTCTAGCTACATATCTAGTAAAAATGCAAGGGTTCCTTGCAAACGAAATGAGAACTAGATACATTTTAAAGTGGATGGGAATGGTTTATAGCTCTAACTTACTATATATTTAATTTACTTCACTGCTGGATCAACGAACCTAGTTCCAAGTAACGTAAGTAAAAAATGTTAAAACACAAAAACAAAACAAAACAGTCAACTGATCTTTACGGTGAAAAGAGTGAAATAGAATAGAAACTACCGTAAAAAAAAATAATAAAATGTGTTTTCCCAAGGTCCTTCTTCTTCCTGTTTACAGGGAAAAACCCTGGGTGTAAGGATGTTGAATCATCGCATCAAAGCTCTTTATCAGTTAAAACTATGATAATGGTCCTAAACAAAGACTAGTTCATCGCGTGAGCAAGATGAACCGTTTGTCTGGTTTACTCTCAGAGTGATGTATCAACACATCACAACAGTGAAATCTTAAAATATAATGCTACAAAAGTAGGCATAATATAGCCCTTCAAAAAGCCATGCGTTTGGTTAAGATAATGAAATTAAAACTGCAAGTTTTTACAAGTCCTTATCGGCCAATTTGGACCTTTTTTTCTCCTGTTCTAAGCTATTCAAAGCTAACTGGCGTAGAAATTTTCCGCCATGAATTAGCGATTATGAATAATTAATGACGTCCAGGTATTCCGCGCGATATGAACTTTCAGATCTTTCAACAAAGGACACCCTGATCCGAGAAATTGCCTTTCTTTTCTGCCTTTGACGAACTTAAACCGAAAGAGGAAGTGACCCCTTTGAACAAGAGTACCAAATTAAACTTACATAATTTGCTAAATTACCACTGTTGATATGGGGCCAAATGACTCAGAAAAATGTCAAGTTTTTTTCCTCCGTCAGCAAAAGTTGCCTAGAAATAGGCTTTCTTACTGGTAAATTTGTGCAATTGTCTTAAAACGCCGCATTCCATGACCATATTGAAAACGTCGCTACTCTGAATGTCATGGTGAACAGCGGCGAGACTTTGGTCATAAGCACGCATCATCTGCTTTGGGTGACAGTTCAGGGCTGTAGTTCGCACCTTAATGATAAATGCATGGCGACCTTTTTTTTTGGGCGGAGGACATTTTCCGATGCCTTTTAAGTGTGGTCCAAAGTATCGATTCTCAGTCACAAACTTTGGAAGCTTATGAAGGTCTACCGTTGTAGAGTAACGTCGCTTTAACACGGCGCACAATGATTTATGTTTTTGCCGGTGATTCTGTAGGCAGTCTAGCCCACAATAAACAGCAATATAGCACTCTGGACATCTCTTCACGCTTTTCTGGCATAATTTTCCGAAACAAAGGCAACATCTAGTTTGTAACCTTTCAATTGCCTCTTCTGCCGGATGAAACAAACCCTCTGTGTTGTTGAATACTTGATTGTTTTCCTGGGTTGGTGGATTTGAATAAAAGTTTGTTTCTCCTGGTGGAAGAATGAAGTTTGGGTCCGACTCGTGAATTCTTCTTGCGTCGGGAAATGGTCCCTCTAGGTAATGTAGATACGGTCCAGCATGGTCCCGAATAACGTTCGAGGTTATAGCGACTTTCCCACAAAAATTGATGCCTATGAAAATGCCACCACACTTATTGCCAAATATGTCATTTCCCATTATCTTTGCTGAAGTTCTAGTTTTGCAAAGAATTCCCCAGAAGCCATTCTCAAAAATTTTGTTGTTAGTGATCGACAGGTGACTATCTGTCAACGAAAAACCGGAAGCCATGTTGTGATGAATTTCATTGCCATCCACGGTCACAAGGGCCTCCTGTTTGCTGTTTGCTACAGCTACACCCTCTTTGTGATTCTCAAATATCTTGTTGTTGCGAACCAAACAGCGCCCCGTATCAGGCCCCATTAGGAAACCATGAGTACTATTGCTATAAACTATATTTTCTGTTGCTATAAGTTGACCGCCATCTCTTGCCTCTAGGCCATTTTGGTTGCTGTATACCTCACATTTCTGCACAACCAAGCGAGACCCGTTACCTGAAACCCAAGCACCACCACCCCCACAATGATGTATCTGACAACGTGTAAGACACACTGTGCAACCACCTTGCACCTGAATTCCAGGGAACCCAGAGACACCAGAAGTTGATGGTATACCAAAATTGTTGTTGCGATCACAAATCGGCTGTCCACGCGAGGCAGCGACACATCCCTCTCCTCCATTACACTCTGGATAGTCTTGGCAGCATGAAAAACCAGCTGAGATCTCACAGTGGCTCAAATGAATTATTGCACTTTGACCTTGGCAAACCAAAGGCGGATTGCCACTTGGAAACCTTACGTTTTGAAAATAACACGTAACATTTTCAACTACAAAGCCTTTTCCAAAATTTAAGACAGCTCCTGAGCCAAGACCCACCACGTGAGTATCGAAAAGGGCGACCGCGAACTGACTGACATTATACTCTCCCTCGAGCAGAAGTAGTGTTTTATTAGCTTGGAGAAACTGCAGTTCCTTCTCTAACTGATAACTAGAGCGTATTACTTCATAATTCAGATGCGGAAACCTTTCATTTATGAAGCTTCTGTTAGACAAATTTGAATCGAGGTAATGAGCTAACGCAGCAGTAGCCACGGCATTTCCTTTCAAGTTGCCCTGACATTTACCTTCTTTCATTAGTTCGTTGAGAGCCCAGGCCTTGCGTAACAGCGCTTTGCCGTAATCGGGTTTAAGTGAAAGACACTCTTCGCAATCATCTAAAGCTTTCTTCGGCTTGCTAAGTTTTAAATGGCAAAGCGCTCGGTTGGAGTATAAACGGTAGTCCTTGGAGTTTAGTTCAATGGCTTTGTTGTACAGACTTAACGCTTTCCCATACTCTGCACTTTGTACTGATTGGTTTCCTTCTTGTCTTAGCTGGTCGGCATTATGAATTCTGTGAGTATCAGTGGAATCTTCAGGATTAGATGGTCGTTCTCTCATGCAATGGGATATCAACTTGTAATACTTGTCTTTGAGTGGCATGTTAAAATAAAGAAGAAGGTTTAATGTTTCTTCAGATGGTAACTTTTCGAGCAGAGTAAGAAATTCTAACTTTCGTTTTTGGATTTCTTGAGCTTTAACTTTTTCCCGCGCTACACTGTAAGATATTGCGCTTTCGTTCAAAAGGCGGACTGTTTCCTCTGTATGAAGCAGAATGCAAGCAGATTCCTCATTCTTTGTAGTGAATTTAAGCATGTGATCAAGGAAGTAAGTTGCGTGAGAGGCCAACTTCCCCCAAAAGTACAGCGAAGGAGGATTCTTGACACTAAATACAGCATCTTCGCTAAACTCTTTGCACACACCGACCGGCGAACGGGTATTTGAAAGCGCATGGTGGAGAAAACGTGTCCCAGCTATGAAAGCAAATTCCTTGGGGAAAAAATCTTTACAAAAGGCATCCTCTTTTCGTTTTTCATCCATCCAGGTGCGGATCACTTCTTGAACTAAACGATGCACAGAGTATGAATTTGCCCCAAACTGCTGAAAGAGAGAGAGGTTTGTCAAAAGGTTCATTACCTCCTTCCGTCCCAAGGGACTGCTCATAACTTTCAGTAGGCTTGAGGAGTCTACTGGGGGAAGTCCTTCATTGAAAACTTCGCTGGGAATATCGTCAGGACCAAGAAAAGCGAAAATCTCCATTAAGAGAGTCGCAACTAAGCGTATCTCTTTGTCATAAGATTTACTGTTAGTGATGTGCTCGAAATTCATCAGCCACGTAGTATGGACTGCCAAACGGTCTGGAGATGTGTATTCATCAGGTTCTTGTGCTTTCATCTTTTTCAGAAGCTCGAGTTTCTCAATCTGCTCTTTATATTGCTTAACGTAGTCCCTTATGGAACAGGAAAGGTACCGTATATATGCTGCGGCTTGATCAAGAGCCAATGGCAGACCACTAAGTTCACTCGCCAGTTCACGAACTTCACTGTCTTCCCCCTCCGTTCTCCCAGTCTTCTTTCTTAAAAACTCAACGCTCTGTTCTTGTGTTAGACGTTTCAGCTCAATACAAGACTTCTCTTCGATTCCTGTTTCCTTAAGTATTTCCCTCGGTTCTCTCCTGGTAGTAATTATGACATGGCCACGTGATCCTTGCTTCCATTTGCCCCTAAGTAACTTGCGCATGTCTTCGGACATTTCCAGTTGGTCAAGGTTATCTACAACTAAGCACCACATCTTGCTCTGCTTTTTAAGCCACGCAAGGGCTTTCATTAAGGTAAAGGAAAAATCACTCTCAGGTGAAGTTATTTGCATCTCCAGAGCCATTTCTCTGACAGAACTTTGAAAGGTCATGTTGCTTTCCCCAGAGATCCAGAAAATACCACCCGGATACTCATTCTTGTGTCTCCAAATAAACTCAACAGCAAGTGACGTTTTACCTATGCCACCGAGACCGTATATGGCTGTATCCACACAACTGTTTTGGTTGCCTTTAAGGATGCCGAGAATAGCGCTTAGTTCGTTCGCACGACCACAAAAGCAAGAATTACGTCTAGGCGCTAGAAACGCGGTCGCATCATTCGTAGCCGAAGCGTTCACATGGTCTTCCAAAGAGGATTCCAACGCCTTCACCTTTTGCTCTGTGTGAGAACTTTTCCTTTCCAAAACGTCTACAGAGGCATGTAAATCCTTTTGGTCTCTCTCCAAACTAGCCATTTTTACTTCGCTTTCATCTTGACGTACGTCAACCTTCTTAACATTTTTAGAAAGATCGCCAATGGCACTGGATAACGCTTCGTTGGTTTCTGACTGTTCCTTATATTGTTCCTCCACTCGATTCTCAAGTTGGGTTAGGCGCTTCTCAATGCTATCACGAAAATTCTGCAGGGCATCTAAACACTTCTGGACTTCGTCCATGCCGATTTTCCTTACCTCGTCGAGATCATGCTGCAGGTTGGCAACTTCGTCAACAACAAGTTTCAATAACTCCTCATCCACAGGACAGCCAACGCACAGGTCCACCCCTACAACAAGAATGTTAACATTTCATATCAGCATACTATTGAAGACTACTTAAAAGACATGACAGGCAACTGCGTCTTTTTGGTGGCCTACAAATGTAACGAGCGCGGGTTGATTTGAGGACCTCATGATGGCATTACAAATTTTGTAGTTTGTCCTAAGTGATGCCAAACCTTACTTTTTCGTCGGATGTATATTTTTTAACCCTTGTCTGCCTACTGACAAACATGATCTACTCGACAGCTCTTTTCCTTTCCGGGTTTTGTAGAAGTAACACCAAAAGGTTTCTTTTTCTTATGCGCGCAATATTTTATATTTACATGATGGAAGAATGGTCACCGTCAGGCAGTTTCCGACATCACTAACAATAATTGTTATTACTTAAACTTTTTTTAAGTTTGAAGGCAGCTACTACTGACTTACTGTTTTGGCGTGGTTTCTTTCACCTCAATTTTAATTTTTTTATCGCTGTTTAGCAATAATAGAGACCTTTGGATTCCAAAGATAAGGATGTCTACAAGGACGAGATTTTCTCAATACTTGGTGGTGCACGCGTGAACCAGCGTCGTTTTGGCGGGAAAACGTGATAGGCAGCGTCATTCTGCTACAGGCGGAAACAAGTTAGAAGCTTTGTCATTTTGCGATCTGGAGAGTGCTTAACCTCCTTCACTAAAAATTGCCGTGCTAACGTTTCTGGTGAAACTAAGGTGAAATGAAGGTGTCTTTTTTTGGGAAAACGCAAAAAATCTTTGAGTCAAATCTCGTTCTCGCGGTCGTCCTACTCCCCGCATATCATCTAAAGGTCACTAATATTAACATTAACAACACAAAAAACCTGCATCAGCTACTTACCTCTCTTCTTCCAGTCACGAAGGTCGTCAAGTACTTTCGCTTCATCTCCACTGGGAAGCTTCAAAGAACGAAGCAAATTTTCTAACAGCACAAAACAATTTTTGAACTCTGGATCAGTCCAGTGGTCAAAGTTGCAATGTCCCCACTCATTTCTTACTTTAGAGCGCACATCCTTGGCATAGGGTGAAATTGCGCTAGCAACAAATATAGACGCTCTCTCTAGAATTCCTAATACGCTGGAAAGGTCGCATGTGTTGTCAAATCCTGCAAATAAAAATACAATGATAAGCTTATCTTTTTCCTGATTGACCGAGCGGAGCCAACCCATATAGGACATCGTGTTTTATATGGAGTACCCCCTCTTAGAAGTCACAATGTTGATAGCGAGAGCTCTGAGCAAAAAAAAAACCCAAGCTAATAAGCCTCTTAACAAAACAACAGGAGTTAATCCATGATTGACTTTCTATTCATTTCAAAGTATCCCACCTGTGAACTTGGCCATGTGTGGCTCAAGATAAAGTTTAGCCAAGTCCTCAGATGTTCTAACTTTGTAATCATATGAACGCACTGTTTTCTTAAAGTTGCCCAAGTTATTATTGATGCTTCCATAGTTCAGCTGTAATCGTCCATCATGGGTCAAATGACTTCCAAAGACTTGAGTGTCAATTCCATGTGTACTCTTCAAGGATGCGTAGTGTTTGGGCATTTCTTGACCCACAAAATCACGGAGGACTGGCAACAAAACTCTGTTCAAGCAAATCCCGATCGCAACCCATCTCTTCTGGTTCTCCCCAAGATCAAAATTGCTGACTGAAAAAGTACAGTGTATGAAACAGTTTGACTTACTTAAAAATTTGTTAAACAGCTTTCAACTGAGAATTAATTAAAATCATGAATTGCAAGGACATAGCTTTTTCCCTCATATTTTAAGAATCAATAGTATGGAGTGGCCATTGAGCCATATAATTATATAAAAATGTGCTCCATATGTGTGGCAATGTGTATCATTGGGAGAATACATGGAAGATCAAAAGAGAGTCAGTTTTACAGGTTGCCGTTCGGGCAAGGTTCTATAGCTAGCATGTACCGCCCAAAAGTCATTATTTCAATTGGCCCCAAAGACTTTTTGATGGACAGGATTGATTACACAGTTCCTCGGTAATATGAATTCCTCAAAAAACTCCAGTTGCCCATTTAAATGTACATGACGGCCCCAGCACCGGATTATCTTATGTCTAAATTTACTAAACGATTTAACATCAGTGGGTGAGAAACTAGAAACGCACAATCGCTACATTAATTCCCTTATTTAAATCAGCAAGTGCTAGAGAAGCTTCTATTACAGAACAGTGAAGAAAATGAATTAAAACTAATTAAAGATGTTTCAAACATTAAGCGAAAGCTCAAAAGTAAACTACTTTGCTCGGCATAAAACTTTGTAAAAGATGTTTCTTGTATTTTATGTATGATCTTGTATAGTGATTAATTTTTAGCTGCTTGATAATTTTACCAATTCACTTTTTATATATTTACTTTACTCCATTTTGTTTGTAATTATACTTTTTGTAATTATCTTTGAAAAGCCTTGTATGTATGTATTTATTGGGCAAACTGGGCAAGGTAAGGATCACCAAAGGAAGCTATACAAAAGATTGAAAAGACACTGAACAATATCCACACCACAAAACAATTAAGCTAACCAACAACGGTTTTCGTAACATCAAGAAACATCCTATTTAAAATACTTTTAGTTCTGATTGGCTCTTCTTACCAGGTCCAGCAGAAGTTGAGGCTCCAGTCACAACTGTTGGTGCAGCAGGAGTACCTGGAAGAGTTGGTGGCACGGTTCCACCCATTGCCATGATGACCTGAAAATAAAGTTTATAAGCAACCACTGAAGTCACAACTACAAAAAAACTATCTGATAGGCTATGTATTTGCAGTCCCGACATTTTAGCGTCAATAGGTGGGCCCCTTCCTTGGATCCGCGGCCAGCGCCGTAGCTAGTATGAGGCCAACCGAGGCACTCGCCTCGGTAAAATTTTGACGAATTTCGCCGATCATTTTTATTTTACATAAGCGATCATCGGATATTTTTAACGCATCATGATATTACAAAGAATTCAGCAATTCAGTCAATATACTATGAGAAAATTACCATATCATCGATCTCAAGGGGCTACGTACGTTAACTCAAATTTTTTTTGAACAAATACTGATCAAAACCATTGGCGAGGTTAACGGTCACCCAGATTATGTAGCTTGTTTCTGATTATTGCTTTTTAAATTCCACTTAAATTAACTCGAAAAAAAGTTACCGAAAGGCCCAGAAAACGCTGCAAATCGCATTTCCGAGAGACTAAAGTTCAAAATTTCTCGGGGGGGGAGGGGGGGGGCATGCCCCCGAACCCCCTAGCAACTCCGGCCTGCCTCGGTTGGCCGTTTGGTCTGGCTACGGCACTGGCGGCAGTAGCTCGTCTTCGTTTCAAACGTCGTGCTACCGCCGTGCCGAACTCAATTCATAAATTATAAATACGTTAGAATACATTTAAAAGTTTGCTAAACCGTTTCTTTATTTTTTTGTTTCGTTTTCGGCAACAGGCGTTCTGTTCGACTGAATTAAATTCGACGTCTGAAACCAAGTCGAGCTAGTGTCGTGCTGCAGTCGAGCTACAGTGAAGCCAGCTTAGCACGGCAGTAGCACGACGTTTGAAACGGGCCTATTCTTTAATGGTCTACGATCAAACTCAAACAGCTTCTATTTCTGTAAGTTTAATTCAAAACAGCGAATCGCTGAGTCCCCGTTCATCCATTGTATTGGCTTGTTATTTGTCTTATAAAACTGTGAAAGGTTTGAACCCAGGAGTCATTTCAAAACTAGGTTGAGTTTGATCGTCCGGGTGAACGCAGTCCTGAATAGGACTGTTGTTGTTGACAGCGACTCTTATGTTACGAAAGTTTTACATAACCTGTTTTGTACCTTCAGAAAAATTATTAATAACTCAACTTTCATATAAGCCAGTATTTTTTGCATATCATTCGAACGTATTTTAGAGGGAAAAGCAAAATTGGTCGCTGTTCGGGCTGTGCACCTGCTACGGCCCACTTGTCTTTCGTAAGACTTACTATTATAAATACAGCCAGTCGTTTTAAAAGTTTGTCCTTCGATCGTGGATAATTTGAGTTTGCGATTTCATCTACTAAAGGATAAGGCATTCGCAAATCTTTGTGTTTTATATAATAGATGTGACGGTAAATTACGCATGTATAGTACAAAAACAAACCACTGACTGATGCCTCGATTTGTTGTGACTAAAGTAAGCTTTAAGCTCATTTAGATTTTTAAAAACTTACGGAAGGCCGGGACGGAAAGATCCTTCAGAGTCTGCTGATCTGGAGGAATTGCTCTTGAAAAACCGAGGATTAATAAACGAGTGTGCTCAAAATACGCCAAGTGTGATTACAAAAAATTAAACTTGCTTTCAATCACATTTCCTTTAAGACAGAACACTGCGAACTTTCGTTTTTCCGGTAATCCACCTGGAAGGTTCGATGAAGAATGAGAGGAAGTGTAAAAATATAACTGGGACGGACTAGTGGATTAGTTAGACAACGGAACAAGCCTTATTTCTCTTCCAGTTCCCCCTTGACAAAGCAACGGTATGAATGGGAAAAACAGTGTTTGCGTTTATCAGAAGTAAAGGAAAATATCGAGTTTTAGCCTGGTAAGGCCGTTCCTTTATTTCTCGTCAAAATGAATCATGTCCAACCAGGCAATGCCCAAAAAAATTCCTGCGTGACACGTCAACAACAGCTCGTAGAGCTTGGTTAGCCTGTGTGACACCTGCTTTATTGTGCCTATGAGTCGCCATTTTGGATTGGTGAGAAGTAACAAAAATTCAAAATGTACATTGAATGGTTATGGTTTAGTCTCGACTCTTTTGTAAATTATTTGAGTTGGATTCTAACTTTTGTAAAGTTATCTGGTTTTACGGATCTTATTTTCTGAAAAGCGTCATGAGTTTATTGGGAAATCACTAAGCGTGAACAAATTTAAATGCGCATTTTTTAACAGCAGTTGGCTGTATGGGGTCTTTGTTTTGCGGCGAGACATACGAAACTAGTCCTATTCCTAGAAGTAGCAGAAGTGTTTCCGAGAAAGTGAGGGAAGAGAAAAATGGACTTGTGAAGCATCACGGAAAATACAAATTAAGTTGATTTTGTCAGAAGCCCTAATATGAGAAAAAATAACTAAAACTTAAGCCTTTGTTTGACTTTGTCTATGTGCTTTAATATTTCGAGTCCCCGTTATGCTGAGTTGACTTCCTCTTTGCGGCCACTTGAGTCACAGCAGCTCTGGTTGCTGTGTCGTCGGCAAAGCGTTAAATCAAGGGCTAAATGCCCCTCGGCGAATTTGAAACTGAGGTATTTTTCATTTGTTGTTAGTTGCAACGCTTTTGGCCATTTTTGATTAGACGATAATGAATTTTTCCACCTCTGAGGACCTAACTTTTCAGCAGTATTACACTGATAAATATGGTTCAATAGAAAATTTGATTGGTAAAGCCAAGGATGGCGAAATCGTCGCCCAAGCAGATCTGGGAATTGTTTACTCAGAGGGTTTTGGCGATGTCTTGCTGAAAGACGATGACAAAGCCATTGGATGGCTTAACACTGCTGTAGAAAACGGTAATGAATTTCCTACCGTCCTTGCAAAACTTGGTGAATTGTTAGACAGGAAAGGAACGCCACTATATCAGCGAAAGGCGTACGAGATGCACCTCAGGGCAGCGACACTGGGCCTCGCAAATTCTCAGTTTAATCTAGCAGAAATGTATCGATGTGGGGTTAATGGAGTCGTGAACAAAGACATCAAAGAAGCATTTAAATGGTATAAAAAAGCCGCTGATGAAGATATGAGTGGTGGCGAAAATGATGCAAAGAAACCCGGTACATTATTAGCTGGGACGATGAGAAAATTTGAAAATACCGTGGATCGCACAAAATACAAGGCGCTAGGATTTCTATACAAGTGCTACCTTGAAGGTGATTGTCCGGAAGGCAAACCCCAACCAACCAAAGCCGTTTACTATTTAACTAGAGCAGCCGAACAGGGTGATACTGAGGCACAGCTAAAGTTAGGACAAATCTACATGAACGGAAGTTGCGATCAAGGCAAAGACATTTCACGGGCAAAAAGATGGCTCAGGAAGGCTGCAGCTAGTGGTGATGAGAGGGCAAAAGAGGTAAGTGGCAGAGACCAAAACCAAGCGTCAACATGCAAATCGAGAAAAACTTTCAAATAATATTCGCTTTCAACAGCCCAATTCTAATATGATTGCTAATTGAAGCTAGTCTGAGATTGGCTTTGTTTTGATGCATTCTTGTCTGCTTTTTTATGTAAAAACTGTCATTCTCATGCAAAAATTTCCACACGAAAAGCAAGAGAGATTGTTTTTAAAACGTTGGACCAGTTAACCCCAGGCTGGCATTATTTTACACAATGGCACTGCTGATGAGCACACATGCTGCCTGAAGTCATGTAACCGCCAGAGCAATGGAGTGTTACTCGCAAACAACATTTATCTGTTGTGCGCCAGAGTCTGTGGCTCGCCACATTTTCTGAGACAGAACTTTGTGCATGCTGAGGCATTCTCTCTGATTTTTAGCCCTTTATTGCTGCATTCTACGTGACCTAGCAAACCCTGGCTTAAAATTACCTTTTGCAAACTGTCAAACATTTCATGGCCCTCTAGTCTTTTCGATCCTTACTGTAAACTCCAGATCGTCATAACCGATCGAAGTTGTAAATAAGGACCGGCAGCTAAAAGGGCTAGAAGGCTTTATAAGGTAGATGCATAAAGAGAAAGTTTCTAAGTTGGGATCGCGAAAATTACATTTTCCCAAAAGTGACTGAGGTGGGGTCTATATTTGGTCATAGAATAGTCTATAATAGGGTAGGGGTTCTGAGAGGCCGGCGGCACATACCCAGAAAAAACTAACCCGGGAGGTACATAAATCGGGCCAATCAAAAGGCCAGTGTTTACAAAAACCTTTTTCCCCATGAAATATTTCGTAGAATATAACATGACCGCTATTTGATGAGGGTACATATTTACTGTGACACACAATAATGTAATAATGGCTCTCCAATTTCAGCCTCTCAAGCAATGTGAAGAGTGCGCCGATTCGCTGCATGAACCACAAGAAACAAGTGAGCAGTCTGTAAAGCAAACACTGGACATCGTGATGGAAAAAGTTAAGCGGACCTGCGAGCAACATCCAATGGCAATTCCTCAGCCTGTTACCTTTTCAGAAGCAATGCTTAGTAAATATGATTGGTCCCCAACGGCAAGGAATTACCTAAAAGCGTTCAAGCTGGTAAAAGAGGGCGTTGAGATCCTTTACAAGAGTAACTTCACTGTTGGGAAAGGGATCTCTCTTATAGCCTACGGTTACTTGACAGAGAATTCTATCCTTCAGTCATTCCCCCTGACTATGTTTCCCAAGATCCTTCAACTCTGCGAAAATAAATTAAAAACTAATGAACATTTTTTTGAAGCCGTTCTTTTGTCGTATGCCTTGCATCATTTCGAGTCACGGCTTTCAGAGGAAAGTTGCAAGGTTGACATGAAAAAGGCAGCCTGTCTACTGAACATAATTCACTTTATCAAAAGAGCTGAGCCTAACAGCACCCGTTGCGAAAACACCTATGAGTTTGATAAAACCTATAGCAGCTGGCTTCATGTTTTGTATTTGCATTTGGCGTCAATGTATATCGTTTCTGAAGCTTATGAGAAAGCAGCTGAAGCTTGTGAAAATTCTCTGCTTTGTTGCCCATCTTTCTATGAGTCCAAGAGGTTGCTTGGATATGCCTTAATGACACTGTATACTTCCAAATCATCTCCGCAAAAAGACGTTTCCAAGCCAGACGTATACACAGGAATGATGACCATTGGAGCGGATGAAGGACAAATGACTAAGTATGCTTCTTGGACAAAGGCGATGTTAAGAGACACTGCGACAAAGGTGTTGAAAGAGTATCTTATCGAGGCCCCACCATGTGATAAATCATACCCAAATGTGAATTATTATCTAGCAAACCTCGCTGGTTTTGACAGAAACACCAAGGAGTTCAAAAAATATTATGAACTGGGCCAAGATGCTGAAGAGAAAAGACTTCCTTTTTTTGACCCTGTTCGTCTCCCATTGAAAGATTGGATGACTCCTGTTTACATGGAACTTCCCAACATTAGAACGCTGCAGACAAGGTGTGGCAATAAAGTGTGCACGAGGAAGGGCAAGGGGATAAAACTGAAGTCCTGTGCTGCTTGTGGGGCCCAAAGATACTGCAGCAAGTAAGTATAATTAATAAATGTACCTTTTTATTTTTTGTAAGTTTCATGCAGCAATAAAATCTTTTTGAAGTCGTGTTATTTCATGGTATAAACTTCCATATTTCATTTTCACAAACTGATTTCCACTGATTTGCGCATGTCACGCAAAAGTGACCTAGAAGTGAACGGTATAAGTACCTTTACAGTTATGCTGCTAATTAGCCTCGAATTCCGGCAGTCTCTAATTCATCACATATTTAACGGATTTCCCTGGTGGGACGCGGTTGATGAATAAAACTTAAGTAAAAACGAGTTTACTTCCTTAGGACTTCAATAGGGAGTTTTAGCAACGACGACGGCGACGGCAAGGGCAACGAGAACGCCACAAAAGCAATAGGTTTGTTAAGCAAAACAACAACTTTGCACGTGCATCACGCTTCTTTGTACATTTCTTTGCCGTCACTGCACGACTGCGACGTGAAAATGCCTGATTTCACGGTTTATGGAAGACGTGAACAAGCGATGACGAATTTTTCTTTCTCTTTCCAAACTTGAGTGCGGTGCCCAAGAAACAACTCTAAGGAAATTCGCCTACATTTGACATTTTCAGTGGATTGGAATAAACGCGTCAACGTTTAAAAAAAGGCGAATACCTTTTCAAAGTGACGTTTTCTATGCCGTCGCCTTCGTCGATGCTAAAGCTCCCTAATGTTCATACCGACAAGCCATTATCTTTTGGTTGTAAGCATTCCTAAGCACTGTTTTTAGTGTCGTATTTTACTGCCCTTTTCAAAAACACGCGAACTCTGAAGTTCAAAAGCCGCCTTCACACTGCGTTCTTCGCTGCCTTCAATTATAATTATGATCACAAGAAACGAACCTTCAAAACGAGAAACACTCAAAACGAATCGAAATTCACCAATCACAAATCACAAGCCATGAACCTTTAAACCCATTGAAGTAAGTCTCTGTTTCTTAAGAGATCTGCTATAAGATGATTGACGGCAGGCAAACGTCAGCCAAACGCCGGTTGGCTTTTGAACTTCAGAATTCGAGAGTTTTTGAGTAGGGGAGTAAAAGTGAGAAAGATGTACTGGTAGCATTAACTTAGAATAGGAAAGAGTTTTGAGGCTTCTCAGGAAGAATAACCATTTTTGTCGTTACAATCATTTGCAGAGACTGTCAGAAAGCTGACTGGAAAAATCATAAACCTGCTTGCATTTCTTCTAGAGGATTCAAGGCAAGGGGAACTTCCACGAGCTGAGTTTACTCCACTAAACCAGCAACTGTATAATAACACCACTTTTGTTTTCAGGACGTGTATTCAACATATTCAAAATTTCATACATGCTATTTATTCTCGACTTTGTACTGCACCTTTTTTGTATTTTCAAGTACCTGCCACAATTGTTTGCTACTTTTCAGTCGAGCCGATTTTTTTCTTTGCTGTTACTATATTCTCAGTTGTATTAAAGAACAAGCGTCTATCCTTTCTTGGAGCACAGTTGTAGCCTTGTTTTGACACTTTTTATACGAAGTTGAAAACTGCGTTTAAGGGCAAATAGTTTGCAAGGGGATGAAATATTGCTACTCGTTAATGAAACAATTTAACCTTTATTTGTGTGGCATAGGAATTTTGACATGCACAGCTGTACTAGTTAATTAAGTTGCTTTGAGTTAGTTGGAGGATGAGAAATATTTAAAAACAAGCAGTCATTCAAACTCTTGTTCATACAACCAAGTAAAGTTATAGTGCAGGATCAGCACTTCTTGATGTATAGAGGACAACAAACAAACAAACCAACAAAGAAACAAAAGAAAACTTTTTGACTGGTTGTGGAAGAGTGTCTTTTTTAAGACTTGTTGTAAGAAGGATACGTTTAAGACACTTTTATTAGCCTGTTGCAGGCTCCAAGATAGTAGGCTGGACGGGAACGTCAGTTGACGACGGGAAAGCGCGCGGAAAGGACTAAACACGACTTCCGGTGCTTAATTTGCCGCTCTGCCATTGGTCAATTGCGCGAGCCGTCGTCAACGAGAAATAGGGAGCTTAAGCAGCAACGTTTTTGAGCGACGCACGTCAACCGGAAGTGACCTTTTTTCAAATTTTGACGGTGGTTTCGCGCAAATTTTCAGTCAAATCGCCTCTATAACGGTAAAGAAGCTAAGGAATACAAATTTTATATCATCAGGCATGTTAAGAGGGAAAATACCTCACTTCCGGTTGACGTGCGTCGCTCAAAAACGTCGCTGCTTAAGCTCCCTAATGTGCTGATGCTGCTGCCCTCTTTACCAGATCACGCGCGTCCTATATTCCCCTAACGTTGTTGTCGCGACGGACGCGACGTAGCCTTGCTACTATAGGGACTTTAAAATCCAACAAAGCGGACGGCAACGAGAACGTCAAAAAACTATAGGTTATGTAAGTAAAACAGCAACTTTTCACGTGCATCACGCTTGTTTGTACATTTCTTTGTCCGTTTTTGCAGCGCTACGACTATAAACTGCCTAATCTCACGTTTCATGGAGTACGTAAACAAGCAACGACGAAACTCTTATTTCTTTTTCTGAACTTGGATATGGTCCCTAAGTATTCAACTCCAGTAGGGTTAGCCTACATTTGACAAAGTAAGTGGGTAGGAATAATCACGATAAAGACTGAAAGAACGCAAATTCACTTCTTAAACGAAGTTCTCGTCGCCGTCGCGTCGTTGGATCTTAAAGTTCCTAATATCTGAGAGCCAGGCAGAGCCTTCATTAGCAAGACAACTAAGACACTTGATGTTCTCGTTTTACCCTACAAAGATAGCCTACATGACAGTGCCCCACCCCACCCAAGTTCAAAGCACAGTAGGACTAAGCAAACACAAGTAAAAGCTAATTGGTAAATATATCACTAGCTTCCTTGTACAGTATACTGTAATATACTATTAGGAAAGGTGTTTTCCGGAACTGAAACCGCCTGCGTAGCAAGCGTTTCCGTCTGGTTTCGGAGCAAAGAAATACCGAGGAAGGGGACTTTCGGTATTGACTGCGCGAGAAATGAAACGAGAGCCAAAAAGTGAAAGAGGGGGGAGGGGAAGGGGAAGTTCCTCACCCCCTTCCCGCTTTTTTACTTGCGCCACTTTTCTCGCGGTCTTTGACTCTTGTTCCTCGTTCTTTTCTCCTAAACCGCACAGAAACGCTTGCTACGCAGGCTAGAACTGAAAATGCATATTGCTTCTGATATACAGTCACATATATTTTTTTAGTAAAATCCAACAAGTGGTCTATTATCAATGTCGCGTTCTGACTGGTTGAGCTACTACTAGGCTATATGTTATAGCCCCCTAGTAGCGAAACGTGCGGGCTTTTTGGCGGCAAAAATGATTAAAGTCTAGGAGAAACTGTTCGCCGATTGGGCACACTAATACAAAGCATTTTTTGTGCCCAATCAGGAGCCGGCATCCGCTTGAATTTTTGGAAATAGTTCGGTGAGAGTCGGTACCCAGGGGGCTCTTTCGCCCGTACTTGAAAACGTTCGTCCCGCATTTTCTCCCGATCCGACTGACTGCCCCTGGGTCTCCGAGGATGCTAAAGCCTCGGATTCATGTTAGAATGTTGATATATCGAACGTGGGCTATTGGCTATAAGAATTTAATCGCCTGTACCTGCTAAAATTCAACAAACTGAAAAGTCAGAGAGGCCTAGGGTTGAATTACTGAGGCCACGTCTACATGTACCGGTGTTTGTTTGAAAACGGAGCTTTCGCTTAGCGTCCACACGTATCCGGGGAAAACGCCGGCTTATCGTTTTCGTGTGGACGGACGAAAGCGGAGGTTTTCGAATACGATAATGTCATATATCATATATAAGGCATGCAATCGTATTTCTATTGTTTAAGCGTTTTCATGTGGATGGGAGAAATTGATTGAATATGCTACGTGCTGACGTTAATATTTTTCGAAAACGGAGAAAAAATAAATCTCCGTTTTAAAAAAATATCCCGGTACATGTGGACAAGGCCTGAAACAGTAGAAAGCTGATTTAATTGGGACGAACATTTTAGGCAAAGATTACTAATAAGGCATGACATATTAGGGACTTTAAGATCCAACGACGCGGACGACAACGAGAACGTCAAAAAAACAATAGGTTTAATAAGAAAAACAACAACTTCGCGCGTGCATCACACTTTTTTGTACATTTCTTTGCCGTTTTTCCACGACTACGACGTGAAAGTGCCTATTTTCGCGTTTTATGGTGGACGTAAACAAGCAACGACGAAATTTTATTTCCCTTTCTGAGCTTGAATATGGTCCCTTGAAATTCCGCTTCAGGATGGTTCGCCCACAATTGACAAAGTAAGTGCTTAGGAAGAATCGCTATAAAGACTGAAAAAACTCAAATTCACTTTTTAAGGGACGTTTTTGTCGCCGTCGCGTCGTTGGATCTTAAAGTCCCTATTATATTGTAGCATGGCCATAAAGTTCAACTTACTTCACAAGTCAAAAACGCATCAAAGCGGTAGTGTGGATGCAAATCGATCGATGCGTTTCGATGACAATGAAATCGCACACTTTTGAAAATACCTTAGTCTGGCTAGGGCCTAAAATTGGTTCACTGCAACACCTTTACATTTCACGCCGAACTTTGCCTACGAACGGGCCAAAAAAAACCCCGTCAAAATTTCAAATTTGTCAATTTGCACTACATACCTTCCTGATTGATACATATCAGTGTGATTATTTCTTGCAAATTAAAAAGCCACATGCTTTTTGTTTTTTTTCATACGAACGTCATCTTGTAGCTACTATGAGTAGGCTCACGTGTGCGAGTTCGGGGAAAATTTTTGGCGGCGGAGCCGCCAATGGGCGCACAAATGAGCCTGCTCGCAGTCATGGCTTAGCTAGTAAATTCCTTTTCCGTTCCAAAGACTTAAGCGCAGGCGCTTTGTAAACGCCATAAATTCAAGGGAAAAAAAGGCGACTTAATTGTTTACATAACACTTTTATATCAACTGATCAGCTGACTAAATTTTGATTTTTTCCCTGTATCGCGACTACTGCGTATGAACACATAAACGAATAACAAAGGTAAGCACCGTCGCGTGCCTTAACGCAAATCTTTCTTTAACAAAAAGGTGGCGTTCTGCCTTCTGCTGCTGAGCTCGAGTTTACCAATTTAGTAATGAAGACAGTTGCGAAGAAACACGATCGTGATATTTGAATTGTGCTGACTTTCTCTCCTCTTTGCGTCACATTTTTCTAGGTAATTCCTTTAAAAATATGACAACGAATGTTTTTTCTCTCGTGCCTATAGAGTTCAGCCGCTGCTCTTTCTTTAGAATATATTTTTTAAGTGGTCAGAATCCTCCGACTGTGGCTACTACATTGCTACTGAAGGTGTCCGTGCTCCCGTTAGCTACCCCTAGTTCAAAAGGTCATTCTTCTATTTCTGTTCAAGACAATTTGTCTACTACTGGTCTTCAGCTCGACCATATCGATGAACCCTACTACCCGAGGCACCACCCCGCGCATACGTTTATACGTGCGCGGGTATACCCCTTCCAGTTTTAAATGATTATGTAGAAGGACTCCAAGATCGGTACTTCCCGACCAAATATGCTTGGCAAGCCGTCTTTCTTAAGTTACCACTCTTGATATGGAGCCAGGTGGTCCAGAAAAATTGTCAATTGCTCTCTTTTCTCTGCAAACATGGCCCAGAAAAAACATTTTTTGCTCGTGAATTTGTTTAACTCCCCAAGAACGCCGCATTCCATAATCACACTGAAGATTTCTGAGCTTTGAATGGTGCAATCTAGAGAGAGGCTTTTGTCGTAAACGACCAACAACTGCAACGGATGGCTATTAAGATTTTGGGTTTGAATTTTTACAATGAACTTCTCACGACTCTTTCGACTGAGCTTAGGGCCAGTACCAAGCCCTTTCAAATTAGACCCAAATGTGCGAACTGAAGATTTCCCTTGCCCTGGACCAAACTTGTCTAAAGAAAGAATCTTCACTGTCACAGAATAACGGGTTTTCAGAGCTTCACAGAGTGCTTTGTGCGTTTGCCAATGTTTGCTTTGGCATTCTTTGCTGCAATAAGACGCAATGTGACAAGTTGAACACTTCATAAGGTGGCTCACGTTATTGCCTGAGCGTCGACAAAATGTGCATCCACTGTAAACTCGTTCAACGACCTCTCGTGGGTGATAAATGCCCTCCTCGTTGTTAAATACTTTGTTTCCAATGAGAGTGGGAGGTTTAGAATAAAACTCGGACTTTTCTCCTCTTGGAATATATACGGGGGTCTTTCTTATATCGCTCGGTAATTTTCTTTCATCGACGGGAAAACTGTCCATGGTTTTAGCACACTCAAGCCACGGCCCACCATGATCTCGGACAATGTTTGATTCTAGGTAAATTCTCCCAGAAAAATTAACACCTATGTAAATGCCACCACATTTGTTGCCAGAGATAACGTTTGCTGTTATATTTGCGGACGTTCGTGTTTTTGCCATGATACCCCAAAATCCGTTCTCGAATATCCTGTTCTTACGAATCAAAAGGTGAGAATTGTTATCAAGAGAAAGGCCAAACGGCCCGTTGTGATGAACATCATTGTTATGTATGTCTATCTTCTTCGAATTTGTGATGACAAGCATGCCCTCTCTTTTATTTTCAAAGATATTGTTGCCACTGATGTTACATTCGCCTGCCATCGGACCAAGAACGATGCCATGGTAATTATTGTCAAATATACGATTTCCAAAAGCAACTAGTTTTCCACCTTCTCTGGCTTCTAGGCCTTGTTGGTTGTTTTTGTACACTTCACATTTTCTCACCTCCATGCGAGAATCTTCCATTGCAACTAGAGTGGCTCCCCCACCGCAGTTATGAATTTTACAGTTTTCGATAACTCCAAACGCGCCATCTACAATCTGGATTCCAGAAGAGCCTACCATGCCAGAGATGGAAAATGGTTCTCCATATTTTCCTGTACGATTACAGACAGGCTTTCCCTGAGAGGCTGCTTTGCATCCAGGACCTCCGTTACATTCCGGAAAATCCTCACAACTTCTCAGGCCTCCTGAAATTTCACACTGATTCATATGAATAACTGCTTTCTTGCCTTGGCAGACTAGACCTATGTTTCCTTTGGGGAAAATGATATTCTCGAGAAAGCAACTGGAATCAAAAATTACACAGTGTTTGGGACATATTAAAGTGGCTCCCTTTCCAAGACCTACAATCTGGATGTCATTAAAGGATAAGAAGGACTCTAAATTGTACTCTCCTTCGTGCAAAAGTAAAGTTTCATTTCCTTGTGTCGTCATTAGGGCAAAAGCCAATTGCGCTGCGCTGTTTATTTCTCGGGCCCAGTGTGTATGTACATCCGGAAACATTTCACAAAACGTTTTGTCATTACGAAGACTGGGATGAAAGTGAACGGTCACTGCCAGTGCTGCTTTCCTTTGCCCGTTGAGGTAGGTAGTACCTTTTTTAACGAGATCATGAAGTGCCCAGGTTTTACGTTGAAGTGCTTTGCTATAGTTGGGATTTAGGGCGAGGCACCTTTCACAGTCTTCTAGAGCTTGCTGAGGCAGGCGAAGTTTTAAATAACAAAGAGCTCGGTTGGCGAAGAGTCGATAGTCCTCGACCTTCAAATCAATGGCTCTAGAATAAAGTTCCAATGCCTCTTGAAAGTTGCCACTTTGTATTGCGAGATTACCTTGTTCCCTTAGCTGGTTAGCATTGTCCTCTCTTGTGACACGGAAAGTATCTGATTCATCGACAGAAATGCCATCTGGATCAGGTTGCCTCATACAGTGGGAAATCAGCTTGTAGACTCTGTCCTTTAAAGGGATGTCAATGAAATACTTCAACGATTTGGTGCCATCCTCTGCGGTGGACTTTTTGACGTTCACCAGACAGTCCAATTTAATTTCCTGTATTTCTTGAGCCTTAACTTTCTCTTGGGAAACACTGAAAAAAATACCCGCTTCGTTCAAGACTCGCACTGTTTCTTCTGTGTACAGCAAGGCATGAACTGACTCTTTATGCTTGGCTGAGTAACTGCGCAAATGCCCCTGCAAATAGGTGGAATGTGAGGCTAACTTACCCCACAGATGCAACGAAGGGGGATTGTTCACACTAAAAACAGCGTCTTCAACGAAACTTTCGCACACTTCCGCCGGTGATCGGGTATTTTTCAGTGCTTGATGAAGGACACATACAGCATGAGAGAGAACATTCAACTCAATTTGCTCTTTTTCCAGCTGACTTCGAATCACTTCTTGCACTAAGCGATGGACACAAAACGAATCTGTACCGTACCTTTGAAACAGGGAAAATTTGGTGAGAAGCGATACTATCTCGGCTTGATCCCAAAGACTGCTATCTTCTGAACTGCCATCCTCCTTTAGCCCTTTATTGACCAACTCGTATGGAATGTCATCAGGGCCATAAAAAGCACAAACCTGCATAAAAAGAATGGGAGCCCTTCCAAGTTCCATCTCTTCTGAGATTTGCCTTATGTGATGAAAATTTAAAATCCATGTTGTGTGGACAGCTAGCCGCTCAGGAGAAGTGTTTTCGACGAATTGTTGGGCCTGTCTCTTTTCCAAGAGTAGCAGCTTCTGCTTCTTGTATTTCTTCATATACTCCTTTATGGATTGTTTAACCCATCGTATATAAGCCCCAGCTTGATCAAGAGCTAATGGCAGTCCTCCAAGTTCCCTGACCAGTTGACGCAATTCGTTTTCTTCTCCCCGATCTTTCCCAGTTCGCAGCCGTAGGAACTGAATGCCTTCTTCTTCCGTTAAGCATTTTAAGTCAATGCAACACTTCTCGTCAATTCCTGTTTCTTCCCCAATTTCTGAAACCTCCCTTCTTGTTGTTATGATGATGTGACCACGAGCCATATATTTCCAGTGGCCAGTAAGCAGTTTACGCATTTCTGTGGACATTTCTAACTCGTCAAGATTATCGACGACCAAACACCACAAGTCGTCGCGTTTTCCAAGCCAATCAAGGGTCCTCGACAAGGATTTGTCAAAGTCGTTTTCAAACGTTCCAATTTGACGCGCCATCTCCCCGACGGTCCTTTGGAAAAGATTATTATTTTCGCCACAAATCCAGAATATACCCCCGGGATATTCTTTATCATTTCGCCAAAGAAATTCAACTGCGAGAGACGTTTTACCAACACCACCGAGACCACAAATAGCTGAGTGAATACAACCATTTGGGGTGTTTTTTAGTTTCGCTACAATTGCTTCTAATTCCCTATCGCGACCACAAAAGCAACGATTGCGGCTGGGTACTTGAAAAATTTTAGCATTTGTCGTCTTAGAACTCCCCTTTTCTAGGGCGTCAACCCTCGCATCTAACTGACTTTGCTCCTTTTTTAAAGCCCCTACATCAGCAGTTAAACGAGCTTGTTCATCTGTAACAAACGATACAGTTGTTTCTAAATCGCTTTGCTTTTCTTGCAACAGAGCAATGTCCCCTTCATTAGCATCTATACGTTTGTCTACTTCTACAACGTTACTTGAAATATCTGCAATTGCATCCGACAAAGCCTCCTCTTTTTCTAACCGCTCCTTTCGTTCTGCCTCCACTTTTCTTTCAATCTCAGTTATTCGCTTGTCAAAGTTATCAATTTCGTCTCTGATAATTTGAAGGGCAGCACTTATCTTGTTGGCTTCATCGGCGCTGGATTGCTTTAAATTATCCACCTCCTTTTCCAGGTTGCAAACTTCAACACTGATAAGCTTCATTAAATCTTTATCCACTGGGCAGCCCATGCACAGTTGTAAGCCTATAAATCAAGATTCCCATATAGCAAATCAAAACAACCCCAAACAAATCAATAAACACAAACGCTCTCTATGTTTCTGGTCATGTCTATAATTAAGCCTCCCTTCCCTCCCTCCCCCCCCCTCCACAAAGGAACATCTGATATAACTTTATCTTTGATGTAAAGTTGATATATACGTCCAATCCCTTACCCGTTCAGTAATACGTACCCTTAGTTTCCCAATCTTGAAGTTCATCAAGTTGTTTGTCTTCATCAACTTTTGGTAGCCCCAGTGAACGAACCATGGTCTCCATAAGTTGAAAACTGTTCTGGAACTCTAGCTCAGTCCAGTGGTCAAAGTTGCAGTGTCCCCACTCATTTCTTACTTTAGAGCGCACATCCCTGGCATTGGTCTGGACACGATTGTGAAAAACAGACGCCCTCTCCAGAATCCCCAGGACTGCTGACAGGTCACATGTATTATCAAATCCTGCAAATGCACAGTGCATTACTCCCTGGGTGGGGTTAGATATATCAACCGCCTACACTGTAGTTTTAACTCCAAATAGGAGTCATTTTCCTATGCGGTAGAGTTAAAATGACACAAGTAGAAGGGTAACAATAACTCCAGTGGCAGAAAGTTACTTTACCTCCATATTTGGAGTAAATATGGGGTTAAAACTATCCCCAAGGGCATCCCTGTACCTTTAGCATAAAAATAGCTCTGAAGTTATGGCGTGGTTTAAAGAATGAGAGAGGTATGCCTTTGTTTTCCAGCCGTAACCCTTCAGCCTTCGGGTGAATTTGAGGATGGAGTTGACTATGTTTCAATAGAAAACGTTCTGTTTTTCACATGCAAGTCTTTGCTAAAATAATATTAGTTTGCGTTATAATCGAATGACACAACAAAAGAGGGGAATAGTTGTAACAAAAGAGGTAAAGTGAAGCCTTGCTTACATCTTTCCCCCCCCCCCACCCCTCCGGCAACGCAGGGCTTATACCACAAGTTTAAACTGACAAATGTTTTCTGTGTTTCCATCTAAGGTGATGCTACGTGTTGTAAGAGAGAGAACATAGGAATAACGAGCAAGTTCTGTTTAAGTTAAAATGTACCAAACTTAAGAAAAAGGCGAAACTATACCATACAACAATTGTATATTTACACACTATTAAGAGTTAAATCTATCGCGCTTGTGAAGTCATTTTGTCAGAACCTTATGGAAAAATCATCTCGTTTAATATAAACATTATATTATGCATGAATCAATTTCTCCAGCATAGTTGCTCATGAGAGACCCTTGTTAATTTTTCAATGCGGTGCTGGATTAATTAGCGTTGCGTTGTCCCTGAACCTGTGTAGTTCTATCATTAAAAAACCCTCAATGAATAAGCGTCACTGAATAAGGGTAGATGACTTTCCGGCTTCAGTTTAGTTTTCTAGCTTTTGGCCCCCAACTTGTCTTCTGATGTTGGAAGGAATTTGTGATATTCCCAAAGAGTGATCTAGTTTTCGCAACTGTATGTTAAAGCACGAAACGAATTTTCTTACAAGACAGACCCATAGGGAAACTAATGGCATACATTATTTGTTACACCGAAAGGGCAAGTCACTCGATTCGTTCTGAGTACCTGTAAACTTGGCCATGTGTGGCTCAAGATAAAGTTTAGCCAGGTCTTCAGCTGTTCCAACTTTGTAATCATATGAACGCAATTTTTTCTTAAAATTCCCCCAGTTATTGTTGATGCTTCCATAGTTCAGCTGAGATGGCCCATCATGAGTCTTATGTCTTCCATAGACTTGAGTGTCAATTCCGTGTGCACTCTTCAGGGACGCATAGTGTTTGGGAATTTCTTGAGCCACAAAATCCCTGAGGACTGGCAACAGAAGCCTGTTCAAGCAAATCCCGATCACAACCCATCTCTTTTGATTCTTTTCAAGGTCAAAACTGCTGACTGAAAGAATATGGCATAAAAATGAGAACAGTTCAAAGAGAGGTTGACTCACCTAACTTGTCAAATATAAAACAGCCGTTTTAAGGAAAAAAAATAGCCGTTTCAAAGAAAATCATTAAATACGGCGGGGGCAATTGGCCCCCACGGCATCCATGGACAGCTGTTTTGCCCTTTTCAGGAATCAATAGCTTGACAAAGGCGTCAAGCAATAAATTAATATACTGTTCAATATGTGGCAGTCTGTTTTAAGGGTTGGTTCATGTTAACAAATTACGTCCCTTAAATATATTAGTGCTGATGACTGACTTCTCTTACCAGGTCCAGCAGCAGCTGGGGCTCCAGTCAGAACAGCGGGTGCAGCAGGAGTACCTGGCGGTATTGGTGGCATAAACATGGTTACACGCCCACCAGTTGCTCCTCCCGTTGCCATGACGACCTAAAATATTTTAAAGCAGCCACTGTAGATCACTATAATCTGATTGGCTATTGCTGTCCTGACATTTTCAGCAGTGCTACATTAGACCCTTTCATTGTTTTTTTTTAACTTTCGACTGGGACCAGTAAGCGAAAATCCGCCAACACGGCTAAAAAGGACGCCTTCAAAGACACTTGTAAGTTTCAACGTGATAGTCACCATATTTTACAGACAAAAAACAACAACAGTTTATTTCTACTACTGTAGACAACTAAAAGAATTTACAAGAATATAATTATAAATAAATAAATAAACACAGTACATATATTGTATGGTGGTGGGCAAGTTCATGCCTCCTACCAAACAAATGTCACCGTTCGAGTGTGAAATTTCTCAACTTTCCGGTGCAATATCTTTGCTACCTTAAGGTATTTATAAGGAGCTCTTTCCAGCAGTGTGAATAGATATTCGCTGACTGTTTTTTTATCTATGGTCCCAAGAGAAAAAAAACAGACAATGCCCATGCAATTTTTTTTTGGGGGGGGGGGGGGGGGGCAAACAAGGTTTACTGTGGGAGATGCGCAAATGGCGAATTTCGTTTAATATAATGAGGATCGAGGATTGGAAAATATAAAGTCAGTAGCTCTTTTTTGACTGTCCCCAAAAGTTCGCGGACTTATACTTTACATTTTTAGTTCATAAAATCCTACCATAACTGTTAATGGCCGCGACGTTTAATGAGGTTTACTATACTTGGCCATTGAGAGACGAAGGGTGAACGAGGAACAGGGGTGATGAATAGTCCATTAAAATTTTTAACTGCTCGCAAAATTTTACCTTTGCTCGATTTGCTCCCAAAATTTAAACGAGTGCTCGCTTGCTCGTGCTCCCCAAATTTTTGCAGTTGCTCGCAAGCTCGCAAAGCAAATTTTTTATTTCTGCTCGTGCTCGCAAAAAAATCGCAGTGCTCGGCATGCTCGCGAATGCTCGCAAAGACCATTCGTCACCCCTAGGAACCAATGTTTCACGACAATAACGTCTCTTTAGATTTTAGGATTCTGTTATTCATAACTTTCTGGATAACTGTCACTCTTAAAAGCTTTACAGTATTCTCATAAATGATTTTCAATCAACAGGTATATAGGAATTACTAAACCACTTTCAATCAAGAAGCTTAAGTTGAAATCAGTTCAACAGGCACATCGCTCGGTCTGCATCCATGGCCTACGTCTTGTCGAAGGTTTTTACACCACCTGTCTTGTACTCAGGTACAATTATAATCTTTTGATTATAATTCAACTTTCATTAGGCCGTTTTTTTAACATCATTCGAACATATTTGTATATGAGCGTATCTGTTCAGGCAGTGTACCCGTTACGCCTCACCTATCTTCAGTCATATTTGAAATCACGCAATGATGTAAGGTCTATAACTTACAGTCGTTTTATCCTATAGACACTCTGTCCCTCTGCGATCGCAGAGCATTTGTGTTCTCGATTTTCTAGGATTAGAAATTGGCAAATCTACGTGTTTATATCACAGATGTGCCGGTGAATTGTAGCTGTACAGTACGAAAACAAGCGACTGAGGTCTCGATTTGCTGAATAAAGTAAGCTTCAAACTTACGGCTATTGACGGGACGCCGGGACAGAACGATCCTCTAGAGTTTGCTTATCTGCTTTCGAGGACCCGAGGATTAATTCAAGTCTTTCAAGAGTTGCCCAAAATGCTGTCGAGTGCGAAAAGAGGAACTAAACTTGCTCCTTCAAGACAATAAACTAATACGAAAACCACCCAATCAGCAGCGTTTAGTCTTCCGGGAAACCATCCTCATTCACCCTAGCCTGAGTATCCTGCCTTCCCATGGGGGAGGGGGGAGGGGGAGAAGAGAAAGGAAGGCCTGACACAAAACCATTCAGCAAATCGTGTGACACATCCAAAATCTGGATGTGGCAGTGATTGGATAACACACAATACCCCCTGACGTCACTGACCGCAAGAGCGATCGGCAAGGAGGCGGTCATTGAAATTTTTCATACACGTTTTGATTTCATGTTACCGGTATGTGATACTTTTACAGACAGAGACGCAGAGAGGAATTCAAAAAGGCTCTAGAGGGCGCTCTCAAGTTCTTTTCTGAAATAAAAATAAAACCCGAGCAAGAATTGTGTTTTCAAGGCCTCGTAGTTTAAAGGAAAGATGTACTCGGAGTATGGAAATGCCTCATATGGTTTCACAAGACCGGGACAAAGAAGACGATATCAGTGTTTCAGATATCTAAGTTCAGATTTACAACATCCTGCCGTTAAAAGGGTATTGTTACTGTAAATGAAAAAAAAACGAGGTAGCCATGTATTGAGATAGCCGACACCACAAATGCTTTTAAAAAGCTTGACTTTGCTTGCTGCGGTTACGATAGCGTACGTGATTGGAATTCGTTCGCTTCCTCTTCCAAAATTTTCTCGCTTTTGAAATGTCTTAAGCTCAAGCGGGCGCCATCATATTTCGCCAACGAGATTGACCTTTGCTCTAGGCTCTCACTTCTTTTTGAACTTGTAACAGCTTTCACGAGCTCTCTGTGAAGTGGTGGAATTTGCTGCTGCTTGATAATTTCTAGGCATAGGTGTTTCATCATCGCACCTTCCTATTTATTCTTGCAGCTCCTTTCAACCACCCAAGAATACGAGGGATAACATCAGCTTTTTACCTGCCAGACAAGCGGCTGATTTAACTCTGTAAACAAAAGCAATTTACAATTTTCCGGGCACACGTTTATTTACAAACAGAGCGTTGGCGATCTTACACTAGCACAATTCCCAAAACATGTTATAATTCCTCATAAATGGCAGGTTTTACAGTACAAGTATTCGAAAACTCCTCATTGGAGGTTTCAGAAAAAAGCGAAATCGTAGCAACACAAGCACCGGAGCTCGGCCAGACCGTAAACTGAGATTTATTTTAGGCGAGCTTTTTGACACGTGAAGCTGACAACCCAATGACCGGAAGTGATTTTGATTGGATGGTATCGAGTCATGCTGCGTGGGGGTGGAAGGCTCCAGTAAAAGCATCTGTGTCAGGCGTTTCTCTTCTTCACCTCTCTCCCTTTTTCGCTTCCATCTTTCCCCTTTTCCCCCAGAAACGCCTGATACTCAGGCTACATTCACCCTGAAGTTTCGAGAAAGAGTGGAACTGTAAGAATTGAATTGGAACGAACTACTGGATTAGCTGGACATGGGAACGAACATTTTCTCCTTTGAGAAACCAACAGTATGACTGGTTTAAATAGTTAACATCTGTCAGAACTAAAGGAAAAGTACTGAATTTTCAGGCTCTGGTATGGACACGTCTTTAGTTTTCGTCAAACTGAATCTTATCCAACCCTGTGCCAACACATCAATCTAGACGCTTCATGTGTAATTCCCGTGGTTAATCCATTGCAAATATTTGTCAGAATATTCGCGAGTGAAATTCTCGAGCCGAGTATCTTTGGAACTGCTTTCGTCCCCTTTTACGGAAACCGGATCGTCGATTCAGTTGTGAGGGGACATCTGACGCCAGTGTCAGAAATTACCTTGTGTATGCATCAAAAGGTGTCCAAGGAGATCGTGAGTGCAGAGAAGCCCTGGTGACGATCAACCATTTTGGTTTTACGATGTCAGGTCATGAATTTTTTGAAAACCAACAATTTCAACTTTCAACAATATTGTTTGCAAACACATGGCTCCATCAAAAAATTACTCGACAAAGCCAAGAATGGTGATATTTTAGCCCAACAAGACCTGGGTTTGGCTTACTATGAAGGAGGCGATTTTCTGCCAAAGGACATCGACAAGGCAATCTACTGGTTAAGCAGTGCTGTCGAAAACGGTTATGAAGATCCAAACATTCTTGGAAAACTTGGGGAAGCGCTAGATTTAAAAGGAACACCGCCATACCAACGGAAGGCTTTCGAGATGTACAATAGGGCTGCGAATTTGGGGTGCACAAATTCGCAAATCAATCTTGCAGAAATGTATCGATGTGGAGTTAAAGGAGTCGTGAACGAAAACATCGAAGAAGCTTTTAAATGGTATAAGATGGCGGCTGGTGAAAACCGCCTGAGTAATGTGGGAGCGCTGGAACAGTTATTAGCTGGAGCAATGAGAACAGTGGATAATACACTTGGTAGTGTGTTGAAATTTAGGGTCCTTAGACTTTTGTTCAAATACTATCTCAAAGGAGATTGTCCAGAAGGCCGACCACAACCAACCAAAGCTGTTTATTATTTGACCAGAGCAGCTGAACTAGGCGATGCTGAGGCTCAGCTAGAGTTAGGACAAATATATCTGACCGGAGGTTGTGAGCAACTCAAAGATGTTGCAAGGGCAAGACGATGGCTACAGAAGGCCTCTGCTCGTGGTGATGTGAGGGCAAAGCAGGTAGGTGTGATGGCAACTTTTGCATTTGGAATTATTGGGGAGTGGGTGACAAGTGATTAGCACAACTCTTTCTCAAACTCTCAAATGAAAGAGTTAAAAGCTGTTCATCACAGGTGTCAGGGAATAAATGTTAATAGGTAACTTATCAAGTCGCCACAAAGTCATCTCACCCAACTGAAAGTTATGTTTCCTGAAACCAGAGTTAAGTCACCCAAAATTTATGGTTATGTTGGGTGAAATGTTATCAGGTGTAATACACAGAGCGTGTATATGTTGTGTATATGGCAAAGAGCGTGTATTATGTTGTGGTTCAATTTTATCCTTGGTTTAAATTTTATTTTCCCTTGTTTCAAAGTCATTATCATACATTACCATACCCCAAAACAAAAGATAATAAAATTTAAACCAAGGATAAAATTGGACTGCAACATATATATCTGGTTCTTCAAAATCTCATGAGGAAAAACAAGTGGGTCAAATTTGTAGAGGCCCTGCTAGGGTAAATTCCGACAAGCGACAGGATCCAAAAGGTAGCGACAGAGGGTAAAATGAAATTACGACAAGAGACAACCTTCCTCAGCCAAATTGCGACAGTGCTGGCAAAGCCGAGAATAAGAATTGGACAAAGAACGTTGGATTGGCTAATTTATCACCAGTCTGAATGCCAAGAAGAAGTAATTTTCATCAATTTTCCTTGAGCTTCTAAGAACGTCTCTTGTCAGTGAGCTTGTGTGGAGTCCCTCCGGTGAATTGTGTTAATTGTGAAGGGCGATGTATAGGTGTTCGATATGTGAAATGTTAACAAAGAAGTTGCAGAACTATAATGGTTTCTTTACAATGCATCGCTTTTCCCCTTTTCTACAATTCCGACAAAGACAAAGAATTTTTGTTCAATTTCCGATAGTGGCGTGAAGCATTTATAAACAATGACACGAGACGTTTTAAAATTCAGGCAAGCAACATGAGACCCCCCCCCACCTTGGCAGGGCCTCTGTGTAATATATGTCGTTCCTTAACCCTTTAAGTCCCAATAGTGTCTAACGTCAATTTTCTCCTAACGATATCCATACAATGTCAAGAGACCAGGTTATAAATTATAATTTAAGATCATCGTTACAGCTACTACTGCAACCTTATAATGCTACAAAAACAAAAAAGACATTGGGAGACAGAGCATTTCAAGTTGCGTCTCCGGGACTGTGGAACGGTCTCCCAAATGACATTAGAAATGCTAAGACAATGGACGTTTTTAAGTCCTTAGTGAAAACTCATCTTTTTAGGAAAGCGTATGCTTGTTATTTTTTTTTAGAATTTTACATTTTTGACTCTGTGTAATTTTTAGTTTATCTATTAGATATGGACTGGATAGTTTCACTATATTAGATTTATTATTTTATTATTATTTTAATGTAACTTGTAAGGCGCATTTGAATATATTCATATAGATATTTGCGCCGAATAAGTAATAAATTATTATTATTAAATTATTGTTATGAGAATTAATAAAGTGATCACCTAATGGAAAATGCCTTGATCTTTTATCAAATTCTCTCAACTTATTCTTGAAGGAAATGTATAGAGATCAGTTTGGAGAATTTGTATGTGGATATTGGGGCTTAAAGGGTTAAGCAATGATGAAATGAAAGAAGCACAATAAATGAGAAATATATCTTGTTCTTGTAGCTTTTATGTAGACGAAACAAGCATGATGAATGTGTAATAGGGATTTTAGGATGTCGTTGAACATGATAAAATTTTGGCCGATAAAAGAAGCATTTCAGGCAACTTAACTAAAAATTTAGGGAATATAGCTCTGGTTTCAGATTACATAACTGCAGGCAAGATGACTTTTGACTTTAAACCTGTTAATATAATCAGTCATCAGTTCGACATATGAAGGGTTGAAAGTAAAAGGGGTACATGTGATGATTTTGATCAAGGCTGTGCTCTAACAAAAATTAAAGGGGGCCCAGAACTTTGAAGCTGTGAAATCTAGGGTGCCCAGCATATGATTTTTATGAAAAAACTAAGATTTTCTGGTCAACCAGGAGCAAAAGTAGGGTGCCAGGGGCCACCGGACTGTGCTAGAGCACAGCCCTGTTGACTGATACTAAAAATCATTGCTCAAATGGCCTTAACTTTTTCATGCACATGCCATTGTTAATTGCTCAACAAATACTGTCTTGATTCATTTATTTCCTGTCAGTCCAAATATGTACAGTGGAACCTCTATTCAGGGGACACCCTAGGGACCAAGGAAAGTGTCCCCTGATTAGAGGTGTCACAAAGTAGAGGTTCCACTGTACCAATGTTTTCTCATTTTGTGTGGGTTCCCTGTGGATTCACTGACTTTGCTGTCAATGGCCAAAGAAACTACTTTGGTTCTATACCAGTCGGTGGTTAAATTTAACTGCTCAAAGGCAAGAAACTTGCTTACATATGCAAAAATGTCTTCCCCAATTATCTTGGGTTTATTTCTCGCCATCTACGAGTAATAAATAGAAAAGAAATCAAGACCTCTCTCCTCCACAGAGGCTCCTACTAGGTATTCCTACCGATAAAAGTAGGAATACAATTTGCCTCTGCAGTGGAGAGAGGTATGGAACTAGCTACTGCTAGACTGTTGGTTGGTGAACATTTAGAGTGATTTTTGTATGACCTTGAAAAATGGTTTCGGTAAGTGTTCGTTATTTGTTTTATCAGCCAATGGATGAAGAGATCAAAACATGGCCTCTTCCTTTTCCCGCCAAAGAAAACCCTAATATGGAGAAGGCATTGTTCGATTGGCCAATCATGCTGCAGTATGATGTCAAAGCGAAGTAGCGATTGATTTCTAGAAAGTTCTCGGGCTTGAACTTTTTTTTCACCGGAAGGTTTGCGTAACCAACCAAACGCCAAGCGCATTTGTATCTGTTCCATAAATCAATCAAATGGCTCTATTTCCGTTCGTTTGTTGTGCTTGTTTTGTTCACGCGTTTTCATTTTGAGGACATTCGAAAATCGCTCTTTTTGTGTTGAAGAAAAGGCAAGCATATGGCTAAGAGAGAAGGTAAAGGCATCGATGAAAAGGTACAGAAGAATATTTGTAAATTAGCTTGTACTGTAGGCTGTCTTACCTGAGAAGCAAATTTCTTATGGTCTAGGTTGTAATGCTATTAGCAACGTGTATTTTGTTCAGATACAAGTTTTGTTTCAATTCATAGTTTTATTTTTTTGTTTTCAGCTTCTTGAAGAATGTTTAAAGCAAAGTGTTGATACTAAACATACTGCATCAGAAGTATCCGAAGAGGCTTTCCTTCAAACATGTGATATCTTGAAGGAAAAAATGAAGCAAAGATCTGAGGCAAGACTGCATCCCTTTGCTATTTCTCAGCCAGTTCCTTTAACAGAAGAATTGCTCTCTGATTTTGTATGGTCTCCAACAGCAAGAATTTACCTCCAAGCTTTAAAACAAGTGAAAGAAGGCTTTGAAGTTCTTCAGAAGAGTAACTTTACTAATGAAAGAGGAATTGCTCTTATAGCTCACGGGTATTTGACAGAGAATTCTATACTGCAAGCATTTCCTGCTGATGTTTATATAATTCCAATACTGCCTCAATTATTTCAATTATGCGAGAAAACGTTGGAGAAAAACCCATATTTCTTTGAAGCCCTTGTTGTTTCATTTGCTTTGCAAGCTTATGAAAGAAAAGTTTCTATGCAGGGATCTATTGGGGATATGAAGAAAATCATGTGTATAGATAACTTAATTCATTTTATCAAGAATGCTGAGCCAGATGGTGTTCCCTCGCAAGAACCCTTCAATGTCAATAAGAACTATAGTAGCTGGCTTCATCTTTTGTATTACTTCTTGGCAGCAATCTTTACTGCTGGAGGGGTCTATGCAGATGCAGCCGAGGCTTATGAGAACTCCCTTCAGTATTGCCCAGCATATTACGAGTCCAAGAGAGGACTTGGCTATACATTACTGTTGCTGTATATTTCTAGATTACCGGTTAGTGAGGAGTTGAGGCAGGTGGTAAAATCCAGAGAAGAGTTGCCCAAGCAAACAATGAGTGAGAGAAAGATTCCAAAATATGATTCTTGGACAACTCAGCAACTGAAAGAAATGGCTATAAAAGTGTTAAATGAGTATATGGATAAGGCCCCTTGTTGCCACAAACCATACCCACATGCTTACTATTATTTGGCACAAATTTCTCTACTTGAGCAAAAACTAGCTGAATTCAGGAAATATTATGAACAAGGCCAAGATGCAGAAGAAAAGAGACTTCCTTTTTTTGAACCAGTTTCCCTGCCAATGAAAGATCTCATGACTCCTGTTTACCAACTATTTGTCAATGTACAGAAACCAACTGGGTGTGGCAACAGGTCTTGCATTCAGAAGGTCAAAGAAACTGAGCTGAAGTCGTGTAGTCGATGTAGGATGCAAAAATATTGTAGCAAGTAAGTACAGTTGTACAGTTGTATTACATGTAATTCCCTCACAAAAAGGGGAGTGATGCTCAAACTGTTTGTAATCTTTTGTTAAAGAATCCCTAGTGGTGAGAATGACATGCAGTCAAACCCTGTTAATACCGATACTGAGAGGTCCATAGAAAGTGTCCATATTAAGCGGGTTGAATTTAGAGAAACTTTAAAGGCTAGGGACAAGGCAAACGGTCTGTAATAATGTGGTGTCCATATTGAGCAGGTGTCTGTAAAGCGGGATTCAACCGTACCATTAATGTCGTTGCCATAATAATGTATTACATTAAGCTGAATAACACCTTTCGACTTGCATACATGAAGGACTGTCGTACCCTTTAAAACCCTCAGTCACTAATCATTTATTTTCATTAAATACTTGTATTCTTTTCACAATTTTCAGAGAATGCCAAAAAGCCGACTGGAAGAATCATAAAGCAGCTTGCAAAACAACTTGTGATGCTATAGAAGTTTTCAAGTTAAAGGGCTAACTACCTGAAATATTTCTGTTGGTGAAGCAAATGACAGAAAAGTCAGGCTCATTATTGTTTCTTTGAAAAAACTGTGGTTACCTGCAGGGGTTTACCTACATCTATTTTGCAGGGTGAACGATGATACTTTTTTTTGGGACTGATGCTCTCCCTCCATCTTGGACATTGAAACTAACAGTCAGAGAGTTGGGGTGAACTGATTTTAAGGGAGAGGTTTATGATGGGTTAAAAATAGAGGAGTCTTTTTTTTTTCTCTCAAGATGGAGGCCACTATATCTTAGTACCTTTGAGTTTCCATTAAAAAAAGCCTGAGCAGGGGGGGTTCAACTTGTCTGATATAAGTTGCTCAAGACTAAGTTCAATTACACAGCAATTCAGAGGGCAGCTTCATGTCACTTGTAGAAAAAATGACAATTTCTTTACTTATTAATTAACTGAAAAGAAGTGACTCGTGTGTACTGTTGAAGACAAGATGGTGAATATGAGATTGTTCATGTCTCAGTTTTTGCAGAATCTAATGAGCAGTACGTGAGTTACAGTACTATATGAAGTAGTTAAAATTTCTGTCAGCACAGCTTTCTCTTTGAATTCAATATAAATGTATTGAAAGGGGTTTTATAGAAATACTACAAATAATCGGACAAAATATAGAGAAGTTGTAGTATAAAATCACAAAATTATATATGTAAGAATGCAGGCCTTGATGTTGAAGGTACTGTTATGAACTCTTTTTTCTTTCAAGTTAGTGAAGAATATGACCTCTGCAGATAACACCCACCTCAATCTCCATAATTCTCCCTGCTCCAGTCGTTCAAAAGTTGGGTAGCGCTATCTACTCCATTCCGTGGATAATGCAATTGGTTTCCCAAATTCTTATCCACTGGATAGTGCTATCCAACTTCTGTACGACTGGGGCCAGATGATTACTCAGCCTCGTTCAAGAATTGTTAAGTATATAATGGTAATTGAACTGAGTGGAGTGCAATTTGGTCTGAAATCATATGCGTGATTTCAAAATCGAGTTCGATTTGAAATTACAAGTATGATTTCAGACCAAAATTGCACAACATGAAGTTCAATTACCACTTAATTACAACCATTTTGAAATCACAGAATTTATTCTGATTCAGATGTGATTTAGAGCAAAACATAATGTGATTCGTGGATAAATCACACTGCTGAGAGCCAATCAGATTTCGAGGATCTGCCGGGGATCACCTGTGATTTCAAAATGGATCCTGCAAAAATTCTTATATTAATTTAATTTGGACTTTATATTAATAGTAATATATTATTTATCTAATAAGTAAATAAATCTTATTCTATGATATTACTTATTTAGTAATTTGAATAGGCTCAGGTTATAAGCAGTATAATTTATTAATTTATCATTAAGTTAAATGATTTCTATTTTACAAAATGTTAAATAAACTAGCAGGAGTGTTTATCAAGCTGAATACACGAGGCACAGTGGAGTGTTTAAGGCTTGATAAATTACACTGCAAGTATCTTGAATGGCTTCAAACACTTCTGTTGTAACTTCGTTCATTCTTATTACAGTATTGAAGGTTTGGATTAGTTTGGCCAAAAAAGTTGGAAGGTAGTCACTTATGCGCTAAAACTCATCGTTTTGCCATTTGGAATGTTTCTTATTTTTGCCCTGTTAAGTTCCTGGAAATCTCATTATTACACATGGCCTTTATTTGCAAGCAGTTTTTGTGGAAAGCATGGGGTTACCCAAGGAGGTTTTGTTTGTTTCTCTTTTGTTTCTTCTTCATTTTTTTGTGTGGAAGTTCTCGCTGCCATCATTTATGAACAAGGAGGACATAAACGAGAGAAAATGTGGCTTTGGAGGTGGGCGTCAGACAGAAAGAAGGGGACTGGAAGGAAGCACTTTTATTACTCACACCCAAGTTAGACGGCGAACACATTTGCGAACTAGGTGACATAATAAAAGGTAAGACTACAAAATCTTCATAAATCTTTATTTACGTATGTATATCTCGATGCACTCAGCAACAAGTTACAGTCAAGAAATTAACCAATACAGCTTATTTTTGTTTTTTTTAAGAGGAACGTTTTTTTGACTAACTGGACCGACTTTTTAACGAATAAAAAGTCAACTTAGTTACAAAGTTGACTTGGATCAATTAAAAACTGGTTGCAGTGCAGCAGACAATAGAACTTACAATACTATTGATAGAGAAATTATCTGTGCTGAAGGCCAAAACATGTATATAAGTGTCACATAAGCGGTAGTTTATAATGTCTTCGAAATGTAACTGAAAGAACCAGTTTCTGGCTCGCACACGGTTTACTTCTATCTTGGTACCACCCATTTTACATGATTTGGACTTCTTGTGTTAATGACGGTGCCTCGTTTCGTCACTGAGTGTAATTACTTTACAAGCTGAGGAAAGTGAAACTCGGGATCTCAAAGCAAAGAGGTCTTTAATAGCAAGGGCTAGTCAATAACCACAAGAACACAAGGAATAACCACTCAGTTTTTCAGTTTTCCGCAGCGATCGGCCTTCAATTTTGCCAAAACAAACAAAAAAACAAAGAAAAGGACCATTTACTTGCTGCATATTTTAAAGCTCTATGTTCGAGTCTCTGAAAATGCCTGGTTATCCCCAGTTTTCTTAGCCTGCGGACGCAGACGTATTTCCTGTCGTCGCTTCTCTCCACCCGAAAAGTAACGAGAGTTAATTTTTAAGTAACGTGAGTGACCACCGGAAATACGCCTGTGTCCGCAGGCTACAGTTTTCTTAGCCAAAAACATTCAATAGCCCAGAACTACTTCTTTATACATGTATCTATAAACAGGGCAGAACACCTTTGTCAAGGCACGGTCATTACAAAACCTGACTGCAACAGAGTGTTATTAAACCAGTAGGCGACTTTAAAACCAGGCTCTCAAAAAACGACGGAGTGAAACTAACCATTCCCATAATGGAGATGTGCTGCAGTTGTTAAAGAAGTAGAACTCGATTGACTGCAGAAATAAAACAACGATTATAGCCACTATTATATCCAGTGTAAGATCTATCGCAACGTTTACGTACTTGTTGCCTGGTAATGATGAGGGTGGTCAGCGAATTTAATGTTTTCTAAATCGTGCCAATTGAAACCAAAACTAATAAATATAAGTTATCAAATAATACGAAAGCAAGTATCCTAAATAATACATAACAGTTACTTTTCTATAGCTGAATATATTATACCCAAGCTTACTGACGTAGCGATTATAAGGGCATGTAGTTTTACATGCTTAATTTTCTGGTTATCTACTTAGCAACTGCATAATACTAATTTTATCTACTTGTTGGAGGTGAATGTTACTTCTTCCTTTATTGTCGAGGTAGGCTCCTAGGAAAACCTTTTCCGTACTTTTCAGAAAGAAAAGAGGTTGTTTCAGAAAGATGCTTTTCAAGTTGTTAAGTTTCTTTGCGAAACAAGGATGACCGTAGCCTCCCCCGCAGGCGTTTTTAGGGGAGATCGTATTTCTTCCCTCCCCACGTTTGTGGGGCGGAAAGAAATACGATCTTCCCTAAAAACGCCTGCGGGGGAGGCTAGGATGACCGGCGATTTTTCCAAGGTCATCATTTATATTTAATCACCAAAAATGGGGAAAATAATGCATTCCAAACTTAAAACTTTTAATCTTGTTGCAGTCATTAATTGCTTTCTGCAAAATTCGTCTTGATTTGTCCGAAGAAGTACAGGTCTCTTGGGGTTGGTCCCTATGAGAGCTTGCCTGCGGGCGTTCAAAATTGGAAAAAGAGATGTTCTATCTCTTTGCTATTTTAGTGCTTTCATTCCACTCATCAATTCATTGCCTTGCGTTATATTCAAGACTATGCAATGCAGCTAGAGGTGAAGGATAAAAACTTGGGTTAACGTACCACGAGAGGTAGGGGATACAACGATGATAAGAGGTAATCCTTTAAGACGTAGGACACCAAATTACATCACAACAGTAGTTTCAATTGCATAGCTCTTCTCTGCACACTTAAGGCTTGGCCTGCAACCCTGTAGCCACACATGCCTGCATCCAGTTGATCGGGGCAACCGCTTCCCTTTGATTTAGCTCCGCCAACTGGGGCTAACCGCATACAAGTAGGGAATGTTTTTTTGTCTTCGTCTTCCCCGCTTCTGCATCAAAAACACCTGGTGCTCTATCTTGAGATTTGGCAACGTTTCTGCATTTTGCTAGGACAAAACCTATCTCCTTTGAACGCGACTCAGGGCTTTCCTTTGAGTATACAAAAAGATACCCCTCTTCTTCTCGACAATCTTCATCAAATAGACTCCAGTTTTACTTTGATATCGAGCTCGTGATACTGTTTTGCACTGACTATATTAAAAGATTAGCTATCTGTCTTGATGCAGTTACCATTCTTGATAAGGAGCAAGATGATCAAGAAAAACTGTCATTTTCTCTTCTCTCTTAGCGAACGTGGCCCAGAAAAAAACTTTTTTGCTTGTAAATTTGTGTAACATCCCAAGAACTCCGCATTCCATTATCACGCTAAAGATTTCCGGACTTTGGATTGTATAATCTAGTGTAAGGCTTTTGTCGTACACAACCAGCAATTGGAACGGGTGGCTATTAAGATTCTGCGTTTGAATCTTGACGATGAATTTTTCCGTACCGTCACATTTGGGTTTAGGTCCTTTTCCAATACCTTTTAAATGAGTCCCAAATGTTCGAATTTGAGCTTGCTCTGGATTTAATTGTGAAAAGGTTTTGACCGTTACAGAATAACGACTTCTCAAGGCGCTACATAGTGTGTTATGAGTGGCCAAATGTTTTTCTCTGCATTCTCTGCCGCAATACGAGGCAATATGACAAGTAGGACACTTTATGAGGCGACTTACTTCACTTCGTGAGCGACGACAAAAAGTGCAACCATTGTAAAACCGCTCGATTACCTCTTTAGGGTGATACATACCTTCTTCGTTGTTATATTCCTTGTTTCGGACTAGGATGGGTGGGTTGGTATAAAACTGTTTTTCCCCAGGAGGAAGACCTAGAAAAGACGAGAGACCTAGAAAAGACGAGTCTTTCTCAAGTAAGGTAGTATCAATGGGAATACTACCCTGTTGATACTCTAACCACGGGCCACCATGGTCTCGCACTGTGTTTGATTCCAAATGAACCCGTGCGGAATAATTAACACCAATGAAAATCCCGCCACATTTGTTGCCAGAAATGATATTTTCTTTTATCACGGCTGAAGTTCGCGATTTTGCCAAGATTCCCCAGAATCCATTCTCGAATATCTTGTTATCTCTGATCACAAGGTGAGAATTTCTATCCAGCGAAAGACCAAAGGGCCTATTGTGGTGTACATCATTTTCGGATATTTCTATTGTATTCTCGTTGCTACAGGCATAAATTCCCTCTCTTGCATTTTCGAATATCTTGTTCCCAGTGATAAGGCATTCTCCTGCATTCGGACCGATAAGGACACCATGGAAACCACTATCAAATATCTTGTTTTGAGAGGCAGAAAGATTTCCACCTTCTCTTGCCTCTAGACCGGCTTGGTGGTTCTTGTACACCTCACATTTAATGACTGCCATGCGAGAGCCCTTGCCAGCGACTAGAGCGCCACCACCGCCACAGTGATGAATTGCACAGTCTTCAATGAGAGCTTTGCTCTCATCAAAAATTTGAACTCCAGGATAACCGCTAACACCAGACTTCAATTCTGAAAATCCAAACTTACCAGAGCGATCACAAGCAGGTTTTCCTAAAGAGACCGCTATACATCCTTCACCACCATTGCATTCTGGAAAGTCCTCACAACTAGTTGAACCTCCTGAAATTTGACAATGCTTCAAATGAATAGCCGATTCTTTGCCTTTGCAAACTATGCCAATGCTTCCTTTAGGGAACACAATATTCTCAAAATAACACTTAGCAGAGGAAATAAGACAGCATTCTGTACAACTTAAGACGACTTCTTTCCCAAGACCTACAATTTGGAAATCATTGAAGATAACGAAGCGCTTTAAATTATAAACACCTTCCTTCAGGAGCAGAGTACCTTGTGCCGTCATTAAAGCAAACGTCAACTGCGTTTCATTATCTATTACTCTGAACGGCGCGTTTACTCCTGGAAACTTTTCCCAAAACCCTTTCTCGTTGCCAAGACTGGGATCATTTTGGATAGCTAGTGCCAGTGCAGCCAACTTTTGTCCTTCAAGGTGCGATGAACCATTTTCAACAAGTTTTTGGAGAGCCCAAGCCTTGCGTTGCAATGCCTTGCTGAAACGGGGACATAATAAGAGGCACTTTTCACAGTCATCTAAAGCTTGTTGTGGTTGGCTAAGTTTCAAATAGCAGAGAGCGCGGTTGGCGAAGAGTCGATGGTCATGGGAAGTCAAACCAATGGCGCTGGAGTAAAGATTAATCGCCTCTTCGTATCTTTCATTTTTTACTGCAAAATTTCCTTGCCCTCTGAGCTCGTCAACCTTTTCCTCCCTTTCTTTTTTAACAGAATTTGCTTCATCTTTGGGATCGCCGTCCGAGGCCGGTTGTCTCATGCAGTGGGATATCAGCTTGCAGTCCCTGTCCTTTAATGGGATATCAATAAAATAGCTGGGCACTTTTGCGCTATAGTCGTCTGCGGACTTCGTTAGGTTCACTAGGAATTCGAGTTTAAGTCTCTGTACTTCCTGAGCTTTGACTTTCTCTTGAGACACACTGAGAAAGATTCCAGCTTCGTTAAAAACACGCACGGTTTCCTCTTTATAGAGCAAAGTATGGGCTACTGCTTTATGTTTCACTGAAAAGTTGGACAAATGCTCCTGCAAATAGGTAGCATGCGAGGCCAATTTGGCCCATAACTGCAACGAAGGGGGATTCTCGACACTAAAAACAGCATCTTCAACGAAACTTTCGCACACTTCAGCCGGCGACCGAGTATGTTTCAGCGCGTGGTGAAGGACCCGTACTGCACGTGAGAGAACATTGAACTGAGTTTGTTCTTTTTCTAGCTCACTTCGAATCACTTCTTGCACTAAACGATGAACACTGAAAGAGTCTATACCGTATCTCTGAAACAGAGAAAACTTAGTTAGAAGAGACACTATTTCAGCCTCATCCCACATACCATTATCCTCCACAGAACTGCCTTCCTCCAGTAGCCCTTCATTGATCAATTCGTATGGAATGTCATCTGGGCCATAAAAAGCAGAAACTTGCATAAACAGAGTGGGAGCTTCTCCAAGTTCCATCTCTTCTGAGATGCGACTGATGTGAACGAAATTCAACATCCATGTTGTGTGGACAGCTAGCCGCTCGGAAGAGGTGTTTTCCACAAAATTTCTGGCTTTTGTCTTTTTCAAGAGACGCACCTTCTGCTTCTTGTATTTCTTCACATACTCTTTTATGGACTGTTTAACATTTCGTATATAGGCCCCAGCTTGATCAAGAGCTAGAGGCAGTCCTCCAAGTTCTCTAACCAGTTGACGTAAGTCATTGTCTTCTCCCTCATCTGTTCGGCCAGTTCGCAGCCGTAGGAACTGAATGCCTTCTTCTTCTGTTAAGCATTTCAAGTCAATGCAACACTGCTCGTCAATTCCTGTTGCTTCTCCAATTTGTGAAACTTCCCTTCTTGTTGTTATGACAATGTGACCACGAGCCATATATTTCCAGTTACCAGTAAGCAGCTTACGCATTTCTGGGGACATTTTTAACTCGTCAAGATTATCGACAACTAAACACCACAGTTTTTCGCGTTTCCTGAGCCAATCAAGGGTTCTCGACAAGGAGTTATGAAAATCGTTTTCGAACGTTCCAATTTGAAGCGCCATCTCATTGACGGACCTTTGAAAAAACTTATCTTCTCCCGAAATCCAGAAAATACCCCCTGGATATTTTTCCTGGTGTTGCCAGAGAAACTCTACAGCGAGAGAAGTTTTCCCAACACCACCGAGACCACAAACAGCTGAGTGAATACAACCATTCGGGGTATTTTTTAGTTGCACTGCAATTGCCTCTAGTTCCTTATCGCGACCACAAAAGCAATTATTGCGGCTAGGTACTTGAAAAATCTGGATATTTGCTGTCTTAAAACTCTTTTTCTCTAGCTCTTCAACCCTAGCTATCAAACGACTTTGCCCCTTTTTTAAATTTCCTATGTCTTCAGTTACAGACGATACAGTGTTCTCTAAATTACTTTGCTTATCTTTTAACCGACAAATGTCCCTCTCATTAACATCTACACGTTGGTCTACTTCTGCTAAATCGCTTGAAATATCTGTAATTGCATCTGATAAAGCTTCCTCTTTTTCTAACCGCTCCTTTCGTTCTGCTTCGAGATTTCTTTCAATCTGAGTTATTCGCTTGTCAAAGTTATCAATTTCGTCTCCGATAGTTTGAAGGGCAGCACTTATCTTGTTGGCTTCATCAGTACTGGATTGCCTTATATTGTCTACATCTTTTTGTAGGTTGCTAACTTCAACACTGATAAGCTTCATCAAATATTTATCCACATGGCAGCCCAAACATAGATCCAAACCTATAAATCAAGATTTCCATAATCAATAAGTCACTAAACAGATGAAGAAATGCTCAAGTCCCCGAGGAAGAACTTGAGGTAATTTATCGATAATTTAGAATACATAGATACGTTCTACTATTGGGCAAAGAAAGAATAAAATAAAAAAATAAGAAGCAAATTTTATAGCTTTCTTGTAGGTAGATTAACACGCAATTTTTAGAACTGAAATTGGACAACACGTAAACGATCCTTTTCTTAGACTTAATTAGTATAACAGATCCCCGTTTCTGTTTTTCCTGCTCACATCTCTTTGCACCGTCCCCACAATCTGGATGCCTGGAACAGATTACCTAAAAGAGAGAAGTCCAGGCGCTTCCTCATATTCAATACTTCATGGAGACTTCCTTTCTTTCCACAAAGCAAATGCGCGAGTGTAATGTCACATCAAGTGAAACTGAGTTTAACCAACTTCTTACGAGATTACTGTAGGGGCAAGTACTCACCCTTTTTTTCCCAGTCATGCAGTTTATCTAGTTCTTTGTCTTCATCAGGCTTTGGCAGCCCGAGTGAACGAACCATGGTCTCCATAAGTTGAAAACTGTTGTGGAACTCCAGCTCAGTCCAGTGGTCAAAGTTGCAGTGTCCCCACTCATTTCGCACTTTAGAGCGCACATCCTTGGCATTGGTTTGGATACGAGTGTGAAAAACAGACGCCCTTTCCAGAATCCCTAGCACTGCTGATAGGTCACATGTGTTATCAAATCCTGCAAATTGATACATTTTTGCGTGAAACTTGCCTCTGATTTCCCAACTGAGAAATATTTTTCATATTTTGCGTAGCACATAACAAATTTGGATGCAACGCAGAAAATATTTTTTTCAGAGAACAGGCAATAGTTTTAAGCACAAATGACTATGAGAGTTCAAAAACGTCTGGATATCAAAGCATGACTCCGTCTTACAGCTGGCCTCGTATTAAAAATATGGCCCGCAATTTGCCAATTTGATTGAACGAAAACTGTGACTGTGATACATTCGGACTGGCATTGGCATTAAGTTTAATGCCCAAATGTCTGAGGGAAATGTCTACCTTTAAAATTAAAGAGTCAAAGAATAAATAAATAATTAAATAATTAAATGTAAGGATAGGACAAAATCCGAGTGGCTGGAGAAAAACCTTTTGTAGCAAAGGCAAGAACTAACAACAAACTCAATACCACATCAAGGCGCTGACACCGGGACGAGAGCTCAGGCCACATTGTTAGGAGGTAATTAAGTGCTCTTCCCACTGCACCACCCTTGCTTTCAGCGACCCCCTCCTCCTCCTTTAAGAAAAATAACTGACTAGCTGAGTGCAACTCTGACTACAACAACTGAGTGCTATGACTGACCGTTTTATCATAGAGGTGTCTATTAAGGGATAGTCGACTGTACTCCCAAAGAGCAATCTGGTTCTCCCTGTACTGGTGTAGTGCATGAAAATGTGCTTCCAGGGAAACGATTAGGGAAAATTAACGTTTTCAGTTTTAATAACAATACCTGTAAACTTGGTCATGTGTGGCTCAAGATAAAGTTTAGCCAAGTCTTCAGCTGTTCCAACTTTGTAATCATATGAACGCATTTTTTTCTTAAAATTCCCCCAGTTATTGTTGATGCTTCCATAGTTCAGCTGAGATGGCCCGTCATGAGTCTTATGTCTTCCATAGACTTGAGTGTCAATTCCATGTGCACTCTTCAGGGATGCGTAGTGTTTGGGAATTTCTTGAGCCACAAAATCCTTGAGGACTGGCAACAGAAGCTTGTTCAAGCAAATCCCGATCACAACCCATCTCTTCTGGTTCTCTCCAAGATCAAAACTGCTGACTGAAAAAAATAAAAATTGACTTGAAAATGCTGGAGAAAAGGTAAATGAGATATGTCTTCATTAGTTTTATGAAACGGCCAAAACACAAACAAACAAAACAAAAAAACTACCTTAATTATAAACATGATGGCTTCAAACTCAGATTCAGGACGTGTTCTGCCCCAGAAAAGTTTGAAATTTCAAAGCCCTAAAACATTGTAAAAATATGCGATTCTCAGTGTTCTAGAGACTAAATTTGGGGACAAAACAGCGTTTTTTTAAGAAACTTGACTGAAATATAGCATTCACATGACTAAAGCATCATGTAATCAGTGGGCCTTTATGAAAACAACATCCATTATAATAATTCACTTATTCATTCAGATTTTATGATATATTTTTTGTTTACAACCTTATTCAAACTAGTTGCTTCTTCCTTTTAGAAAAAAGTAGCCGACCTCTATAAGCAAAGTAGCCAATGCATTTCGTCAGCCATCGGTGCTTTTTGAAACCCCTGTATTTTAGTGCTTAAACTCCTCTTACCAGTTCCAGCAGTAGCTGGGGCTCCAGTCAAAACTGTGGGTGAAGTAGGAGTACCTGGTGGTGTTGGTGGCATAAACGTGATTACACGCCCACCAGTTGCTCCTCCCATTGCCATGACGACCTGAAAATACGATTTACACTAAATCTAATGAATTTATCATACCTAGACCAAAATTCTGATTGGTTAAATGCAGTGCTAAATTTTAATAAGCATTTTTAATACATTGCAACAGGCCACTTCTGAGATCCAAAAACCCTCACTTTCAAAATAAGGCCAAGTGAACAACCTTTCTTGTAGAATGAGTTTTATTTGCATGAAAAATTTAAAAGCCATCCTTTGGGATAAGTTCATTAAAACATAACATTACTATATCAAGTATACACCCAGTACAGGACTCTTACTTGATTGCCCAGTTATGGAGGTGTCCACGTTTTTATTATAATAAACACCAGTGAAATTAATCAGGTGAGCTTTTGCGCAAAAACATGATACATCTTCACATGAGAAAATAACATGTTATCTTCACACATGAAAAGATCACTGTTGCTAAGGCTACTTTAAAATAAATTGTGCCTTTCCCAGCAAAAAACTATTAAAGTGAAAAGGTTTGGTATTTCATTGGTGTTTATACAATAAATAGTTAGAACATTACATGGCTGCTTGGAGATACAAAATATCTCTTCTTGTGGTGAATAATATTACACTCGTTCACTGCGTTCACTGCACTTGTGAAATATTTTCAACACTTGAAGAGAAACTTTGTATCTCGGAGCAGCCATGTAATATCATCTATATGCTACACTGGTTGTCATCTTAATATGGGGTCTGAATACAGGTTATCACTGTATGTAATTTGAAAATGGGATTTTGGAGGAAAAATAACCAAATCATTTGACTCAGGATTTCTTTTGTTTTTGTCTTGTAACAGTTCAATAGCTTACCTTAAAAAAGACCATTACATTTTGATATCTAAGTGTGAATTTGGGGAATTTTGTGGTCATCAAGATACGGATTAGTAGCCAAAAAGAAGTAACAAAATAAAGTTATTCGCTGTCAATAAACTTAAGCTACCAAAAAATTGTTACTTAACATTTGACTCCAGTCATTGAGTAGACCCACAAAATTTAATTTTAGAGTTACATGTTTGTAATGGCCTTGTTAAAAGAAAAAATAATGATATTTTTATCTAACATTGGACTGTTAAGATATCATATTAAACAACATGAAACAACAGTAAACTTGAAAAGCCATTATGAAGACCCAGCTCACGTCATTAGAAGAAGCACATAGGTGGCCGAGCAGGGGGGCAGGGGGGTACATAGTACCCCCAAACAAAAATGCCCCCCCCCCTACATTTTGGTGCCAAAAAACACTTTTACGTTTGTATTTGACAATACCTGCGACATTGGCAACTTCACAGCACACATTTTCTGCTCTCAGGCAACTCAAAAACTACCTAAGAAGCACAATGAACCAGGCCCACCTGAACAACTGCCTACTGATCAATGCATTGTCACGAATCAATTACAAACACACTGCTTGTGCCAACGAACAATGCAAAGGGAACTTTGCAAAATCTGAGTAGGGGTATGCATATGGCTGAGTGGAAGGTGAACCCCCCAAGTTTCAAAACGCTCCACCGTCTCTGAAGCCAGCCCAGGGTACCCCAGATTTCAAGTGACAGGGATGATCGAAGGATTTTTTTGGTTTGAAGTTTTCGATTTCGGGATTTTTTCGGGCTGGAAAATTTTGGCAAATATTTTTTTGGGTAGTTTGATTTAAGTAGGAATTTTTTGGGGTATTCAAAACAATCTGAAGATTCCTGATCGTTCCCATGTATCCCAACCGCATAGTTCCGCGAATAAATTTTTATGGCTTGGAAATTCAGCATGGGATTTTTTGGAGGTTAAATTTTGGTCTAGGGAATTTTGGGGGTTTTGTTTGAAGCCCTAGGGATTTGTTTGGGTTTTGATTTTTGTCCCCATTTGATCATCCCTGCCACTTGAAATCTGGAGTAATCCCCCTGGGAAACGCAGACTGCAGACTTGCAGACTGGAAGGTAAATGAGGTAAACGTTGTTGTGAAATATTTTAACAAATTTCCTATCCCTAAACTTTAAGTCATTTAAAAGTCTAGTTTAAGGATAGGGAATTAGTTAGAGCATTTCACAACAAATTATGTTACCTCGTTTATCTGCAAGTCTGCAGTCTGCGTTTGTCACACACCACTCTGAAGCACATACAAGGAATAACATAACATGGAAATGGATTTACATAGCAATGCCCGAGATTACACAATCTGCCAAGTCCCGAGTTGGCCTTTACTTTCACCACAGGAGAGAGCTTTAAGCCCACGATCTTCTAGACAACTAGTATAGCCTATGTGTCCTTGATTTAAGAAAATTTGAAATCAACTTAATTTCTTTTACAAAGCCCCCAGTTTTCCCATGGTGGAAGGATGTGGTAAACCAAACCTTCCTAATTCCCCCACCTCCAGGGTAAAATAATCTTTCAAGTCCCCCTATAACTCCCATTCAAAGTTGTATTTGCCTGGGGTCCCTTCCCAGGGGAAGGCCAATGATAGATGCATAAATCAAAGAAAGAGCAATGTTTCTGCTTACTGAATCGAAACCATGAGGTGATATTTTCTTTTCAGTTTTAGTCACATGAAACCATGATTTCATGTTATTTTTGCCTTTAATAGATTTTATTTTTTTGTTTGTTCAATTTTATAATAAGCTGATAACAAGTTCTCTTTAAGAAGGCTTGCTAAGTTATATTTTAAATTGTATATGTTCACTATTTGATCTTATTGCCCCCGCAGGGATTTCGCCCAGAGGGCGAAATCCCGAGGAGCACTCTAGTAACTCGTGCGTATATTAAGGAACGTACTTTACAGTTGAAATATACAGTCAGTATGCCAGAAAAATCTCGATTTGCTTAAACAGGGGCCGCGAGGAATCGGTAGGTAATGATGACGTTTCTGTTGTTCACGCCCACAAGTATGAGATGGTTAGGATGACACAAAGACAGAAAATCCCGAAGGGACCGCTTAGGTAGATTTTGTGACATTTATTATACAGTCATACTTCGATACTCTTTTGCATTATGTGTTATAAGTGACATTCTGTGGAGCAGTTGTTTTGAAAGTTATGGACCAAAAGACACTCGTTAAGTGCAGATGAACTTATAAGGTGCGTATAACTGTGTATATATACTTAAATAAACACTCAAACAGTTTGCCAGACACAAGTTCACAAATCTTTGATTAGAAACCTTGCCAGACACTCTTTCTTTCTCTTTGACTGGAATAAGACTCAGCCCCAAACAAGCAAGACGAGTGGATCAACGGCTAGCTTATCACTAGCAGAAAGATGGACGATTACAGAAATTCGCCGACAATCAAATTCTGTGCTGACTTATTCCCTGCTCACAGATGTCCTTCCGCTATGAAGTTTAAAATAAGAACACAGGGTGCCCACACAATCTTTGTGTCACCGATTGTTATTTTATAGTAAATGTACTGGATTTACTGTTTGCCCTTACCTATAGCAATATGTCGCCAACTATGTATATAAAAAAAAATAACAGATTCCCATTTTTGGATATTTTAGGGTATTTAAAGAATACCCATAAAAATCCCAAATGTGGCAAAGTGAGACAAGTCCCAACCAGGGAACTTGGTTGGGAAGTCCCTGGTTGGGACTTGTCTCACTCTTCCAAATTTGGGATTTTTGTGGGTATTCTTTAAATACCCTAAAATATCCAAAAATGGGAATCTGTTATTTTTTCCTGTGTATACATAGTTAGTGATATATTCCTATAGGTGAGGCAAATGGTAAATCCAGTAAACAGATTGTGTGGAAGCCCTGTGATAAGACCACAGGTGGCCCAATCTCACTACAGGAATGCGGACGTGCCTCTTGCTTGCGAGTGGTGTTGTGTTACAAACGGTTATTTACAAACGCTTGTATGGGACGCAAATGGTTTTTCTTAAGAGAGAGAAAAAATGTTATGTTTTTAAATAAAATCAACTTACCTTATTGCCTTTTTGTATTCTTTGTTGTTTGCCCTCATCTCAGGTCGAACCCATTAGCTTCCCGGGTCCCCTCGAGAGGTTTTGTCAAGACCGCATTGGGAGCTAACGGGTTTTCTTGTCGTCTGCAGGCCACTGGCTACCCTCACCAGGCTTATTTTAGTTTACCCAACATATACTATGTGATCTGTGAATGGGTCCATGGCAGTTTGGAAAAGCCTAGTTCGAAAGTCGGAAGCCAATCGAGCAAGAGATAAAAGCATCGCTAGCAAACGATCTATGGGAGGAATTGTGAATCGAGTGAATGGACATGGAACTGCAACATCTCTGCTTGGAATTTCTGGAGGAATTTAGGCCGGAGGTAATTTTCCGGCGGAATTATTCGCCTCGAGCAACGGACACCCTGGAAATCACTGTTCTGCCTTGTCCTTCTCTTAGCAGTGGAACACCAAAATAGTGCTAACTTGCCGAAAACGCTTCAAAATGGCCTGAGACGCGGGCAAAAAACAAAGAATACAACAAGGCAATAAGGTAAGTTGATTTTATTTAAAAACATCACATTTTCTCTCTCTTTTAAGAAACACCGTTTTACATCCCATACAAGCGTTTGTAAATAACCGTTTGTAACACAACACCGTTCGCAAGGAAGAGTCACGTCCGTGTTCCTGTGGTGAGCTTGGGCTGCCTGTGATAAGACTAGAAAGCGCGAGCGTGAATTGACCAAACGTCCTTTTCCTTTCCGGCAAATAAAATGAACTGTATGTAAAAAGTGAAAGAGAAAAGGCGAAAAATTCAACTTCTACTTAAATCTATGGTTTAGAAAAAACTATTCTAAAAACTGAGAATGTTTTGATCAAAGCTGTGTAAATCGAACTGAAGCTGTGCATGGAATCTCACCTATTGTATGGAATATATATGTGTGAAAAAACATTCATTATTCATTATGAATCGGTATATTTCAAAGAGCTACACAACGACCAAGAATACTATTGACCGACAATATACAGAGCGGGGGCAGCTCTAGTGTCAACTATATACTAGGACGTACGTAAGCTTGTTTTTAAGCCCTCCGTTTCTGTTTTTTGGGCTGTGTAATGTTTACATTGTTAACAATTAATTAAGCTTTTTAACTCACAGAATAGATCCTTTGAAGTATGACGATCGATCTGTACCAAAGAAACCGTTGGAATTAACACGATAGTCCAAAATCCTCTCCAGAGTGATAACAAAAGAAACCGAAAAGCTTGCCTTTACCTGCTACAAGACAGACAAAATTTCCTCCTGTGACTACGCACCCGCGACCGCGCCCGCGTGATTTCCGAGAAAGAGTCATTTTGTTAGAAAAACCGACTGGAATGAACTATTGGATATTTGGACGTAGGAACGGAACAAAAGACGGAAGGTCGCGTAAGTCGTTTGGGGCTCGCCTGCTTTGTCCAGGACGGCTGACACTTTTGGGAGTGGGAGCAGCAGAGAAGGAACAAGAGTGTTTACCATTTATCAGAAATTTCCGGGAAAATAGTTCGAAAATAATGGACCACCTCCTCAAAAGTAAGTACAGCATGTTTCTTACTAAAATGTCTTAAAGTGTGGGAAAAATCTTATTCATTTGTATACTACTTTTTTCCATTAATTAATGCCTTTTGGAGTCCAAATTGTAACTCTTCCTGGCTCAAATAGCCTGCATAACAGGCGCTTTATGAGTCAGGTGGGGTGCATTTTGCAGGCTGGGCTCAAAAGGTTCTAGTCTTGAAACTCGAGCCAGTCCCTTCGCGGAAAATGACCATTTGTCCCTTTGTTGTCATTTTGCAATCAAACGAAAACGTGACCCCTCCTTTTTGTACATGTTTTTTTACTTGTTGTGGCTTGAGGAAAAATATAACATTTTAACGAGAAAAAAATTTGGAAGGTAAAAAAATGTACTATTTAGATATGTGAAACTCCTTGGAGCCACTGAGGAGTATGAGATTTAGTATGAGATATCTTGTTAAAAACTGTCCATTTTTGTTACAGATTTTGCATTTTGCAGATCACCTAATTAGTCATTTTACTGAAACATTATAGCCCAAACAAACAAAACGGACTCTCTATTTTAGTAAGATTGATACTTTTTGCTATATGATAGGAATTTTTGACGGTTGCTCAAGTCTTCATTTTGCACATAACTGGGAAAGAACACAAGAAGCATGCAGAGCGGAAAAAGGCAACGTGACCCCATCATTTTATTGCAGTTTTTTCAATATCCTATATACCGTATTTCCTTGAATAATAGCTGTCCCTTGATTAATCGCCTCCCTCAAATAATAGCCCCCTCTGACAGAAATATTTAAAATAATCGCCTAGCTCCCTCCAATAATCGGCCCACTCCCACCACTATAGGTAACCCACTATCGATACGAGTTCAAGTTTCAAGTTTATTAAAAGATATTGGATATATATCATAACCACTGCCTGCAAAATAGCCTAGCTAATAGAGGCAAGAAGAAAAGAAATAATTACCCCCAGCTATTATTCTAGGAAATACAGTATGGCTATCAATAATTTTATTGTACCAAGTTTGAAAACACCTGAATATTGTATCCTTTTTCAAGGGAATTGTGTTGAGCATCATGGGCCTTACTCACACAGCGGTCATATTGTCCCAAGAGACTGAAAAAGCTATTTTACCACCCTCGACCTCGCAGTGAAAAACTTGGGAGCGAGGCTAGACAGGTAAATCAAAGCTATTTTAGTCTAGACATAAATAACAGTTCTCTCGGGACAAAATGGCCACCATGTGACAAAGGCCCATTATCATATGGTCTTAAAAGCAGCTCCATGCGCGCTTAAATCCCGCACGGGCAGAGCTCCATTGCTACGAAAATATGGTAATCAATCCATCCAAGAAATTTTAGTTCAGTGTACGCCCAGCGACCAACAGTCCGTACACCACATGTAAACCGATGTCAAATGTCACACTTTAATCTGAGGCATAACTTACTATACTATCTGTGTTTAACTTGGTATTGGACATCCATGTTATGGTCAGTTGAAAGGGTATCCGCTGACCAGTGTCAAATGACTGTATCAGGGGCTCAAGTATACACCTTACGGAGGTGACATACTTTTTAAAGTTATCCACTGACCAGTTTTTGGTTTTCAATTGATCAAGGGCTGAGGTCAATTTTTTAAAGGTGGAATTCAGTTTGCTTTCTGCTTACAAAGTTAAATTACTTGAGAAGGACATTTTCTTAAGGTGACTCTACCCAGTTATTTTGTGAGGGTACCATCCTACTTTGAAGCTCTCTGGTATCCCCACCTTTACTTTGATCGCAAGTCTAACATATAGCATGGATAACATATAGATCAATCTACAATATAGTAAAAAATTTTCGGCAATCGGCGTAAATGTCACATGGTTATAGTGCCAAGCCTCTTAGGGGTCTGAGTCGAAATTCTGCTGTTGCCGGCATTTTTTCGTGAAAATCTCTCGGCTACACATAGTGTGTATTAGTGCCTTGGGTTGAACAGAGTTTCACCAAAATCGCAAGGATCCAATGCGAGAAATTCAGCGGTTTCCAAATTTAGGTAATAATTTATGCGAAAATGATAAGCAAACTTTACACCATTATATCTAATAAACTATGAGATTCATCCCTTTATTTTGGGGATCGTTATAACAGATAGGTCCTTGCAAGTCAGCAAAAAGCTTTAGGGCCTTTAGGCCGTCCTCTGTTGAGAGCTTTGCTTTTGGCCTTGGTTAAATCTCAATGGTCAAAATAAACTATGCGAAAACCTATCCTGGGTAGAATGGTCACTTTCCTAGCCGAGTCAACTTTAGCGAGCATTAATAGAGGGCTTTGACCCATGTGACCAGCGGCTATGTAAATTTATTGAAACAAAAAGAAAGTTTTTGCATAAGAAAAGAGTTCGCTCTCACAGGACTGGTTTGGGACACCAACATGGCTACCATTTCATTGTTTTGGGCTCCAAAGTGACATCATTTGAAAACGCTCAAATTATATGAGAAAATAGTTGACCCCTTTGTCTGAGCGAGCCAACAGCACCTGCCCTGATTGTCTTGCTTTGACTGAGTTTACAAGGCTAGGCGAGCTTAATTGTAGAAAAGCTAGCCCAGCTGTGAGGGTGAACCCCTACCATCACAAAAAGGTGACAGGTTAGGTGGGGTCACCCATCTAGCCTAGCAAACTTAGTGTTTCTCATGTAAACAGTTTGCTAATAAAATTATGCTACAAATGCCCCTGCAATATTCAGGGAACCCTTACCCTAGCCTCTGAGGTTCTTAGTTTCAACAACCGATTTCTGTCCAACCTTAATTTTCAATAGGCCATTGGGTAAACAATAATTAAGATGCTGCCACTTTTGCTTTTGTTGAATCTAAAATCTGGGAAAACATACCCTCTGAACTAGAAAAGCTCGTTCTCGTTGCCGTTGCTGTTGTCATTGCTTAAGGTAAATTCAAGTTTTTCAAACTTATCGTGTTTAACCCAACCCGCTTAAGATATCAAGAAAATAATGTACACGAATTTCCCCGAAGCCCTCACTGTATCTAAGAAAATTTGCCAAAAGCAACAGTCGGTTGCTTTTTGTTGTCCTTGTTGTACTCACGGAATCACAAGGGGGTCCCTCATGTGAAGTCAAACAGACCAAGCAAATTCAAAAGATAATTTACACGATATCAAACAGACTATGTCTTCGTTTTTTGAGGAGCTGTGTTTCGTTTCTCAGACAGTGACAACTCTAGGTTTGTGCTCAGTCAACCATAGGAACTTCTTAGGCCAGAACTCAGATGTTGGAACTTCAGCTAGACATAACTTTCTGCAAACTTGTCCTTTCCAGTAATCATTTGGAAGAGCATAATAATCCTAAGTACTGTTGGCATTTGTCTTGCCTTGTTTGGAAGCAGTGCATGCGGATTTATGTTCCTTCCAATCTGCTCTTTGACAGACCCTAAAAAGTTAAAGATAAGAGAAAGGCTATTGCAGGTAAAATAATATTGCTGTTTTCACTGTTTTCACTGTCTCATTTCCTACCCATTCAGGTCCCACTCTTCTGGCGTAGCTTCCAACCCTAAATGCTTTTTTTAGTGTTTTACATGAATCAGCTAAAAACCCTTTTTTCTAAACCCATTATTGCATGGCTTCAGCTCTTATATATCTATACCAATGCATTTGCATGAAAGTAACTTCACGGTTGTACATCTAAATCTAAATCGATGCAGTGGAGAGCACAGGGATGGGGTCAGCAAATCTCAGCGAGTTGTGGTCAGCCATCAGCCTCCTTAAAAATGACCAAATGAGTAAATCTTCAGTTCAATAATAATAATAATAACAATAATAATAATGATAATAATAAAAATAATAATGACGATGATGACGAAGATGATGATGTTGGTGGTGGTGATTGTGATAGTGACGACGACGACGACGACGACGACGACCAGTGATGGTACAAAGAACTGATCTAATACTTTCATATCTCTTCTTGGCTTAGTCACCAGTGCGTCATAGTTATTTGGTCAAGCGTTATGTTAACTATAGTTAAATTTCAGCCAGATATTTACCACTGACAGGATCTGTTCTGATTGACAGTCCAGTCGATATCAGGTCAATCAAAATCCAAAATGGAATTTTTGAAAGGAAAGCCTGGAGATTCTTATAAAGTGTCCTAGAGAAAGCTCCGACAGAGGCAAATCTTGAGCCATACATTTTGGAGTTCCCTGTCGTTTCTGGTCAACGCCAAAAATACAACAGCTGAGTGGTATGCCGTGCTGTTTTTCTTTTTAAGAGGTTAATACAATTAAATTTTACATTTCTACCCACTTGCTGCAGTATTTTTTGGTTCTGCACCCAGCACACGACTTCAGCTCAGTTTCCTTGACCTTTTTGGTGCAAGCTTTGTTGCCACACCTGGCCCGTTCCGGTAAATCAGCAAGTAGCTGGTAGATCGGAGACAGTAAATCCTTGAGAGGTATATCAACACGGCTTAAGAAAGGCAGCCTTTTTTCTTCAGCATCTTGGCCACGTTCATAATACCTTTTTAACTCCTTCATGTCAGACTTCAAAAGAGCAAGCTTGGCAAGGTAATAACAAACATTTGGGTAGGTTTTCCAACAAGAGGGTGCTTCTGCCAGAAACTCTTCCAATCTTTCCCTGGCCGCATCTCCTAACTCTTCAGTGGTCCAGGATCGGTATTTAGAAATTTCTCGCTCCTTTGCGATTTGCTCTTCACTCTGAAAGTGCTTGCACTTTTCTGAAGCTGCAGCTGAGTCTTTCTTTTCAGAGGAAACTCTAGCAGAATACAGAGCCAATAAACAGTACCCAAGGCCTCTTTTGCTTGGAAAATAGGTTGGACAGCACTTCAGGGAATTTTCAAAAAATTCAGCTGCTGCTTCATAGTTACCATAAATAACATAAAGTGATGCCAAGTGTTCATATAAGACATGAAGCCAGCTACTGTAGCTTTGGTCAAATCTAAAAGCATCTTCAGCTGGAAGGCTGTTAGGTTCAGCTTTTTGAATGAAATTAATCAAGTTTGTTATGCACATCATCGTTTTTTCGTCAGTGTTCTGTGTCTTGATTGAAAGTTTCACTTCGTAAAAATGCAAGCCGAAACTGACTACAAGGCCTTCGAAGAATCTTGGGTTATTTTGCATGCTTTTCTCACAAAGGTGAAAAACTTTAGGCAAAGAAACATGTATATAAGGAAAAGCTTGTAGAATAGAATTTTCAGTCAAACACCCACGAGCTATAAGAGTAATTCCTCTTTCATCAGTAAAGTTACTCTTGAGCAGAATTTCAAGCCCCTGGTTTACCAGTCTGAAAGCATGAAGATAAATCTGTGCTGTTGGGGACCAGTGAAACTCACTGAGCATTTCCTCTGAAAATGCAGTAGGCTCAGTGATCGCAAAAGGGTGTTTTTTTGCCTCTGATCTTTGCCTTAGTTTCTCTTCCATGATTTCTAGTGACTGAGCCAAGGCCTCTGTTTTTGGTTCTGATGCAGTATGCTGTTTATCTTCCACTTCTTCGCATTTCCTAAGAAGCTGAAAAAAAATTAAGTTCACATTCTAAGGTAATTCCCTTGTTTCGCAGGAACTGCGCTTTACCTACTGCCCATAACGTTGCATTATCACAGGTGGTGGCAATTTTTGCTGGCCCCCTGAAGAGAGGTAATAAAGACCACCTTCCCAGTCCTAAAGGTTTTGGTTGCATTAATAATAACTTCTCCTGATTTAAGAATTGCTGGTCTTGAAACTCCTCCCAGTTCCTTCTCCTAAAATTATCATTTGAAGCCAAAATTACCCTTTAATCCACTTGTTGCAATTAAACAAGCAAAGGTACCCCACTTTTATTGGTGTTATTTACTTGTGATGGCTACTGAAAAAAACATTTATAGGAGAAAAAATCTGGAAAGTAGCAGTTGTACTGTTTATAAATAAATGATGTGATGTGGAGCCACAGAGGAATGTACTGTAAATCCTCTAATAAGCCCCCCACCTGAGTAGGGGGTGTGGGGCTTAATACAGATGGGGGGCTTATTTAATTTAGCAAAGACAAAGTATTAGTTCTCCATAAGGAGCTAGAATACAAAGTGAACAAAATTCAAGTACAAGAATTTGGAGGTCATGCAGCCAAGGATCAAATCCGAACTTCTAGTTGGTGAAAAAACCATCCTGACTCAGTCCAAAAAAAGTTTTACAGTCATGCTTTAGTGAAGAATGATAAGGGGGAGGGGATGGGGGCTTATTAACTTTCTTCCCCTGAAAAGGAAGGGGGGGGGGGCTTATTTGAGGATTTACAGTAAGATGATGATATAGTGTAGGAATGCTGATTGTGTAGTGACCAACCACAGTTAAGGGACCGGTCATTATTTATGTGGGGGGTGGGGGGGGGGGGGAATCATTGGGCGGGCCAGGCCTATTTTTTCTGGAGAAAAGGGGTGGGCCAAAAGAGCATTTCACGATGATTGGGGTGGGTCATTGTGTGCTTTGTAAAGAATCACACTCACTACAATTCACGTGGAAGATCTAAATAAATTCTAATGCAATGCTGGACGTAAAATATAACACAAATGGATATCACATGTAGCAATCCAACCTAAGTATGGAGAATCAAAGATGTGGGCACTAAATATCAATAAATAAACATAAGCCCTATTGAGAAGGCTTGCATGCTTCCTTTTCTTAATATAACTGTCTGGGAACTTTTACTACCTGAAGCGTGAACAGCTAGAAATCATTATTGGTTTCAATAATGGATTATTGAATTCATTATTCAATTTAGTGAAATCAAATTTTTCCAATTTTCAAATCAAAAACAGTTTGAAAATTCGTTTTTTAATGGAATTACTATTTGTTTTTTGTTTAATGACTTCAATAAAAAAGCAAATTTTTTTAAACTGGTTTTGATTTGAATATTGCAAAACAAATTTTGTCAATAATCGATTAATGAATGAAATCAATAATGATGTCTAGGTGTTCACACTTCAGGTAGTTTGACTGTAATATGGAGCTATTGAGCTCCTTTTTGTGACCATCTAAAAAGCAAGGATTTTCAACTGTTCAATATGGAATTACATTGAGCACTTGTCGCAACTGCAAAGTGTCAATGAGATCCGTAAGCAAGAGCGAAGAAAAGAAAAGCAAGTTCGAGCCTTAAAAGATGTACATTGCTATGACTGGAAAACACTTGCAGAGAAAGGGAAGCTCGACATTCTGAAAGTCCCCGAGTTGGACAAATACATTGAGCATAATAAACTTAGCAAGAACGGAAAGAAAATCGACAAAATCAAGCGAATCACAGTACACTATTATGAAACTTCAAAGGAATCTACATTTCCTTCAGGCATCAGTGTTGGTGAGGACAGTGATGAGAGTGACAGTGACAATGACCTTGTTTTGCGTGATGAAAGTGAAAGCGAAAGTGAATTAGATGATGACAGTCATACTGTAACAATACAAGAAGGCACATCAGCAAGAAGTGGCCGCAGAGTAGGACACTGGTCCACAAGATATGCTGATTTCGTTCAGTGAACAGGAACTCCTCATAGAGGTATAGATTGAAGGGGGTTGGGGGTGGGTCACCTCTTATATAAAGTTATGTGGGGGTTGGTCAAGAATTAACTAATGGGCTTAAAGGGGTGGGTCACGTTTTTTCTTTCATGCTAAAACAAAAAAAATCCCCCCACCCTCCCACATAAATAATGACCGGTCCCTAAGTTTAGGATGTAAGCAAATCTGAAAACTACAAACTGAGGCCTTCCAAGGGGTAAAAGCGACATGCGACACGGCCCTGAAAACTGGCGACATGGGAAATTTTAAAAAGCGAGAAGTGACATGCCTACGCTGCTAAAATGCGACAGCGACATACTAAACAGTGAAAAACGACGGTGACATTGGAAAGTTGTGCATTTTATCAATAAAAGTGACTCAGAATACAGGAAATTGCATTTCTGAGGGTTCAGATTTTCCAAATTTTCCCGCAGGAGCCTACCCTTAAAGAAGAAGAAGAAGCGTTCATCCTTCGCCGCTCACAAAGTTTTGCCAACTGACCACCATGAAAATCCTGTTATAGCCCTGTTGCGAAACAGTTTCTCGCAAAACAAAAATTACTGGTACAGTTATGTACACTTCAAAAAACGACAGCGACATTTGCAGCTGTAGATTAGGCGACAACGGTCTCCTAAAGCAAGCGACATTGCGACACAGCTACCCCCCTTGGAAGGCCTCCAAACTGACCATGGTTGCTGTTTGTGGTTTAATTTTCTCACATGTGATTGGCTCTTCCCTTAGTACAACACCATAACATTTCATAAATAGTTCTGCTGTTCACAGAGTTTCAAAGTAATAATTACTGCTAGATAAGTAATACTATGCTGGAAAAACTGCCAACATGCCTGGGAAGTTGGTCTCTACTCAACACCATGGGCATGTGAGCAGTAAAGTACTGGGATGGTTTTTGTTGGTGAAAGCATAATCATTCCATAATATTACAGAACACTAACAAGCTGCTACATTACAAGTACATAATTTTGCTATTTCCCCCTAGATGAAATGCAACTCATCCAGGGTTACCCCAGCAGTATGTCATGGGTATCCTTTATTTTACCCAGATGAGGAGAAACATAGTGGAGCCGAGTTTCCTGTCTAAGGAAACAATGCAACAACAAGGCTTAAGCAGGGTCTTCAACTATGGATGCCTACACAGAGTGCAATTTAATATGGCAGTGCTAGTTGAATTAATTTTGATTAATGGTATTAAAAGTAGGATGTTTGAATTAACAGCCCAAGAATGGTAGGGAACGCTTAAAGGTATGAAATTTCATAGTCATTATTACTGCTGTCTTTTGAGTTATTTTGGCTATGGGCTTAAGTTTAACACATTTTCTGCATGTATCTTTGTGTTGTGAAAACCATTGTTGGTTCACTGTTCATGAGTTGTGGTGTGGGAACGTGTCTTTCAATCTTTTGTAACAGGTCATTTGGTGATTACACCAATCCACAACATCAAGAAACTACTGTTTTTCCACATACATCTCCCTTACACATTAATGTGATGTTCATTTCCGGCTGTGAGCATTTTCATCATGTCTTTCGTCTATGAAAATACTTGCCAAAGCCAAAATGTTCAACATATCAAAGTTAAGGTGGCTTGATACAGTTTTTCAGGGCCAATACCTCCCAAGTTTGAGCATAAACTACGTCGCCATAAACAAAGTTTTGGAAAAATTGCCAACAGTTGTATAAGATAAAGATGAAAATTTGTTATGATCAGGGTTGCAACGGCATCGGAGTTGTCATAGCAACGAAATGACGCCATTACCTATTTCACTTGCAGCAGTATATCTCAACACTGGCAACTTCTTCTTCAATAGCGGCCTCGATGTTCGTGAAGTTTAAGCGAAATCTGTAAGAGCGTTATCGAGATATTTTGGGATGAAGTTTTTGTGGTTAGAAACAGCGTAAAAAATTGACAATATTGTTGTTTGGCCTTTATCTGTAGAAAATGAAGCGACTTTTATATGCAATTTCACCTCATAGTAGTTTCAATCTTTTTAAAAACGTGTGTGAAAGATCATGGAGATAGCTCCAGTCGATTTTTAGAAAGAAGGGTTTTATTAGCATGTATCGAAGCGCTCTTGTTAGCAGTTTTGTAAACATTTTAGTCTTCTTTAACAAATTAGCAAATAATTTTTAAACCGCTTGATAGATTTTTTTTAAAATTTAAGATTCTTGAGAATAACCTTTCTTTTATATGACCTTTTAGTTTCAAGATTATTGATACATTGTAAGGCAGTAAAATAAGGGCTAGAATTTGTTACTTTTGATCGGACGTTTCATTACTACAAGTGAAAGCCTCTCATTATTCAATGCATTGTCTCCAAGTTTCATTTTCACGTGAACAACAGTAACTAACAATGCATTTGACATATGCAAAAATGCTAGCTATTGTTATGCGCGAAAATATGAAACTTGGAGACAATACCCTGAATAATGAGAAGCTCACATTTGTAAACACAAAATTTCTGCCAAAATATTGGCGAATTGTAGGTCATATAAAAGGAAGGTTAATCTCAAGAATCTTAATTTTTTTAAAAAATCTATCGAGCGGTTTAAAAATTATTCGCTAATTTGTTAAAGTAGACCAAAATGTTCAAAAACCGCTAACAAAAGCGCCTCGATACATACTAATCAAATCCTTCTTTCTAGCAATCGGCTGGAGCTATCTCCACGGTCTTTCACACACGTTTTTAAAAAGATTGAAACTACTATGAGGTGAAATTGCATGTCAAAAGCGCATCATTTTCTACAGATAACAGCTGAACATCAAGATTATCCATTTTTTACCGTATTTCTAACCACAAAATCTTTATCCCAAAATATCTCAGATTTCGCTTAAACTTCACGAACATCCAGGCGGCCCTTGGAGGAAAAAGCTCCCGTGAATGATTTTGGAACAACAGTTCCCAGTGCCGAGAAATACTTCTGTAAGTAAAATAGGTAATAGCGTCATTTCGTTGCTGTGACAACTTCGATGTCATTGCCATCCTGATCATAACAAATTTTCATCTTTATCTAATACAACTGTGGTGGCAATTTTTCCAAAACTTTGTTTATGGCGACCTAGTTTATTCTCAAACTTGCGGGAGGTATTGGCCTTGAAAAACTGTATCGAGCCACCTTAAGCAATTTCTTTAAGTCTACAACAAGAAATGACTTGGGAGCTCATTCACACAGTCACTGACCTGTATTTGTGACGGCATTAAGGTTGGTTACCTTACAGAAAAGGTGCACTGAGGTTGCAGGCCCATAGGAAAGGGGGTGCGAAGGGTGCACTCTCACTCCCTCACAGGCCCTAGAGGTTGATTTTTTTGTTGATCAATGATTGAGAACAATGTGAATTAATGATATTTTTTTGTTTTTGTAACACAAAACAAGCACTTGTAAAAGGTTTTAAACATTGATGTATTTCTTTATAAGATCCTCATTAGACCCACCTGTTTTGCCAAAGCATCACCATTTGCAGAAGCTTTCTTGAGCCATCTCCTTGCTTTTAAAACGTCTTTAATTTGCTCACAACTTCCGCTTAAGTATATCTGCCCCAAATTACGTTGAGCCTCAGTATCGCCTATTTCAGCTGCTCTTGTCAAATAGTGAATTGCTTTAGTTGGCTGTGGACGGCCTTCCGGACATTCACCCTTGAGATAATACTTAAAAAGACATTTCAGAGACCTTAGCTTTGAGTCGTTTCCGAGTTTTTTCATCGTCCCAGCCACTAATTTTTGCACTGTTGAACCCAGTTCATGATCACTGGCACTTTCATCAGCGGCTATTTTATACCATTTAAAAGCCTCTTTTAGATCTTCGTTCACGACTCCTTCAACTCCACACCGATACATTTCTGCAAGATTGAGTTGTGAACTTCTGCACCCCAGTTTCGCTGCCCTGTGGTACATCTCATAAGCCTTCTGCTGATGTCGTATCGTTCCTTTCCGATCTAATAACTCCCCAAGTTTTCCTAGGGTATTAGGCAATTCATAACCCTTATCTACAGCAGTGCTAAGCCATCCGATTGCTTTGTCGTTATCTTGCGGCAAGAGATCGCCAAAACCCTCCGAGTAAGCCCATCCTAAATCTACTTGGGCGTGGATTTCGCCATTCTTGGCCTTATCAATTAATTTTTCAAATGATCCATTTTTGTCAATACAGTATTTCTGGAAATTAAGATCATTTGGAATAGGAAAATTCATGATTCAAAATGCAGGAAGATCACAAGAACAAGTGCATTTCTTGGGCTCTATGGTCAGCGGGTGTTGTCCAAAAACAAATACAGTGAAACATCAGGGGACACCGTATTAAGCGGACACCCTCTATTAAGCGGACAGTAGCCGAAGTCCCCAAATTTATTTCCCTCCCTCATTTACTTTAAATGAAACCTTTATTAAGCGGACACCTCTATTAAGCGGACGCGGACACCTAAAAAGTACCTAAAAAGGGCCATTTCTATTGTTGCCAACCTGTATTAAACGGACACTTGTAATTAAATTCCACCACCCAACATGCCAGACACTGGAAATGCGAAAGATTGCCTCGAATTGCCACCCACAAATTTTTCGATTTTTACATTAAAAAACGTGACTTGACGAACTTACCTGATTATGCATCTGTCAATTCCACCTGCGCCCAGCTCCCCCCCGGGCTACTGCGGGGCATTTGCCCGCCTTGTAAGTCTCGGCGGTGGGGCATTTGCAAATTTTGCACTGCCCGGGGGCCGGGCATTTGCCAACCCCCGGGCCATTCCCGAGCTTTTGACACGCACGCAGTTTCCTATCAGAATATAACTACACAGAAGGTTTTACTGGAAAAAAGCAGATTGGCTCATCTGTCAAGGACAGGAATAAATGGTGTAGGTTTGTAAAGGCATTTTCTCGATTTTACATGTATGTATGCATTTCTTCATTGCTTATCAAGCCAGAATTACATAGCGAAATTGCAGCTATCGATGTGAAACAACGTTTTTTTGGTTATTGAATCAAATTTCTGTTGATATTATTTGAAGAACACCCTTTCATATTTATAAAACTATTCATAACATACTGAACTTTACAGCGCTTTATTAATTTTAATGGCAATAATTTTATATCAGTACTAAAACCATAAGTTGGTGCATGTCGTCGCGGCGTGAAGTCTTAATTAGAATCCTAGCGCTATTACAAAGGAAGACGTTAACTGAAACAAAAAATCGCACTTTAAAATGGCACTATTGGACTGTGCGATCAATAAAAAATGTTGCACTGTTGACGGAGGACGGTGCATTTGCCCTCTTCTTTCGTCCCCACCCCGGGGGATTTGCCAGCTCAAGAGTCCCCACCCCCGGGAATTTGCCATCCAAGGCAAAAAAAATGCTAATTCCCGGGGGTCAGCCCGGGGGGGGGGGGCCTGGGCGCAGGTGGAATTGACTGATGCATTAGTTTCACAGTACAGGATTGTTTTCTATTTCGTTTTGTTTGTATAGAGCTTTCACTCATCTGATTTCTTCAAATTTGAGTTGCAATCCATGTTTATGGTACTATGTTTGATAAAGAAATTAATGCAAACGTCTATCGTCATAGTCTCTGGGAGTATTATAAACGCTTCCACTGTTCATTTGAATGGCATTTGACACCTCATATGACGTTATATATCGAAACCTGTATTAGGCGGACACCCTGTATTAAACGGACACCACAGCATTCCCCGAAGGTGTCCGCTTAATACAGGTTTCACTGTACCTAGGGAGCATTCATAATTTATCTAGAGGGTGGGCTATGATGATTTCCTTATTTTTTCCTTTCTTTTTTTTTGAAGCCCCCCCTGATCATCTCAGGGTTTTTTCTGACCCCCTCAAGAGATGTTGATTTATCAAAGTAAAATATCATAGCCCCCCCGCCCCTCCCCCAGCACATAAGTACAATATGTCAAACTCACCCTTAGCCATATCAAAGTCTTGTGACAGGTATATTGAGCTTTATTAGTAATTAACATAGTAAATCAGCAACAACTTGAACTAATGAAATGGTGATATTTCAAGATGTCAATTTATGAAAATATAATGTTCAGTACAATTAAATCTCTACGCATTTGAATTCAAAATTGTTCTATTTTGGACATTCTTGAGAAAAGCTGATTGAATGATTAGCTGATAATAAATTTAACTATCTGAATTGGTACCGGAGAGAAAGTAGTCTTTTAGTTGCACTTACATACATTCCATATAAATTTGTTTCAAGCAGGTTTAGAAGCTAATGATCTGATAGATCATGGCCAGTTGTTACTGCAGTGTTTTTAAATGAAGATCTGTATGTTTCAAGAATCACTCGTTACCTTGGAAAAAAAAGGTGAAAAAAGAAAAACTGGAACTGATTACCACTCATTTGAAAGAGACTAGGGCTGAGGCATTGAGAACCATGACTGTAACAGGGCAACGTCTTTTACAAGAGCCAGAAGCAGTCTCTGATGATGATGATGATGACGAAGGCGACGACACTGTCTTGGGGGAAACACGGAGTGAGGAGAGTGAGAGTGAGGAGAGCGAGTGTGAGGAGGGTGAGGAGAGTGAGTTTGAGCCACTCGCAAAGAGACCTTGTAGCACAAGAAGTGGGCGTCATGCATCAAGTTTCATACTCTAGTTCTGTATTAACATTTTGTCGCAATGAAATAAAAGACAGGAATTATAAGAGCGTCCAACAGCATATTTTCATGTCCTTTTCTTTTTCAGGAAAAAATGGTTGGCCCCCTCTATGCTCGATGTAATTTTTGTTGGAAATTTTCCATAGCCCCCCCTAAATCATAGTAGGGAAAAAGAGTGACCCCCCCTCAAAATCATCATAGCCCACCCTCTAGGTAAATTATGAATGCTCCCCTACCAGGTACTTGGGCTGGCTTATTTCTGGATTCGAGACAACTCTGGGACATTCTGGACATTTTTGTACCGTATTTATACACGCAGATGTGAAATCCGAAATAAAAACGTCCCGGTTTGGTAGCGCGTTCGGAGATTTCCAATCCGGAATGTAAATGCAACTTATATCCAAATGAATTTTCTCGGATTGAGAGTGAAAACGCCTGCGATCAGAATACCTAATCTATGAATCAATGAATGAAGCTTTATTTAATCTCGGATTTGATGAGGTTGGTTAGATCTCTAGCAAAAATATGCTAATAAGCCGACGAAAAAAAAAACAAAGAAAGAAAACAAAACAAATAAATAAAATAATAGAGAAAGAAAGGGAAATCCAAAAACTTATTTGCAGTATAAAGCCTAACATTACGTGACATAGCTATTTGCAATAAAAAGCCCAATTACTTATTAGAACATAGATATTATATAGAATTAGCTAAAACCATAGCTGTGGGACTGCTTTTTTAAAAGCTGACAATGTACTTAGGGATCTTAAGGTATCAGAAATCTTGTTCCAAGTAATAGCCGCCTTACAGTGACTTGACTGAGTTCTTGCCCGAGTCGTATTAGGTTTCGGTACTTGCAGCCTGTTAACCCCTCTCAGGTTTTTGATGATGTCTCTTAACCTAAAGAGGTCTCTCAGATGTTCAGGTGGATAACTGTTAATTGTCTTAAATACAATAATTAACAAGTTCTGGATACGTCAATCCACAAGGCTGTAACCAATACGATCAAAAAGAGTGCCAGTTTGTGAAGACTCGTCACTGTACAGGTAACCGCGAAGTGCTCGTTCATGCAACCTATCCAGTTTTTTACTATCAGACTTTAAACAGTGATGCCATATGGAGGAAGAGTAATGAAAATGAGACATTATAAACGAATTATAAAGGCAGTTGGCCCAAAACGATAATATATTCTTTATTCTTTTTAAAGAACATCTAGTTGCTTTCCCACTTTCTTGCTAATTTTCGTAATGTGTTTTCCAAAATTCAGGGAATTGTCCAATGTTAGCCCAAATAGGTCTATTGTATCAACTAGTGGTAATGCAACACCTTCGTTAATCCGGAAACGTCTCTTATAGTCCTCATAGTGTAAACCTAGCGGCCTCCTCCTCAGGCTTTACTGTTCTGTTTTAGGAAACGAGTGGAGAATGGGGAGAGAACGTGTGCCATTTTTTTCTCCTTTTCTCGTTCTCAGACTCCTCACGGTCAGTGTAACAGTTAAAATAGCAATTATCTGTGGAGGAGGCAAGTGTATAAACTATAATCTTGGAGAAAATAAATGGCAAACCAGACCCCTCCCTTTGCCCCAGTATCAAAGATGGAAAAATGGTCGGTTTTTGCCCTTCGCTCGGCTTCATCGTTGATTTGGTAGTGGGGCGGGGGGGGGAGGCAGGGGAGGGGTATGGGGGTTTGAAGTTCCATTTTATTCTGTCCAAGATTGTAGGATGTACTGTGTTAAATTATAATTACTTACAGGCCCCATTTCTCTTAAGTCCCGGTATTTACATAGCCCGGAAGGCTTAAGTTGTTTGCATTTAAGATCGTTTTTGATGTAGTTTTGAAGATGGTACAGCTAGGTAACAAATAGAAACAAGTTATATTTAGTTTCAATCCAGAAACGTTACCAGGGCTTTCCAGAAACCCGCCCGAAGTACCAGTTGTTCAAAATAGCCACTTATTAAAATAGGAGCGTACGGAACTTTAATATGTGACCAAAAGTATCCACGAGCTACAACGCCATTCATTTTTTTAATTTTTTTTGTAAATTTCATTTATTTCCTTCTAACACACATTACATAAACATAGATCCTTAAATACAAAAGAAATACACTTAATACAAAAGAAACAAAATTAGTTAACAAATTGAGAGCCCAGGAAGGTTGCTAGACAGTATATTGCGTAGAAGAAATATTTTCTTTTGACTTTTGGAATCTGTTCACTATTGGATTTCTTTGAAAAGCAGGGAGAAAAAAGGAGAGTTCACTCAAATAAATGCCTTTTCTGAATAATTGTTTTCCACTATTCTTCAAAAATTTTCTCTGAATTCCTTTAATTAATAATTGAAATTTTTTTCAATTATAAAGTTGCCTATTACAAATATATTCTACAACAGATAGTTCTAAATTGTTGTATTTGCAGCTAAAGATATAGAGTGTTTTCACTCACGTGGTCAGTATCTATGCAAATTTATTGTAACAAAAGAAAGCGTTTGCATAAGAAAAGAGTTCAACTCCCCCAGGACTGGTTTGGGACACCAATATGGCCGCCGTGACGTCATGTGAAAACACTCTATATATAAAACCTAGCCAAGAGTAGATAATGACTAAATAAAATATCTCCTTCTTTCCTTGCAAGACCTAAACATTTATTTGTTTCTAAAACGCCAGAGGCTTCCATCAAATCAACTGAAACCGAGAAACCTATGACATTATTAGGTCTTGTCACGGTTTAAGTGCAAATGATTTTTGATAACTTAAGTAATCCTCTGGCGAATCAAATTTTAAGACAGACAAATCCACTACAGCTAACTGTTTTTGTTGCGACAGAATATCAATAAGCTTCCGAGTCACTGTTCCTCGATTCCTTCTCCTGTCTCGCTCGTTCATTGGCCATCGCTAGCTGTCGCATGTTTAATAAACATCCAGCTGCAGCCTCCTGTAGTCCTGCATCATCCGAACCAACCATCTCCAACAAGAGCTGAAAATCAAAACAGGATGCAATTGGTCTTGGTAACGCTAGCAACAGTAAAAAGGGCAATAGAAACGTTCAACTTGTTTTACAAAACCAGTTCAGAAGCTGTGTTGCTCCTTTTACTACCCGTGTTGTGTCTGGACCCTTTTTAGACGTTTGCTTTGCCTATTGCCTTGACGTTCAGAGAAATCATGTGCTTTGTAAATATTTGATTCAGCAAGGGAAAAGTCATGATACTTTGAAAAGAGGTTCGTTACCTTGACGACTCCACTCCGGTGCATTATGATGCAGCTTTCTGGATTCTTGCCTAGTTGTTCAAGAGCCCGCATTGCTGACCGCTGCACAATGATGTCATGTGATCCCAGGTACTCTACCATAGGTTTGACAGCACCTTCGTCACAGAAGCGCTTGGCATTGTTGCCCCATTTGCTGCACATAGCGATAGCTTCAGCCAAGTGACGCCTTAGACGTATGTCAGTCTAAAAAATTGAAAAAAAAATGGACTCTGATGATAGAAATGTTATTGATGCAACGCGTTCAAGTGAAAACGATCATTGCATGTGCACGCTAAGCAGAAAACCAGTAGAAACCTTGCATTTCAAGACAAATAAGCCGCGCATACCTACACTATAGCCGATAACATGGCTTTCAGGAATATACGGTAGCCGGGAGTATATAATCAGGGTGTCGAAATCTCTGATGACCCAACAACAATAACAACGATTACGAAGACGACGACAACTAGGAATAACTACAGCTTTTAGAGTTTATAGTGTTGATGGTCATGGCGATCGGCGATAGTAAAGGAGAGATACTGATGTATTTAACAACTATTCCACGACTGCCCGTTGAATATGAGATGGTTGTTAGTCAAAGAGGCGCGTAGCGCCGAGTTGGGTATAATCACCTCATATCCAACAAGCGCGAGTGGAATAATTGTTTTATTAAAAACGTCCACAAAATATCGAGAATTCTTCCCGACTTTATGTGTAAAAAACCTATTTTCAGCTTGTTTTTAATTTTGAGCAGACGCGTACAGTTACCATATTTGGATAGCATGGTATGATGGCTCATATACCATGACGGCTAAGCCAATCAGAGCTCTAGAATTGCATTATCCAATGATTCACGTTTTATAAAAGGGGGCTATGATTATGACAATAGCAATGACGATGACGATAACGATGATAATAATGGTGATGATGATGGGAAGTACTGATAATGCCAACGATGAAATCTCAATGCTGACGTAAGTCTATTGATGATAACAGCTAAATCGCTAAAAGTAAACAAACCCTTTATTCATCTCAAAGAATGTGCTGCTAGAGCAGTTTTAAATTAGTACAGCGGATTATCTTCTTACCATGTGCGTAAGATGAGCCAAATGAGGAACAACGCCATAATCTGTGATGACGCCCAGGTTCTCTCGATCACAGGCCACGATAGATATCACTGCGCATGCGCTTGTAAGAACCTGAAATAGTTGAAAAGATATTTTATACCTCTGCGATGTGCAACGTAAAATGGTAACGGAAGTAAATTATTTGAGTGGCTGTGATGGTTTCTTTTCGAGTATAATGTATGTGGAAGAATGCAAGGATAACCACTTCTCTTGGTTGTCTTCAGTTTGGCAACTTTTTCAAGTGAACAGTTGCAACTTACCTCCAAGTCATGTGACTTAAGCAGGCGAACACTTAGATCCAGTCCTCCAACAAAAGATCGGGCTGTTTCCCAGGCCTCCTACGAATAAATTTGAATTTGATCTTATTACAGAAATCAATTTAACCCTGATGTAAGTAAGAAGGGATGTGACTGAAAGTTGTGTTTAAGTAAACGTTTGTGCACGGGACCTCACGTAGCTAGTGAACCGAAAACTCTGAAACTCTCCTCAATTTAATTTTTTGGACGATTGCATTTCCAGGATAAAACTTTCTTGTTAACTCTAAGCGCATTACAACAAGGCTTAAACGGAAGTCAAGATAGTTTCTTGTGCGAAATCGCCCACTTTGCAATAATCACATTTGTGCATATGGTTCGAATTTCTTGTATACCGTACCGGTGTGTCCTGCATTAGTCTGTACACTGCCCACGCTGCGCCAGAAACTACCTGAAAAATCAGCAGCATCAAGCAAAACCTTTAGTTTTCTTTAAATCTACTGTAATAATCTACTAGTATTAAAGGGACTGACCTGACAAATCAGTGCTATGTGATCGTTTGCGAAAAGTAACCTAATGTCATTTTAGCACAATATATCGTGAATATATACTCATATACTACTCGCCTTGTTGTTTCTTGACTTCATAAGGGACCACAGAAGTCTTAGTCCTTCCAATCTATTGAATACTCTGAAATAAAGTTTACTTAGATGTAACTGAGCTAGTCCAGATCAAAAAACACTTGTAAGTTTAAAAGCTGTGCGATGTAACATTAAACATGGAAACTGCTTTTGTTTCACTTGACAAACCTGTTTGGTGCTACCTTTTGTAAATTTGACTATTTTCTATGAAAAAAGGCTAATTCCAAACAAATTGGTAACTTTCTAAATCGATTGTAACCCAAGAGTTGAGTGCTTGGGCTATTATAAACGATTTTTTTTTCCAAAGATTGATTTCCAAACATTGAAAATTTTTCTGAGTCTTTTCTGTGGGACGGTGGAAACTACAGCATAATCGTTTTTAAAAACAAAACACCAAGGACATGAATATATTCTTTAAAAAATAAGAATAGCACCATCACCACTTACGATCGACAGCCAACTTCTACCGCGCATGCAGCAATGGCTCTTGCCGCTGTACTGGTGAGTTCCTCATTTGGTATGTTGAGAATGTCAACTAAAGTCCTGCAGCCTTTGCATCGTAACATTTCCAGCGGAGCTCTGGGATCTTTGGCAAGTTCTGCGATGGCTCCGACAATGTGAAGTTGAACCTTAATCGGGTTATGAAAACGATAGAAAGTCAAATGGGGCGTGTGTCAACTTACAAGTGTTGACGCTAGTTTTACCAAATGATAGATTAGGAAGCAGAGCAATACTTCCAACCCGGCCCTCAGAACAATAGGAGATGCAGGTCAAAGTGGCCAACTGGAAACATAGCGGAAGGCTAGAAGAGATGCAAACCATGCCAAGGAGTTTTGGTTTAAACTGTAAACTGGAGATTGTGCCGGTACAGCGCACGATAGTTACTAATTCAAAAAACAAGTTTAAAAGGGAGTATGACTTTTCTGTAGCATCATCTTACAATGTATCGTTTGAAAGCTTTTAAGAATAAGAAGGTAATTACTTTTTGCATTTCTATTTTGTTAACATTAGAGTCAGGGTAGTTAAGAGTGACTTTGGACAATCTGCGCAACTAACCTGTTCCGGAAGTTCCTCTGTTTCTTCTTCTGCTTGAAGAAGTTTAACAAGTGTCTCCACAACGTTGACTTCCATCAGTCTGAGTGAGGGAATAACGCCTAGTCTTTCAGCTCATGACATAAGGTTCAAGACTATGTATGAATAAGCGAAATACTGAACATGGAAATGAAAACGAAAGAGAATAGGAGAAAGCAAAGAAAAAGTGGGTTCCTACAAGTACATCCGTCCCACCTGCACGAAATCATGAGAACCGCTTGAAATCAACTAATTTCCTCTAACAAGCGGGTGGTAACGAAGACTTTGCATTTCTTTGAAATTGGTAAAACACTAGCCAAATTTACAAGTTGAACTCTGAAAGTTAAATCTTATCTTAACTTTCGTAATGGAATTAATTTTCCTGTTTATGCGCGGTGATGGATCCACTGCGCGAGAATAAGAGGATGAAGGCAGACAACTGGTCACCTCTCTAGTGGAATTCGGTTTACTATTTCAAGTTCTGACATAAACAAGTCGTTTTGCCTGTAGACATGCTATTCTCGGAAGCCCATATAAACTTAACTTGAGAAAACACCACTTCCAAGTCCTCAAAGCAAGTCCTTCTACTCGCTTGGCCTCTTCCAGTGTATCAGTACAGTATCATACCTTTTTACATTGTATTCACTTATTGCACATTTCCAAATAGCTCCTGTCACTGCGGCCAACAGCTTCTTGTTATCTTGGCGAGAGAGGAGTGAAACGAGTGTGTCCAGTCCTCCGCAGTCATACACGGCTTTCCTCGTGCCTTCGTCCTCTGCACACTGCGATGAAAGGCGGGAAAATTATCGACACGGGTCTAACATTATCTTCTTGCAACCCTTTGAGCACTATTAGTGATCAGCATCTAATATCTTTCGATGATATGATTAGTTACTTAAGCAAAATGTCATGAGAATATCGGAATTGTGCACCAAAAATAATTCTAAAATAGTATAGAAAAATCTCCAATGCGTCTTCTACATGACCGTAAAAGTGTTGGGACAAATCTTGGGACAATAATCTCTTTTAGAACCATTAATTTTAGAGGGGAGGGGAGGGTAATGGGAAAACCTGACTCAGTCAATGTAGTGGTCGCCAACTCACCTTAAATATTGCATTGGCACAGTAACCTTGGAGCTCTTCATTATCTGTTTGCAGCCGACGAACAATAGCTGCTATTATATTCTCCTTGTAAAAAGCTTCCCTGAAACGAGACTATGGAAGAAAAAGAGCGGATGATGCAATGTAGCTCGGGTATCAATTCGTCCCCCACGCCTCACCACGCCCACTAGGCTAATTTATTATTATCATCTGCTTCCTTATATACAATGCTTTTTAGTAATACGATGCTATTTGCGTATGCAAGGAGGGTATTTAAGAAATAGGTGTTGAATTGTTAGATATCTGTCTTTGCTAACTCGGGTAACCTGATATCTAAAACAGAGCTAAAGCAGGGACGAATCCAGAAAATTCGGAAAGGGGTGGCCGGGACACTTAAAAGCTCTATTTTGGATACTTTTTATTTTTCCCCCTCAGCCCTCCCCTAAATCCGCTCATGCAAAGCAAGCAAAGAGAAAAATAAATGCTGACCTCCCTGGCGTGAAAAATAACAGAAGGAAGTTGTTCTTTGTGTCTAAATGAATCGTTTCACCAAGCGAAACACCAAACTTATTTCCAGACGGAGCTGTCTTAGGGTACTCTACAGTCCATTTACTTTATAGTTTACCTCCACAGCGCACTCTTGTGCCAAGCCTACTATAGGAATAAGAAATTCCTCTTTGTCCAGCTTGATGAGTTTAGCGAGTAAAGGCACGCTGCCAGCCTTGTAAATTGCTGACCTGCATCAGAAGCAATTCGAGATCTTCATATAAGAGTACAGTACACTTCTACATTGTGCATCTTAGACAGTTTGGGTGATCGAGTGTGGGGAGTGAAAAGTAAAATTATGGAAGGGCTTCTGCCTTCGTTCCTCGCTGCTTTGCCGCTTGCCCTCACGCGTGCTCTCGATCTACTGTGACTCAAAAGAAAAATAAGATGCTTGCCGCAGTCTCGGTAAATATAAGGGCTACTGATTGCAGTCAGAATAACAAGGATAAACTTTTGTCTCTCCGGTTCAATCACTCGTTGTCGTGCGAAAATAGTAAAGAGAATGCTCTGAAACCACGACGTCAACGTCAGACAAAATGTCACCGGAACTGAAAGGGAGACAATTGCTAAATATTATCGGCGCTATGTCTTTGTGGGTGTCGCTAAAATGATCGACTATTGGTAGCGTGAAAGACGATACTGAAGAACTTAAAGTGCAACAAGCATCATCAATGTGTTGCAATATGGCCTCCATTAAAAAAAACTATTTAACTTATATTCATCTTAGTCCTCTCGGCGACATTTACTTTATTTTGGTTTTGGCCTAAACCAATCACAACGCACGAAACTGATACCCAAAAATGGTAATGGCTAGTTACGTCACAAACCTACTGCGCGTGCTCTTACTGCAACTCCACAGCGCAAGCGCGGCATTACGCGCAACTTCTAGTTTTGCCCCGTCTTGGCCTGGTGACTGGTTGTCTGGGCGGCGTCCCTTTCCATCTTCGTAGTTTAGTAAATCCACCTACAACAACAAAAGAAAGAAAGAAACAGAAACAGTGTGCTGATGAAAATTCTTCGGTTACATGTGTGTAAGGGGCCTTAAGCAAAATCTGCTGAAGCTGTTGAATACTCCAGTCATGTCTAATACCGCGTTGACCGCGGATCGTACCTACCTCTGTACAAACTCTTAGCATCGTTACCAGTCGATATTCTGAGCACTCTTACGAAGCGTGCATCTCATGCGTCATTACATCAGGGCACAATAGGGCCATTTATACGGGGATAAATAAGACGCGTCTTAAATAAGACGCGAATTTTCCGTATAAACGGCACATTTCGTCTAAAATAAGACGATGCTTAGCTAAGACGCGTCTTATTAGATAAGACATGCTCGTATAAATGGTACAGTTCGCGTCTTATTTTTCCTCGTATGAATGGTCCTAATGTGATTCGGTTCGTGCGGTACATATGGAGTACTTGAATGATATGGATCGTAAACTCCTCGTTATATGAAGCGAATCAAGCACGTTCCAAATGTAACATTTCTTGTTCTATAACCCATAAAGCGCAAAAAGCACGCTCTAACAGAATTTCTCGGTCCATACAAGCATGGATCGTAACATGGTTTATACGGACCTTTATTACAGGACAGGTATATTGGACAGCCCTCAGAATACTCCGTCGGGAAGAATAAACGCGAGTGTAAAAGATAACATAAATCTTTTTAGAACCTTCCGTTAGGAAAATTTCTGGCAAAAGGTTTCCCATCTCCTCGAATACTCACGAGTTTTTGTATCCCGTCATGTCGCTTTAGAATATTTCGTCCCAAACTCGACTTGGCCATGTTCGACAGATTAGCTGCGGCTAAACCTTGGACTCCCTGTGCACGAGCATCGTCGATGAGATCAATCAAAATCTGAACAACTTAAGGGTGATGAAATTCGAATTAGATATTATACTACGGCATGCAATTAAAAGAAGGAAGGAAGGAATGTGGAACGGAGTAGAAGAATGCAGTCAAAACCTCCGTGTGCGACCACTTCTCGTAAGCGACCACCTCCAATAAGCGACTGCCTATCCAAAACACCGAAACTTTCCCAGTCAAAGCCTTACAGTTGAACTTCTAGGAAACGACTACCTTCTGTAAGCGACCGCGACCACTCTTTGGGCCTGAAAGGTTAATGATTTCCTATGGTTTTTAACCTCTTGTAAGCGATAACTTGACACATTCTCTGATGTCTATGTTCGCTGTGCGTACTGTGCTGCTTTGAATATACGAAGAATTTTTTTAACAAAATGGAACTACACATGGTGTAACTTAGAAATTGCTTGCAATAATTTATCTTCCATAAAGTAGATGTGCCCAGACCTCTCAGAAGAGGCCCCCTGTGGTTCGATTATAAGCGACCACCTCTCGTAAACGACGACTAAGTCTGCATTTGGGCGGTCGCTTACGGGAGGTTCGACTGTATAAGGAAAACTGCGGGATATGGGAGAACGGATAGGAAGAAGGGAAATTTAAGGAAAGATGAAAGTGAATGAAGGGAAGGATGGAAAAATAAAGACGAAAGGGGCTGAGAGAAAAGTAAGACAGAATTGGAAAAGGAAACTACTGAAAGAGAAAAAGAAATTTTGGAAAGAAGAAGAAGAAAAAGAGAAAGGGTGGAAAAGCAAAGGAAGAAAGGACAGGAAGGATCAATCTCGTCCCTTAAGTTAAGTGGAAAATTTAAGGGAGGGAAGTTGGAGGGAGGAAAGTGGAATATTAAGACCAAGACTGTAAATTATAATTACCTCCTATGTTAATTACTGCTCGCCTGTTGTATTTACTGTTTAATGTTAACTGTCGAAGAACCTTTAACGCACCAATCTATTGAGCAAAAACAAAAGATCTGAATTAGACCCTGATAAACACTCAGTTGTTTTTTATTCTCGACCTCCATTGCCGACTATGTGCTTATTGACAATCGCGATGTCTTTAAAACAGTCTGCCGGGACTTTGATAAGAGGAAATAAGCATTTACTACTTACCTGTAAAGTCTCAGCACAGATATTTTTTTATTATATAGATGATAGGTGATACTAGGTTATATTAGTAAAATGTAGGGAGACATAACCAAGCAAACGATGGAAGTATCCGGTCATCAGGGGGGAGGGGCGGGGTATAGGTATTATATGAATGATGGTTATATCACTAAAATTTAGGGAGACATAACCAAGCAAACCATGGAAGTATCTGGTCATTGGGGGAGGGGGCGCGGCGGGGTAGACAACAAATTGTTGCGCGGATGTACTCCATCACAGGCCACTGTCCACACTTCTCCATACAACAATTTCTCCCGACGGTAGCCCTTTTATATCCCTTCCACAGAAGTGGTAATCTTTTCTTTTTCCTACAGCTTGACAATATTGTATACCTTTTCTACCCTGAGGAAGCGTTGAGAAACTAGCCTCAACTGATCAGCGTTTGGGGGGTTATTCCTGACACCTTGAAAGGTCCTTATTGAATGCCTAAATGGCAGGGTTTTTACTTGCCCTTGTCTATACCTCATATCGTGTAATCCCCACCCCCACCCCCCACCCCCCTCCCCGCTTGAATAAAAACCTCTTCGGGAGCAGCCCCACCTTGAAGCCTGTTAGAGGAAGTCCCTCTTTCTTTACCTGGCAATTAATGTGATCAGTTCTAAGAATATTGACAAGAACTGCTAGTCCATTAACATCTCTGATGGCCATCTGTGTCATCTCCTGAGTTAAGTTAAAGTCAGTCAGAGAACACAGTGTAATCACCGTGGCGACTTGGTTACCAATCTAGAAAAACAGGATTTAAACAGGTTTAACTTGAGAGGGTCTTTCAACAAGTTACTCTCGCCACTGCTTTCTCCCCAGTAGATCGCTTATCCGGGGATATTTAGTTATCTATTCAGGAAAGCGAGAGCGAAGGGAGGGGTCCGAAGAGGGGAATTTTGCCTTCCCATGACCCTTTCGCTCAGCACTCGTCTCCAACATCCGTACGACCATGAAAAAGCCAGCAGTCTTTCTTCATGCGCCACTTCCACGCCATTATGCCGTACTGTTTTCCCTTGTTTGTGGCCTTTTCTTGCTTCGAGTTGTCAGTTGGTTCCCTTATTCACTGTTTGATCAGCGATGACACTCTCACCTTCAAAAACTTGATGAGCCTTTGTATTTGCCAATACTCCGAAGGAAGGTCAGCCACACCCTGCACAAACCAAAAAAAAAAATCATCAGTTCACTCTGCAAGAAAATATAGTAATCATCACTTATCCATGTATTCGTTTGAGCAGTTTTCCCCATAAAGGCCCAATCTGAGTTGGTAACGCTGATCTGACCTAGTTGGATTTCATTCAACTCTTTTCGTACCCACTCTTCAACAGGGAAATTTTTAACTCATGTTTTGTACTAGTATAGCAGCGTTTACTAAGTCTAGTGCACCCCAATACGTTTTTTCTGTATAAAAACACCTCTTAAAAAAATTTATTTGTAATAGGTCTCAATAATATTGTCCTATATATACCTATTGCATTTCCAATTGCAAATAGCAGTCTTAAACTTCGAGGCAAGTACTACAACTAAAGTTGAAAGTGAAGCTCCCGTTGATTGACTTATAAAAGATTCAAACAACAAACTTGGGCGGGCGGGCGGGCGGACGTACAGTCACGTGACTTCCAAAATTTGTCGGAGGGATAGATAACCATATTGCCTCGATTAGCCTATGCTATTATATTTTAGAAGTTAGCCGATTGAAGATATCTTTTTACTTCAAAGGCTACGCTCGAGCGCACGTATGCTGCACCGAAAAGCGACTAATGCTGGTCTTATCTATTGCGGGCTCACCACTTTGCCGTCTAACACTCGGTCATCTTCCTCCTCGCTCTCTGTCGAGCTCTCTGCCTGAGCGGTTGGAATTCTGGAAACTGTGGACCGTCTGTGTAGGTTTTGCCTATTATTTTGACTTTATGCAAAACGCAACAATGTAATCAGAGCAGTTAAAATACTGAATGTGCGGTTAAACATACCGTGGGTTCAGCCTGTAATTAGAATGAACTCAACTTCTCTTGAAATATCACTTCTTGAACTTTTCACTGTATGAATCTGTGGGTTTTATCCAAGAATCAACTAGATGGCAGTTCTTTTGACTTAAACATGCAGTTTTAGTTATTATATTAACCCATCCCTAGAGGTCACCAACCCCCCCCCCGTTTCCCTCTTCCGTCTCCATGGTGTTTATTTTCGAACATGAGCTTGCCGATCTGTTAAGAGCAAATAAAAGGTTATGAACAGACTAATATGCCCACAAACATACACGTTACCTTTCCTTGCGAGTTGGCTTTACTTTAAGTGGAGGTTTTAAGACTCGTTTCTCCTCATCTTCACTGCAATAGTGTTAAATATAATAAGTTACCAGTGCCGAAGTTCTACGGTACTTTATTTAGATTAGTCCGTTTCATTGTATTAGGCACCGGTAGTACAGGCGAAGAAGGCTAGATCTGCCAATTTGGAGTTATCTTTAAAAGTGTTCATACCTGTCATCTCCAACAACAAGTCTTAAGTTTTTCCACCTCTGAGAAGGCTTTCGCTGAGTTGGTGGTTTTGAGTTCTTAGTTTTCTTTTTTACTTTCTTTTTATCAGGCTTCCTGCTAAAACAAGAAAAAAAGTTGATGGAAACAAAATTAATCTACATGACGTCACGGCGGCCATATTGGTGTTCCAAAACAATGGAATGGCGTCCATGTTGGTTTTCGAAACCAGTCCTGTGGGAGATGAACTCTTTTCTTATGTAAACGCTTTCCTTTGTTCCAATGAATTTGCATAGACGCTGGCCAGGTGAATGAAAACGCTCTATACTCTTAATACGCTTGTTTGGATCACATGGCCTTGCATACCTAAGCCCTTAGTCTATCGTTTCCTTGGGAGCGATCCCTTGTTGGTCTAAACATGTATGTAATCCCTGAAAGTGTAGTTTAGACGTCGCCAGTCGTATGCAGGGTGCATAATTTCACTATTTAACGTCTTGAACAGGGTATCTTTCCTGGACTGGCAGTCTCGCTTTCCTCGATTTCCGCTGCTCTCTCGGTTCTCCCCGAGCTGTTCGACCAAGGAGGGCGGGCTCATTTCCCGAACAGCGGCTGGTAATCGAGCCTACTGGCATTCTTAACCAAGGTATGTGAAATGAAATGAATAGGGCAAAAAAAAAGCCTGGTCAAGGCTAAACATCGACTTTTTGATGTGACGAACCAAACACTCAGACGTTCAGACGTCCTCTCTTTGTCTAACGCAGACGGATATAGACGATCCAAACTCATTCAGACGAACTTACCTTAACTAAGTTTGGTTCGTCTCATGAAAAGTTCGACATTTGGCCTAGGCCTCTCATGTCTTTAATAGGATACAACTGAGGAGAGTGAAATGAACAGCTTTTTTGTTAGAAAAGGTCAGGATTCGAAGGCCTCACCGATATATCTTGCCAACAACTTTTCAAACTTCCCTTAATTGCCTCCTGGCTCGTGCCTCCAATCAAGCGTCGACACTCAGGACGCTTCTATTTGCACAAAGCGATTTTGAGTATTCTAAGGTGTTTCAAATCACGCCTGTGACAAATAAGCAAATTGCGCTAAAGCTAACTTCTAATGCTTAGGCAAATAGGTTAAGTTGTCAAATGTTTTGTTTCTTAAAATACTTAGACAGCTCGATGAGATATCAATTGTGAAAAAAGTTTTTTCTACGGGTACCATTTTTATCTTAGGTTCTCAAACTCATTAATAATTCATTAAGAAAATACAAAGGAAATTAATGTTTAATGAGTGTTTGGAAATCGGATGAAACACTGCTTAGTATTTGCATCCTTAATTTCTCCTTCAAAAATGATTTTGTTTGAGAAGAAATATCAAACATTCGACACAGTGTTTCATCACCAGATGAAACACCTCGAAGTTCGTCAAAAATACTCCGCTGCGCGTCGTATTTTCAACTCTCTTCTCGGTGTTTCATCTGGTGATGAAACACTGCGTCTCATGTTTGATATATTACTTCTACTCCGGAAGTCAAGGGTTGTACCTTTCTGCTTGCTTTTCATTTTTCTTTTTCTCAGGTTCTTGCAGTATTTCCTCGTCTTCTGATTCACTTTCACTCAAATACTTGTTGAGGAACGAATTCTACAAACAAATACATTCCATTCAGGACTCCGTCACAAACTAATGACTTGACCAAGTGGGTGTGTTGCGAAAGACGTTGTTGGCTAAGTATTGTTTTTTGTTGTTGTTGGGTCAGTGTATTTTCGATCTTTTTTACGATATCATTTGGTTTGCACAATCCCCAACACCGAGAAACTACCAACAAGCGCATGTAATTGTTTTCGCCCCCACCAGACGGCATACTTACTTTTTCATTTTCTTCCTCTGTTATCTTTTGTTGGCTTGGAGGGTCGTCATTCGAAGAGTCTGCCGTTTTCTGAAAAACAGATAACTTTTTATCATTAACGTAGGATAATTGTTATCTCGAGTGATGAAGAATTCGGAAAGGTAACAAGAATTAAAGTCCATTATTTGCATTTAGCTTTTAAGGATGTTTGTCTAAATTAGTAGAATTCTACCAAAAACGCTGGGGACTTTTTCAAGCTGAACGGCCAACAGGCTGTTTTTGAAAATTCCATTAAAGACAGGCCGTGCGTATGGTATTAATCCGAACAATGAGCCAGAGTAATTCGGTGACATACTTCGTCTGCGTCCTTGGATGGTTCTTTATGACTTTCACTTTCATTTTGATCATAACTTGTTTTATTTCCCTGTGGTATAAAGAAAAGAAAAATGAAATAAAGTCAAACCTATACCAAGCAGACCCTATATTGGGAGCGGGGGAAAGGAAAATTTAATTCATTCGCTATTTGGTAGCTGAGTGAGAGATTGGGTCATATGGTGTCGTATTGCACTATGGGACTGTTTCATGGACGCCATGGCTTCTTTGATTGAATTTTACAAAGTTGCGCAGCAAAGTGTGTCGAAATATGTTATACAAACATTTCCAAAGTGCAATTCAACACACAATGACCCTGTCTTTCAACTTAAAACGCCCAATAGCCCAATTGCAAAATTTATCCTTTACTAGACATGTAGTGATGCAGAAATACATCATTCATTTGAATCTTACAATGTCTTCGTTGGCTTCGTTTCTATTTTCTGCAGCAGGTCTTGTATTCTTGAGTGTTTCTGGTTCCTGGAAATTAAAATATCAATGTAAAAAAGTGAGTACGAGGGTTGGAACAGAAGAAAAGAACCAATGAATGAGCTTCTAAGGAGAACACGGCTTCAGAAAATGGGAGACTAGCTTTGACGCTTTTTATTTTCCATGCATCTTTTTGTCGTAGCTATTTCGTTTGTTGAGGCATGCAAGATACGGCTTGGCCAAAAAAAAAAAAATTTACAGGGTTATGGGGCTTGAAATTTTGCCCTTACAAAGTTATGATCAGTTTGTCCGAACTGAAGCTATGTACGTGCCTTGAACTTTTCCTCTTTATCATTTCTATGTTTTGAAGAATTCTTTCGAGTTCCTGGCTTGCTTTCGTTCCGTATAATTTCTGCCAACTCCTAATGAAACAATTATAAAGGAAACAATAAAGAAGTTCTTGAGGAAATGAATCTACTCAAAAATTTAAATTTGTGGGAGATAATCTTAACATTGAATAGATTTGTTTAAAAAAACAACAAAAAGGCTCGTGTAAGAAGGACAATTTACTATACCTCAAACCGCGCATCCATTTCATTTTCAATGTCTGACATTCTTACTTTGTTATCTGGAAGAGAAGAGATAGCAAACGGGCAGCATGAAGCGAAATTTCGCTGGCAATGGAAGAGAAGACGGTCCGTGAAAATGCAAAAAATAATTTGGTCAAAATCCAGCATTACACTTGATCAATGACGTAGGGTTTTTACCCGGGGGGGAAGGGGTACTGCCATATGTGGGCTATATAGGTATGTGCCGCTGTGAAGGGTATGGTTTTCAAGCAGTTTACTCTAGGATAGAGTGTATAAATGAGAGCGTTTTGGTCTAAAATAGGGTATCATTTTTCAGGAAACTGATCAGTTGGTTGAAGATTTTATCTAGACTAGGGATTGTTGTAGAAGGTTTTGTTTTGGCTAAACTGTGCTAGTAACCTCAGTAGTTTCTGGAAAACAGCTACTCTAGGATAGGGGGGATTTGGGGAGTTTACTGTAGTATAGTGTAACAAAATTCAGCTGAACTAGCTCTGGTATAGGTTAAGGGCTCCAGGGTCCCATCGGCACATCCTCACCTAGAAATTCCTAAAGTACCCCCGGGGATCAATGACACATATACATAGGGTTTTTACTGCATGAAAAATCGCCAAGATTAGCATTACCACCAAAAAGTGAGTTAGCCTGTTCCAAGCGTTCAGATAGTGGAGAGCGGTGCGAAGTAAAGAAAGCGATGAAAAGTAGAGGGGGACTGACTGGGGAGAGACCTCTCTCGCTTTTATTTTTTCGCGCTCCTTTTTACTTCGCGCCGCTCCCCACTATCTGAACGCCTGGAACAGGCTAAAAGTGAGTTTGCATACTAAACTACAGTCATCTGGTCGTCGGAGCCTAAGAAACTCAGGACTTAACTTTCCGAGGGTAAACCGTTTGCCATAGGGAATCAAGAATGTGCGGGCTGTGTGTAGATGAAACATTACAATAGAGCAATGGTGTAATTTGTTTGAATTTGCTAAATTGAAAAACGAGACTAAGTAAGTGACCGAAAAGGTAAATTTTTATTTGGAGGCATTAAAAACACATCAAGTGGCCATGTGAGTGCTCATGCACCGTATAATGTTTGCTTTGTTATGTCCGCTATTAGACGAAGAATCGACGCCACCAGCAATTTCTAAATTTTCGTAATTGTATAAAAAGGCAGTTTCTAAAAATTTGTTGGGTTGGCTCGGTGAGGGAACAAACTACAGAATTCCCCCTTGTTTGCTAAGTAGCTACTGTGTATAGATCGTTTTCAGTCTCGTAGTCAGCAGCTTAGCAAATTGCTTGGAATAAAAGAAAGTTATAACATGTGAAAAGAGTTCAATTCCCCCAGGATTTGTTTTGTACACAAACATGGCCGCCGATTCATTGTTTTGTACACAAATATGGCTGCCGTGAAGTCATGTGAAAACGATCTATAGATAGCACCACTGAGCACGGTTAGGGAGAAAGGGTGGCGCATTGGTGAGAGCTGGTGAGAGCACTTGCCTCCAACCAATGTGGCCTGGGTTCTAATAATGGCGTCGACGCCACATGTTTTCCATATATGGGTTGAGTTTGTTGTTGGTTCTCTCCCTTGCTCCGAGAGGTTTTTCTCCGGGTACTCTGGTTTTTCCCTCTCCTTAAAAACCAACACTTCCAAATTCCAATTTGATCAGGAACGCACGGACACAATTAAACGAGTTCTTATGAACTCCTAAGTGCTCCGTGGTTAAACAAATTACAATTTTTAAGTTTTACAATCACGGCAATAATAAAACATTTTAAGCAATCATGGATGTTTTGAGCTCTTTCGTTAGCGCGAGTTCTGCACGCTTGATAAAATCCAAATGATTGTGTTCATGCAATCATATCTCAAGTCACTACGAGATATCTTCGCATCAACGCAGAATTCAAGCATTCTAATTTACTCCCTTCTTTTCTGCTAACGTTGCACTTACCTTAGTGGTAAACTTAGTACGAATCTCATAGACTTCATGACAAATATTTAAAAAAACAATTTGTCATCTAGTTGACATAAATTTAGACAATCGAATAAACGGTCAGTAAATAAAGCAAATACGAGACTTAATAAATTGAAGGCAAATTAGAAGCCGACTTATATTTTTGCACTTGTTAAAGAAAAACTATAAACTACGAATAAAGAATTTGAATAAGGATAGTTCCCTCTTTTTGGTTCCATTGCAAAAAAGAAATGTTTAAAACAGATTTTCATCGAGCTCAAAATACTGTTTAACCTTTTCTTTTCTTTTTTTATTACGAAGATCAAAATGAAAAATAGAACATTATTTATATGGTGAATTCACTCGGTGAAGAGGTTTGCACGATAAAACTTGAAGCTAATACAGTCTTCGCAATATCGCAGCCGGTTATTTAAACTATAGAGTTGACCAATTCAAGATTTGTGTAAATGATTTTGTTAGTTGTAAACTAGGGACGTTTGAAAAATATATATATTTTATGCAAACTATAGTCTTGTACACAAGCTTAAACACTGTTTATCGAAATCTGCGAAGAAACGGTTCTTTGCAAATACTTATATACGGTACACATTATCTATCATTATCCGTACAAAGATAAGTATCTTTTTTGATATTTTACGCAGCGATGTACACTAAGAAAAACTCACCGTGTAATAACTTGTGATATTAACCGTGTAAATAGAGAAGACGACGTATCACTAGTCCTAAATGTTGGAAAAATTGTTCAAATGCTTCGTTTGCCCTTGTTCCCCTAGTTAAACAAAATTAAATGTAAAAAATCCTTTTTTGTGAAGTTGAAAGCCTGGTTAAGTCGTGGAGGAGGAGAATTTAACTTTTGAAATTGAGAACCACAAATATAGATAATTTTGGCAGCAGTAAAAATATACCCGCACTTTGTTGCTAATAACCGCTTCCATGGCAACAAATGGCAGTCGTTAGCAGGTGCTTTGAACAAATCTAACCGTAAAATAATACTTCAGAATTTGAAGCGTGTAATATCTAACTGCTTCTTTCCGTTATAACAGCTCAACCGTGTTAATTGAACGTAACGGTGTTTTTGTCCAGGATCACGTTTATTAGTTACTACAAGAGGCCGGTACTTTTTAAAATACTACTCCAGCCGTCAGCGAGTTATTTTTTCTCAACTAAATTGATGTTATATGCTCAGATTCAAGCTATCTTGTCATTATGTAAGTCACCCGGGCTAAACTTTTTAGTCGACTGGAAAGAAATTGTTCGTCAAACCGGCTGAAAATCCTTCAAAGCGAAAACGTAACCTAGAAGCGTGCTGATAGGGAATTGGGCGAGAGCGAGGGAACGCCTGTAAACGTTCTCAAAAGGTCGATCGTTCCGGTATACTGGATTCAATTGTACCCTCTTATTGGTCGATTATGACACCGCTTCTGTTAACACTCATGTACCTGTGATGTTGATGAGAAATGCGATAGGCATCATCTGTTATACATTGGTGTAGAGGCTTAAGAGAAGTCGGCAGCAAGGAGTTTCATTTTACCCAGCATTCTGGAGTTATTAAATGGAGACGTAACGGAACATTAGATGGTGGAAGCAGTTACCTCAGGCAGCTGAAGAACAATAAATAAAGTACCGTAGAATTCCGAAAATAAGCCCCGGGGCTTATATTTTTCAAAGGCCCTTTTTGAGGGGCTTATTTTTGGAGGGGCTTATTCGGGGTGGCTTATGTACGGTGGGAAATTTGCGTTTCAAAATCGATTGGGCTAGCTTGTAGTGGGAAGGAAATTTACAATTTTCCCATTGTTTTACTTTGTATTCGAGGGCAAATTCCAAGTACAAGCCCCCCGGGGGCTTATATTCGGAGGGGCGATTTAACGGAGGGTTTTATTTACGATTTTGGGGGGCTTATATTTGGAGGGGCTTATACATGAAGGGGCTTATTTTCGGAAATTTACGGTAGTTGTTAACACAAGAGATACGTGTATGCAAGTCATGTAGAATTGTAAAGCAGAATCAAAGATAAGATTTATAAAGGGACATCTCGGTGTCTATCATGACATTAAGGCTAGTGCGCACGAATCAATGATGTCTTTCGTGAGAAATTGATCAAGAAGAGCTAAATACTTAGTAACATCCATCTGGACATGATGCCGTTTGAGGTGATTTAATTATTTCTTTGCTGCATTACAAATCATATTTAGTCTCGCTCGGCGTAAGCAGCGAGACTCATAAATTGTCTCCCGGTCTTGTAAGTGTAGGAGCTGCAGGACCTCTAACCATAAAAATTATCAAAACTTTGCGTTACTTCCTATTGCCTCCAAATTTGGCGCACAAATAGATTTGGCTAAGTCCCAGCCCCCGGTGGGTTATTAGCTTCACGCCACGAGTTTTTGAAAACTGAGAAATGCGGCAAGGATTTTGTTGGGGGTTTTGCGAAGAATGAAAGCTTGTATCGACGAATTGTGACCACATACAAGTAAAGAAAATTAATTTGAAGGATTCTGGAGGATAACAAGCAAAATAAACGCGAAAATCGAGGTAAGAAAACAGTACGAATTAATCTTTGCGTGCAACCCATTATTACAGCTCTCCGTTACTCTTTAAACGCATCGAATTCCTTCCCGCTTAGCTTTTTGCCTGTAAAGCCTTGCATATTTGATGATTTCTATCAGTAATTTAATGTTTGCTTGTTTTTAACCCGATATCTGGCTGAAAAACTAAAACATAAAGCGTCTTTTTAAGGTATTTATAAACCAGCAAGCCACGAGGTGACGCCATGTTTTGAATTTTATTATACTAATTAGCTTTAACTCATTAGCATAATGTAACAGGGTCAGAAAATATATAGAAAATTCCTACAGTCTCAGACAAAAATCGTTGGGACACTCTAACCAAACGCTGTTTTTTCCCTTCTCGTGCTCCCCTCATCCCTCTCAAAGTTGTTTATCGCAGTTCGGTCACCAAATCTTGTACACCGACATTGAGGAGACAAGGAGACCCCAAAGTGTCCCAACCATTCTGACTGAGACTGTATTTTAGAGGAATTTTAGGTATGTGACTCCTCGTTGGCCCTAG